TATTTCTGAGTAATCTATACTGAAAATGCTTCATCAAAGATAATTGGCTTTTTTTTTTTTTTTTCTTTTTTAGATGAAGTGAAAAACTGAATGTTTGTGGACAATAAGAATATTCTGTAGCTTCATCCCCAAATGGTTCTTTCCTGGTCAAGATGAAGGTCTTCATCAGTCAAGCTCTGAAGCTCCAGTTTACATCTGTCTGCATAATGTGCATAACACTAAAAGAAAAGAGGAAACTTGCACATGTAATTGTATTTCTCATTGCCCTCCCAAGAGATTTTTAGCTTTGTTTTGTAGTAGCTTTAAACATGCAAGAGCTGCAAAAGGAACATAACTTACTGCTCAAAGAAAAAAAAATATGTCCAATTTTGCATCCGTAAGCACGTTCTTTTTCATAACCAACCAGAATAAGGATGTAGCTCATTGTTTGTAGAAACCAGTACAATAGTCAGAGATTCAAACCTACTGTAAGCAAAAGAATGAATTTTCTTCCCCATTACTTTCAATTGATTGAACAGAAAAGTCTCTTGGTTCAACACACGTAGAGAGAAATCATTTTAAAGCATAGTGGGGGTGTTTTCACAAATAATGTAAGCCATGGAGGCAAAGGTGGGAAGAATTATTTTTTTTAAGTGTTGTCATTCAGCAGAAAAGATCTTAGCAAATTATTACTAATATAAAATATTTAATGTTTTTTTTTTTAAGATTTCAAAAATATGTTGGAAACATAGACATTGATTCACATGAGTATGTCAGTAGATTCAATTTTTATCATGTGATTTAGTCCATTCTAATCAACAAAGCACTTTAGCATACGGCTGATTTCAGGGTGATGCTCAGCTAAAATCAACAGAACATAGCTCATGCGTAAGAATATTAGTGAAGCAGGATGGACTTAAGAATGTATTTAAATGGCCTTACTGAATTTGGGTATAGACAATTCAATCTGCATAGGCAGGCCTCAGTAAGCAAGAAATCTCACTGATATCAATGAGGTTTTCTGTGAGTAGACTGCAAAATTAGGGCTCCTTCTAAAGTGGACAAAAATATGCAGTTTTAAGCAGCTTTTAAATAACAGAGAAAAGACAAAAAAAAAAAAAAAAAAAAAAAAACAGAGGGCAACAGATATAAAAAACTATGCTTTAAGCAGTTATATATATATTTAAATATTGCTTATAAATGCAAGTAGTGTTACATCTGCTGGCAGAAATGTGGCTATTAAAGCCATCCACCAATAGAACTTAAGGAAAGTTAGGTGATGAACTGCAAGCAGCTGCATCTTTACTGCACAGTCAGGATTTTATAATAAGCCTGTAGGTAATGTTTCTCTGCATAATTTTCTCTCTCAGCTACAAAAGAAGTTCTTTCTTGGGAAAACCTCAAGAATATGTACTAAAGACTAGATCTCATGGGGAATTAAAAAAGATTTAGGCATCTAAAGTATCAATTAGATGCCTAATATAGATCTTAAAAAACACACCTTGCCTTAACAGCACTGCAAAGCCACGCAACCTAAAATTTCCAATGGAAGAATGCTTTAATATGAGACTGTGGCCTGCCACTTTAACCACTTGGCCTGACAGTCAGGATATGTGCTCACACTTAAACATAAAGCCTGTAAACATAAACTCTGACAGACATCAGAGCAACTTCAGCAAAAGGTAACAAGCGTGCAAAACCTCAGCCTAGGCTGGCCACTCCATGGAGTGCTAATTAGGGCACTCTCCTGAGGGGTTTGGGTTCAAATCCTCTCAGAAAAAAGATGCTGAACAGCATCCGGAGTGCCCTTAGCAGCCAGTGAAGGTGCAAAAAGAGCACCTATACCAGTGTTTCACAGTATACTCCTAATCCCTCTCTGCTTTTACAGAGGAGTCTTTCACCCAATTTCTGTGTGTGTTTCAAGGTTATGAAGGAATAAAGAAGGCTGAGTATTAAGTCTGGCCTATCCAAGAGCAGCATTTCCAATTAACTTCCGTAGATAACTCCCTGACTCTCTGGCTCGGATTTTTACAGCACCCAAAGCTCTTCATGAGCAATATGCAGAGTCTCTGCACTGGTGTGGTATTCTGCAAGACCCTTTCAAATTTAGCTCTGATAATGCTCTAATTTTCTTTGTGTAGTTGATTTTTTCATAAAATATTTTAAATTGTTCCTTTGACAATATTTCAGGCAAGCTAACTACATCCAGAGAGCCATCAAAGTATTACAGACTTTCAGCCTGTTTAAATATTTTAAAATGTACTATCCAAAATAAATGTGCAGGACCATGTTAACAACAAAATTAGTATGTATAGAGAGAAGCTTTTATTTTATAAGTGGCATTTCTATGAAAGTGATAAGTGTCAAAGAGAAAATAGAAGGTAGATAAATTGAGTAAGTGAAACATTAAGATGTTCAGTATCCCAAACGATTTTGGCAGGTCTGTTTGTGCAGCTCCAAGAGAGACACAAATGTTCTATCTCCATGCTGTGCAGTAGGTGTTGCTCCACAGTAAACCCTGCAGTCCTCATTTCTGGATGATGATCTGATGGCCAGATCCAGGCTGCATGTCAGGAAGAAACCTGAGTGCAATTGCCCTCTTCTTGTCCAGATATGTTTCAGAAGGAAAAAAAATTGTTTGTTCCAATACCTAACATTGCTTGTTAATAATGTAGCCAGGATAAAGGCACAGATCACACCTGCTCTTTCTTCCTAGACCTACAGATCCACTAAGTATCTTTTCATCATTCAATTACCAATTTTACCTAGGTTTTTACATCTATTTGCAAACATATCTGTATGGTCTCACCAAAATGGAGACTAGTTAGAGAAAGCCATTTTCTCTTGTAGCTATAGTCTAAACTCTTGATATGCAAGTAGCACCCAAAGTAATCCATTAGTCATCAGGGTATACCTGAAACCCAGCTAAGGGTATGAGGGGAATAGGTTGCTAAGAAATTGTTGCAGGTTTCTGCAATATTACAATTACTGTATATGCTGCTAACAACGTTTGCTAGTCTATTAATCCTAAATATGATAGTATTGTTTTTAAAATACTCACAAATGAACTGTTAAATGTGTTTAAATTGTGACTTTCTGAGGTGGGAAAGGATGCTGCCTTTGATTTTGGACTTAAAATCTTTGTCTGATAAAGGAGATACATAAGAACCAAGGAGGTAGGTAGGAAAATTCATTACCAAGTTAATTGCTAGTTAGTCACATAAACCTGACAGCATTTCAGCTCCTCTTCCTGAATGTGACACTGAACAGAAAGTCTTTTACTCCTTTTATCAGTGTGTTGGACAGGCAATGCATCCCACCATGCCGCAGTGGAAGGGCTGGTTCTGCTCACCCCCTTGCACGCTCCTGACCGGGACTATTCAGCCGACCAGCAGAGGTTCATGCCACATGTGGGACACGCTATGGGTGTTGTGCCACAGCTGCCAGCAGGCAAGATGTGCCTGACTCTCGAGTTAAAGGAGGGTACTTGATCTGAGAATCAGTAACAGGTTTTGCAGGGGGAATGTTTTTTCAGCAGATATTCAGGTTTGAGTTTAATACAAGAAATAGCTCACTTAAATGTTTGTTTTCTAAGAGTTGTTTGTTGTTATGAATAACACCAATCCCATCTGCATCCTCCTACTTCACTGCATTTTACCCTTCTGTAAACTCAGTTAAATATCATGTTTCTGATGCAGCAGGTGCACCAGTTGCCACCAGCTTCGTATTTCCGTGCCTTCCTCCAGCAGATAGCAGCACTAGGACTCTGCAGTCCTAGCAGCCACTACAAAGGAACATATGGCATATGCTAAACCGAGGATATGGTTGGAGTCTTACATAGCCATTCACTGCACTGAATAGCACTTAGATTAATCAAGCTGCATAAAGGAAAATTCCAGTATCTTGTAAGTCAACAAAAGTTAAATCAGATACAAAACACCAGCAGAAACACATTGCATATTTTTAGACTTTCAGGATAGCTGCACCTTCTAGTTTTTCACTTTTGTGTCATTCTTTATCTCTGCACTCAAACTAAAGAAGTGTATTTTGTTGACAAAATGGTTTCAAAGTCTGCACTAATAGCCTAAGCTCTTCTCTCCTTCCCTTCCAGGTGGTTGCTTTGGTTTCATGTGGTGCAGCGTGCTGCTGTTGTATTTGTCTAACAGGGCAGCCTCAAATGCCTAATGCTTTCAGTTATGTTAGTCAATTCTTTGTTTCGCCATACACACAGATACATTGCCAAGGAAATGGAAATTTAAACAAGTCGCAGAATTTCTGAAATATAGATGACATAAAAGCCACTTGCTAAAGTAAATCATAGCCTGGCTACTTAATGTCTTTCAGTAATGAGAAATTTCAAAGTTATTCCTAGCGACAATTGATCATAGCACTATATAGTCTTCATGATAAACACTAGATAAAATGGAAAAGAGTGTGTTGTCCATTAGTAGAGAAAATGCCTTTGAAAGCATTAGAAAGCATAGCAGAAGATATCCTAAATAAATTGACTGAGCATTGTAATGTGAAAAAGCCAAGTCAGATTTGAGTCTAAAATTAGGTCATTTATGATACTTGGGACTTTTGAAAACATTTAGCTTTAAAAACAAACCATCCAATCTATTCCCTCCATTTCTTGCAAACAGATTTGTCATGCTTGGATATGTCAACATGAAAGAAAAATGGTGTAGAAGGCAACCAGAAACAAAAGAAAAACTTCACACTCCACATTGTTCCCTCTGCTGAAGACAAAAGCAAGGTGTCATGAATAAAGAAAGGAATCAACGGCTGAAATATTTTCAGCTTATACTTTTCATCCAGCATACACTTTTCATCTGAAAACTCTGTGGGGTCTAATACTGTTGTTAACAATGGTCTTCTAAATAAGATTTTCAGACTCACACTGTTCTTTTCTAAAGTGCAGCAACAAAGGAAGTTGAGCAGGAAAAAAAAAAAAAAAAAAAAAAAAAAAAAAAAAAAAAAAAGAAGCAAAATAGAATTACTTAAAAGTTCCACTAATTCCTATCTCCAAAGGGGTAAAAAAAAAAAAAAAAAAAAAAAAAAGAGGACAGAAATGTAATGCCTGTTTGACCCTACACAAAACTCCCCTACTGAATAAGGCCATTTGTGACTGGGTCGTCTGGCATCTGAACCCACTGGGCTTGCAGGATATCAGAGCACCAAAACAGGCAGGAATAGCTTTGATCATGGGAATAGGTTAAGTGTATAAGTGATGAGCGTACACAAATTGTTCATGTCCATGCCTCTAGTCCTTGTCACATAAAATGCATCACATGTGGATAACATTTTATTCAGTGTTTAAATTACTTTAAGGATATGATTAGACACGCAAGTAGGAAAACAAAGGGGGGAAGGGCAGAGATACTTAAAAAATCAGTAATCTATAGCTTAATCCCACCCTGGCCATTTTGTGTAAATCACTGAAAATTGTACTTACAGTTGCAGGGGGGAGGGAGATGACAAAAACACAGAAAATGCATCAGAAAATGCTCTCCAGTTAGGGGTAACTGGAAACCATCCCTGAGTAGAAAACAAACCTCATATAAGCAGTACCACTGCCAGCCAGCTGTATCCGTCACCCCGTCCATGTCCACCATGGCACTGCGCTTCTCTGGCTCTGGAAAAGATCTTAGTTTCTGCTTCTCCTACTACCTCTAGCTCCTGCATTCCCATTATGGTGCTGTTAACAGACACAGGGACTAATGAAATGTTTCATGGGGGATTAAATGTACAACTGACATTTATTAATGTTATCATATTTCCCTGTGGCAGTCACCAGTCAGGGCCTGGTGCCCAGTCTCCTGTAACTTAAATAGGCATAAAGGAAAAGTTGGCCAGGGAACTTCTGTTGAAAATTTTGATTTGATTAAGACTATTTAATACTTAGGTGTTATTTTGAGGCAGGAGACTTACATCAGAAAGTCTAGTACTGTCTCAAGCAAAGTTAAAAACAGACAGTTCACACTGCAAAATTGAAATCTTTTCCTCGTGTGACATGAATGTCACACCACAATATAGCAGAGCAAGAAAAGACACATTTAAAAGTCTTTTGTGAAAAGACAAATTCCTTTCATGAAATAGATTGCATGAAGAGCAAATCTGAAGACGTGCTGTGATTTTTTTTATCTGTAGTACTCTAATGCAGAATCTTAAACACCTTCATTCAGTAAATCATATATAAATTGAAACTCTTTCAGTGTTTTCCTGTATTTTCTTTACATTCACTGCATATATTTGTGTTTTGTTCTTCAGAATCTATAATCTCTCTCCCATTGAGATTATAGGAAAATGAAGGTCCAATCTTATGCTTCATTGTACTCACGTTGTTATGTGTAAAAATGTCTGTGCCAGAAGTAATCTATCATTGTTATGATATCACCAAGAGAGAACATACGAGAATGGGAATGTCTTTCATCTAGAGCTGGTCTGAGGCTGCAAAGTTTGTATCACAATTTTTAACTGAAGCTTGATTTCCCTAAATGTTATGCTAAATGTCAGTTGCCAATACTAACATCATGATATGGAGATGAGATGCAACAGGGTCGACCATAGACCTCTGGAAGTGTGTCATGTTGTGTCATGTTGTGTTCCGTGTATGTTGTGTGAATTATGATAAGCTTCCTTTTTACTGAACTGTGGTATATGCATCCCTATATAGGGTGACACAGCACACCAGATAGGGTGGTTAATTAATGCTTTTGGAGCAAAAGAAGCCCGGCTGCTCTTACAAGCCTTGGTATGCTTTGTGAACATTCAGCAAGGGCATTCATTCATGCCTGCATATTTAGCCCATGATGAAGACCATCCTATTGTCTTCATCTCCATTATAGCTATTGTACTTGCCCTTCTGACTCCAGACCTTACATAAACTCTTCCATCTGTAAACCACAAAAACAAGATCTAGGTTTCTGAGCTCTGATTCACTGAAGCAATTTTTACTCTTGCAGATCTTCCTACTGAAACCATAAGACTGTTCTCATGACTGAAGATCACACTTAAAGATTGAGGCAACTGGATTCTTTTAATACCTGAGCTTTTAGAAGGCACTCGTGAGTACACTGATCACTGCTGAAAGAATGTTTGCAAAGGAACTGTTCTGTGTAGCAGGGAGTAACAAAACCACTGAAGAAATACACATACAGAACAGAACACAAAAGTAAGTGTCCAAGGCACAATTCGAACTACAAAAAGGCAGATGACAGTGCCTTGAACTTGTGCCCTTGCTAATCAACTGCATTTTCAGTGATATAATTGGCTAACTATGAATCAGAAAACAGTAGTTGTTAGCTGTCAAAATTTGTTGTTTTAATGGAAAAAAAAAAAAAAAGTAAAGAGATTTCAAATGGTGGCATGCTGCACATTCTTCTTTTGTAAAGTATTGCTTTGCAAACATCTTGTAAAAGAAAACAACACACTTCAGCTCTGAATCGGAACACTGGGAGATACGCCAGGCTAGCCCATACTAATTTGATTACCTACATGACTTCCAGTACATGTCTTAGCAGTGTAGATACTGCTAAAAAGCATGTGAAGAATGAAACAAGATTAGAACATAAGATATTGAAGAGAAAACTGGTCTGTTCCATACATATACCTACAAAACTACAGAGAAAGATATGTTCAAAAGACATTATTAGAATTGCTACCTGTGTCATTATACTGACAGCTCTCCTCTTTAATTCAATGTCCCTCTTCAACCATCTCCAGTGCATCACCTACTTTATCTCTCCCTACTCCTTGGTGGACTCTGAAACCCAGGGCTTTTTCCACCATCCATCACCTAACCAGAGTCTCTGGAAGTCTTCCAGTGTTTTCTCCAGTCTGTCTTCCTCCTCCCATCTCTCTGCCCTCTCATGGACAACAGCCCCGGGTTCCTCTATTCTGTCCTGTCCCCCACTGGTTACTTGTGGGAAACTCAAAGCTTCTTTCTTCACAAACTCCTTCACAAAATGTGTAGCTGGTCCACCCTGGTAGTAGCTGAGGCATTGATGAGAAAACGTCACCTTCACTATCAAATGAGTGAGAGCACTCACACTGTTGAAGGAATAGGTGGCTGAATTTCATTTTTTTTTGTAGTGAAGAGCAGTCATTTTATCTGTGTCTTCATTTCTTAAGAAATAGCTTATCTATTTTGCTGTAATCTATGTCATACATTGTCATTGGGATTGTACTATAAACTCACAGCACAAGTTACTACCACCTTTACTACAGGATAAACTGGTTTAGGTGGCAAAGCAGCTGTCACTCTGGTCCATGATCTTGCAGGTCTTTTCCAGCCTTAATGATTCTATGAACAACTGTGAATAGCTGCGAGGCCCCAGATGCAGTTAGAGGTAGCTGTAATTATTGTTCACCTCAAAAAGACTGTGGCAGTTCCTTCAGAGAAACTCCAGTGAAGGACTGTGAGGAGGCTCTCTACTGGGACAGATGCTGTCCTTCCCCATTACTCTTCGGTGACTTTGGTACCTCTCAGGGGTGAGCAAGGCTGCTGCAAATCTGCTGAGGGGGAGGGACCAGCTCTGTAGACAGCTCCTTCTCAGTTATTTGAAAGGTTGCCAAATTTTCCCTAAGGAATTCAAGAAAAGGAAGTTGAAATGAAGTGCTCTAAATGTATAATGGCATACAGTTTTATCAGGTAAAGACAGAGCATTTTATATAGCCAAGAGGCTTTCTCCCTCCCAGATTTCAAAGATCTCCTGTGAACAAAAGCAGTAGCAAGCTACTAAAAGAAAGGTTATATGCATTTAAAATATAAGCTTAGGGAACTTCACTATAGGAACCATTCTTGGCTCCCAGTAAGTTTCTAAATATATTAGTCTTTGTATGTGAATTTTACATATGGTTTTGTTAAAAGAAAGGTCATACTGTGAGTAGTTTTTTGGATTTTTACATTTCTGCTATGGATTCCAGAAATGTAAAAATGTAAATTCTTTTTTCAAAATACTACCAACTATCATGGCTTTTTTTTTTTTTTTTTTTTTTTTTTTTCCCCCCGAAGGATCAGCATCCATGGCTGTTCCCAGCTGATAGCTACAGATCAGTGCTGTTTGAACATCATTTGATCTACTGAGATGGTACTAAGTGAACACGGTTGATGGTTTTGTGGAGTTCTAGTTGTCTGCTCTGGTTGAAAGCTAGTTGTCTGCTTCACTGGAGATATAAGCTGAAACAGCTGATCAAGAATGAGATCTTACTTGAATAGTTAAACACTGTCTTCATCTAAGCATTAACTAATTTGCATGGCAAAATTCCAATTTGCCATCTATCACTTAAATGACAGCTTGTGAAACAGTAGTTCAGCATTCTTCACTTGCAGTGTTAGATTTCTATTCAAAGCAGGAGAGGAAACATATGTGGAGTGTGTGTGTTGGGGGCAGGCATTGTAAAACACACGCAGAATGCATGCTTAACACCAAAAGCATTAAATATAAAATATCAAATATAAACAAGGAAATTACTCTGTTCCATTTTAAAAAGTCACCAAAAAAAAAACAGCTGTTTGAATTGTACAGAAACAATAACCAATGTTAAAATTTTCCCTTAATCCATAGGACCAGAGGTATTTAGAAAATCTAAATTCATTTCCTTTAGCGTAATGGCACCATCCCACTAAGTTTTTCTTTAGAAACTACAAATGTGCCACCAAAAATACAGATTCACCCATTTTAGTGGAATGCAAAAAGAATCATGCTTCGTTTGGGGTAGCTTAAGCACCCTGTTGCAAAGAAATCATCTCTGGGTATAAACCAGGTTTAGAGCTAATACAAAAATAGGTGGCTATTTGTTCTCCTGTCAATGTTACTCAGGTGCATAGGACCCAGAAACTTGATGATATCTCCTATCTGAAAACATTATCTGTTTGGGGAGTATCTGTATCCATTACAAAGCCAGCGTGCTCCAAGTCTGTAAATTGACAGCTTAAAATAGGAGTAATTTCAGGAAGTGAGAGTGGCTGTGACCAAGGCACTGTTGCATTCAGACTACTAATGCAGAGCTGCTGGACAATCCTCCGAGGCCTGCTCATGGCCCGAATGTTAATGCAGCTTCCATGCTGCCAACAGAAACTTTTGAAAAAAGACATATTTTGAGTTCAGGGAGGTTTAATTATTTTTTTTTTCTGTAGGAAAAAAAAAAATCTGAACATATTTCTACTTTGTTCCATTTCAAGATTTAAACAACACAAGCAAAAATATGCAAGGTGGCAAAAAAGGAAATCCATGGCTGGTGCCACCCATGCACACAAGCACAGGCACAAAGTGTACACCTACTGAACTCACTTATCTGTCTGCCCTCTGGTCCTTCTTGGAAGGAGGCAGCTCTTTCCTTCTGGGGTTGAGACACGTCGGCATCGCTCTCCCAAGTGTTTCTGCTCCCTCACACATCCCCACAGCTCCCTTGATGTACAGCAGTTTCATGCTATGAAAATGCTCATGACACAGCCCTGTTTTCACTGTATTTCAGACATATTAAACTGAAGAAGGAACCTGTAGAAAAAAAAAATAAGTAAAATTTAGTTCTTTGGAGATACCACAGAAAGGCAAGCAGAGGTGAGATGTGAATGTCACCTGGTGAGAAGTAGTCAGTGTGCTCCACAAGTGACTGACACTAGGCAGTTTGTGTCAATTGCCCATAAGGACAGGGAATCACTGGTCCTGGATGTGCTTATCAGTGCAGAAGGGGTCAGACCAGATTCCTAATATAAACCTTTAGAACACTTTGTATACCGAGGTAGCAGATCCTCTTTTGTATGCAAGTCACAAGCATGTGCCTGCCAACAGCCTTTTCTTCACAGAGTTAAATGCAGAGTTAAATGCAGACTGTCCCCCAAACAGATCCTATGCGTTAAAGCAGGACCTCTTAGGACCTCTTGTAGGTGATTCTCCAGTACTAGCAGGTACTAAGCATCCTGTAGAATGTGGAAGCAAACATACATTTTTGGGATGGGGAAGAGGACAAGACAAAGAATTTTTAAAAACTGCAGCTGTGGTCACGGGCGTCCTTGCTCCCTAGACGTGTTCCCGGCCTGAGCACAGCGACCCAGCAGTTCCTGCTCCAAGATGCTGGGTTGGCCATGAGTGGCCCTGGCCCTTGCTCCAGCCCAAGCCCCAGGGCAGAGCATGGCCTGCCACCCAGGGCTGCCAACAAACCTGTATGTAGTTGGCTTCTCCAGGCCCCGTGGTATGGAGCAGTCAAAGGGTGACTCCTTCCTCTTCCTTCTGGTCTTCAGGTTCTGCAGGGAACTAGGCCCAGGTGTTCACACTCTCAAACGTGCTTTTTTTAAAACAGTACCAGGTATAAATAACAGAAGAAGGGTACAATCTATGCCTTTCATCAGGTGTTTTTAAAAGGCAGTGGCATACATACATTGGTGAAACAGGGCTGGTTTTACTATATAGGAGTACTCTAGGAACTTATTTCTGTGCTTATATATGCACAAAAAAAAAAAAAAAAAAAGAGAGAGAGAGAGAAAAAGAAACAAACAGACCTGGAACTACGGGTACAAGTCATAATCCAAGTCATATTTTGCAAAACAATGTAGGATGGTCAATGTTTTTACATTTCATGTGTGAAATCCCGAATTTGGCGTTGTATTTTTTATCCTGTGAATACCCTTCCTTGTTGACACAGGTAGCTCGTTATGAAGAACTGTACAAGTATACTGTGCCAGAATGGCTGCAGTAGGAAAATCCTGCTATGTGTTTGCGTGCTGGAATGTGTCTGCTTCCATAAGACGTATATTAAAAAAATTAAAACCATGTGTGAGAAAAATCAGTTTATAAAGTCTGTGATCACATTTCGGTCTTTTTCATTTTCATGAGATACATTTGAAGAGGAAATTAAAGACCAAAAACACATACAAAGAGATGAGGCAACAATGAGTTAAGATGTAAATATATGACCCTCAACGAGAAGACAGAAAAAAAGTACAATCTCTATGTTTGCCTCTGTGAATTTAACCATTACTTACGATTAAACAAGCAATCACAAAAACACACAAAAAGTGCTCTGTTGAGAGGTTCTTAATGCATCGGGAAGGCGCTTGCATTCTGTAGGCTGTTTGCTTACAAAGAGAAACTGCTAGCTCTTGGGGCTTTTCCCAGAGGAGATGGGCATTTTGCCAGTGTTTCATTTTCAAGTGCCATTGTTCACCTAGGGCTTTAGCGAAAAAGCTTTTGCTTATTTATTACTAATCCTAGCCTAAGTAATGATCATTTTTAATCCTTTTACATTTTAAAACAAATTTATCAGACAATTACACCAAACACAATGTCCCCAAAAGCTCTGGCATTTATTTTTTCATTTAATAGGTAATTCTATAATTCACACATCCATGGAATTGCTTTATTGGTTCATGAAACCTGCTTCTATGAGCATGCCATTGACAAAATATAAATCTTACTCAGATTTTGAGGACTCTTTTCAACATGCTTTCATTAGTCTTGACAACACAGCAACAGAGGAACAATGTTTATTGCTTACTTTATCCATCTGCCTGTAAACCTTTGTCAAACACTGTATCCATATATTATATTTCTCAGACTTTATATGAATTAGAATGTCTTTTTTTTTTTTTTTTTTAACAGCTTTTTCACTAACCTAGAGAAATGTCATATTTTCACTTCATGATTTGGTATAAATTCACCTTATAGCCTTGACAAATATCAGTTTGAGAGACTCAGCATAATCCTTATTTTCAACACCAAACAGTGCAGTTTGGTGTAATTGTCTGTGCTTGTACACGAGCTGCCCAAAAACCAAACAAGCATGGATGCCAGATGTCATCATTCTGATGATTAATGTTCTATTGTTGGTAAGGGATTCTGTAACTATGAGATGGCTACTTTTGTAACTTTGCTAGCCTTGCACACAAGGCTGTCAGTCCACAGTCTACACTATGAAATGATTTACCTGTCATTTAATTAGTTTAGTGCCATTACTAAACAGTTGTTTAAGCAATTTGCAATACATACATATGAAGAGTTGTTTGGGCTTTTCAGAAGTGTTGGAATGAAAGAACTGGTGTAAAAACTAGTATCAGCAACAAACCCATCTACTTGTCAGCTTCAGCTAGTGCAGCTCTCTAAACAAAACAGACAAAAATATCCTTCTACATATTTATATAAAACCCTTCTGTATATTTATATATAATGTTTTAGCAGATTATTTCAATACTTCAAAGCAATTGAGATGTCCTTGTGAAATATCTACACTCCCAGTTAGCAGTGCCAGAGGAAAAGAACACTCCAGAGATTGTCAGTGCAATTTTGTGGTTCCAATCTATGCAGAAACCATAATTTCATGCAGAAAAGGGAAAAGGAGAAGATGGCATCTTCTGTACCAAGATTCATTTTGTTAAACACTGTACAAGGAAGGAGGTTTACCTTTCAGCATCCAAGTAATGAAAACCAGTTAAAAACAAAACAAAACAAACAAAACAACAACAACAAACACCAAAAATCACCACATTTCCAGAAATTACAGAAAGATACACAAAAACACAGAATCAGGATGGGGAAGTAGTGGGGGAAAATAGAAGATCTGGTCATGTGGGACAAAGAGAAACCCAAAGAGTTTCCTTGTGTCCAATCCTGGCTGCTCCCTAGGCTTCACCAGCCAGTACCTTCTTCACATACTCACTCTACAGATTCTCTTTAGCAGCATGTGAGTGAAAGGAGAAGCTGCTTCAAACTATTTCCAGCATATCCAGCCTTACAGACAGAGGCAAGAGATGCTGAGAAGTTGCCTGGGACCTGTAGCAGCTGCTTCTTTCACAGCAACTCTTGAACCTCTCAGCTGGGTGTAAAACAAAACAAAACAAAACCAAAGGCATCTCTCTGGGATTTGTTGTCACAGTGTCACGTGTGACACAATGAAGCTTAGACTTGCTTCCCTGCACCCACGATAGAATAAGCAGTGCTTGTATAGGAGCACAGCAAAGCCCTGGAAGTTTCACCCATACCACCTCTGCTCCCTGCATGGACCAGCTCATGGACACAGCCCTCTCAGGGACCTGAATGTCATGTGATCACCAGCCAAAACACAGGCTGTGACCCCAAAATGAGGATAATCTGCCTGCTGATTCTCAATATATATATATACATGTATATATATATATATATATATATATATAAATGTCAGGAGGTGAGAAAATCATTTTCAGCTGCACTTAAAATCACCTGGATTAAAATATGATCCGAATCTGTTCTGCTTTACGGTTAAACCAATAGACTAAACCATACTGGTAAGGGATATTATGTTTGTAAAATTTTACTTCCTTTTCAATTACATTTAATTTCCACTTCATCTTTCCCTTATATTTATTCCACAAAAAAGCCATTGTGTTATTAATGATACAGAATTCCCCAAATCCATATGTTTTATGGATTTTATGTCAAACTGGACTCATAATGCTTTAATGAGGAAAAAGAACAGTATTTCGCTGTATTTACTTTTTACAGTGCCCAGCCAATAGGCCTGTAAGCAGTTTTAAATCTATCTGTAATAGCACCATGGAGATTACAAAAACAAAAACAAACAAACAAAAAAGCATTGCCAGCTTCTTCTGTCCTTCTTAAAGACCTAGTATATTTGTAGAAAAACATTAATTTCTCTCTGATGGCTGTACACCTACATACAGGTGCAGAAAATCCCATCACATTTTGTAACAAGCAGAAATCCGGTACGTGATAAAACACTTTAACAGTCAAGTGAATTTGATTCTACTAATTTTTCTGGAGACATCTAGATTGCCATATGTATGCTCAGAGATTTAGCTATTCATGTATTAGAATGACATATTTAAAGCAGTGAATTTCACATTAGCAATGCAGAGGGAGGAAAGAACGATCTTGGAAATTAGACAGTGGAAAGAATGGTGTTGGAGGGTAGCATGAGAGTTGGAAATCCTACACAAAGCAGAGAAAGAGTACTAGGGAGGAGGCAGAATGGGAAAAGCAGAAAGATATAAATTAGAAGAAGAAGAAAAAACTGAGATAGAAGATGGGAAGATGTAATAAAAAATCTGAGGAAAAGCTACAGTGAAAAGATTAATGTTAGCAGCTAATAAAAACATTAAAATGTTTAGATATCAGCATTTCATTGACATTTTAATAAGAAATGTTCTTGTGTACAAAGTTAATGCCATCTTTTCATGAAATAACTTATTTGGCCCATTGTACCCCCCCTCCTCCAGTTATGCCAATCACTTGCTGGCAGAATAAGATACCAAAATGTATGCTTATACAGTTTGGATTAAGCACTATTGTACACATATAGCCATGAGCACAGAAAAGTGCTTCAATGACTATTTATGAGATAAGGAATTTGCAGAAAGGAGTGGATACGACGGGAGGGGGAGTGGAGGGATAAGGGAAGAATCATGGAGCAAAAAGGAAACATATTCAAGAGACATCAGTCTTGAAATTAGAAGCTCATTAATTCTCAGACTATTTTCAGAGTCTCTATAGAGATTTACCATATGTGACAGCTACTCAGCCTTGGAGTCCGATTAGAAATGTTTTCTACCTACAAGTCTAAATTACTACTGCAAAGACTCATCATTTTCAACAAAGTTTGATGAACTAGCTAGCCTTTAACAGCAATGTTTTGTGCACTAAACTGCAACTGGCCTGCTATTTTTCTCATAGCACTGCTGACAGATGAGCCCGATTATCATCCTAGATCCACCTTGCTCAAGCTCATTTGGACAACAAAGATAGCAACTGAACTGAAAGAAAATTCTGGGAGAAGTAATTGAAGAGAAATTTAAAATTTCAATAGAATTTCCTGGAAATTTGCCCACAAAGCATATTGTGTATATATCCACCTCCATCCTGAAGTTTGAAAGCATATCCCAGGATGCCTGCTGTTAATGTTGCAGCCCTACCCTAGCCAGCTTTCTCGCAGAGCTTCTGGATGCTCTAGGCCAAGACCAATTTGTCAATGCCAGGTTGTATGATGATTTATGACTACAGCCGAATGAGGCTCCCTAACTAGTTGTTTTGAACTGAAACCATTCCAAATCGCTAGCTGGCAAAGTGGATGCAAGCTTGGAGATACTGAAGTTGTTTATTGAATTTCCAGATATAGTCCACATCAGTAACTTCTGCAGTTGAAGGGAAAATTTGGAAGAGCAAATATTAAACTGTTCAAAGCTGCACCATACTTCAGTAAATATAACACGTCACAGAGGGAGCTAGACTTGTCTAGGAGATGTGAGAAGTCTTCTCAAAGTCTGAGATTTATTTGGTCATTTTTTTTCAAGTCACGCAAGGAAGGATCATCTGAACATACACGCAATTTACGCCTGCAAAAACAGCAACAGCTGTCTCAACATGTACATAAATACAGGCAACTTCTAAATTATTCTGGTCCCGCAGGGTGAACAGTTACGCTCTGATTTTCCTTACCAAGTGGCAAAGAAGCCATGTACAACCCATAGAAGGGGATCAAAAAAAAATTAAAAAAAAATCATGCCCAACCCACCCCCCCTCAAAAAAAAAAAAAAAAAAAAAAAAAAAAAAAAAAAGAGTAAAAATGGAGGGTTAGAAAATTACAAGTAGTGAATCATAGAATCATGTAATTTGAAAAAGGCCCTTAAGGTTGTATTGGGTCTGGCTGGAATGTTAACTTTCTCGGCAGCAGCCCATACAGTGCCGTACTCTGTACTTGTAGCTGGAACAGCAGTGTTATCACACCAGTGTTGTGTCTGCTGCTGAGCAGCAGTGGCACAGTATTAGGCCTTTCTCTAACCCTCCTAGGGGGTGGGCAAAAAGTGAGGAGAGAAACATCACTAGGGCAGCTGACCTAAACCAATCAAAGGGATATTCCATACCATGTGATGTCACACTCAGCAATAAAAGGTGGAAACAGGAAGAAGAGGGGAGGGGTGGGCTCTCGTTTGGAAGACGTTGGTCCTCCTCTCGAACACCGGCTGCGTGCGTTGAGGCCTTGCTTCAAGGACGTGGTCAATCATCGCTCATTTGTGGGAAGTAGAGAGCAATTTCTTTCCTCTGCACTTCCATATAGCCTTCATTTATTTTGTTTGTTTGTTTTCCTCCCTTCTTTTTATTTTCCCTTTTCCCCTCCCTTTCCCCTTTCCCTTTTTATTTCCCCTTAGTTAAATTGTTTAGTTCATGGTAGTCTTTATTTAATTATTATAATTATTTCCCTTTAATTAAATTATCCTTATCTCAACCCGTGAGTTGTTCTTTGCTTTACTTCTCCCCCTCCTCATCTAAAGGAGGGGAAGTGAGAGAGCGGTTGTGGGGTTTAGCTGCCCAGCACGGTAAAACCACCACAAAGATCAACAAGTCCAACCATCAACCTAACACTACCAAGTACACCACTAAAGCATGTCCCCGAGTGCTACATCCACACTTAAATACCTCCACTGCCTCCCTGGGCAGCCTGTTCCAATGCCTAACCACCCCTTCTGTGAAGAAATTCTTCCTGATAGCCAATCTAATCCTCCCCTGGCAAAATTTGAGGACATTTCTGCTCATCCTTGCATGAAGCTAATACTGAAATAACAAAAGCATTACAAATATTAGAGGGCAGACTGAAGGATTTAAGAAATTTAAGAGTAGCTGTGTAACGAATGGCATGAATAAGGAAGGACAAAGTGGCTTGTGTGAGAAGCATGGGATAGACATACACTAGCATCATTTCTTGTTTGGTGCTAAGACTAAGATGGTGCTTAGTGCGTATGAAAGGATAAGGATCAGATCCTGTCTGGTAGTGAATTAATGCCTTTATCAAAATGATTCTCTTAAGGAAACTAATATGTTTTTTCTGAATAAGAATTTTCTTTCAGCAAAGCTGTGAAGATTGACAAAAGTTTTATAAAAAGAAAAAGAAAATATATCCTCTTTTAGCATCATTTTCTGAAAGAAAACTTCTCCCTACCCCATCCCCATTCCCAGCCCAACACAGCCATCCAGGAGTGCTTTATCAGCAGGGTTATGCAAATAATGGGCTGCACCTCAAGTATGATGAACCTGAGCCTATTGCACGTGGTGGGGGTGGCGACGAGGAAGAAAAAAGAGGAGCAGAGACAAACAAATATGTTATTAGTGCTTCCTCAATATCACCAGATCCACTAGCAGGTCAAAGTTGTAATAATTTCAATCCAGAATAATAAAATCAATGCCAAAGAATGATGAAACAAGAGCTACCATGTCTGTTTCAGGTGTTATGATACCATTATAGTACAATAGCCTTATTATTTATTGTATTTCTTCCTAGTATGTTCTGACCACCTGTGACAATTGTTTCTGAATCTGCACAGTCAAAACCTTAAATTAAATCTGACAAACATGGAAAGTATTTTGAGCTAACTTGTCCTCCCTTTGCAGTTGCTTATTATGTGAGTGACCTCTTTTTGTGTCTTACATGAGTCACATCCCTGTAGATTGTATTTATTGAAAGCTGATTGTTACAAGTGTTGACATTCACCAAGTTTTATATACCAGGGAATTAAAATAAGAAGAATCTGACAAAGACATTGTAAATAACATGAGAAACCCTTACTAAACCCATACATTGTATGAATGCAGAGGAAAATTAAGTTACTCTGCTTTCACAGGCTCTTTGTGGTGCTCAGTTCCCATTGTATGAGTGTTATTAAAAGTGCAAGCACATAGCTGCAGATATAATGTCAAAGTCATTCACATTATAACAAGGTTTCAGATGCTCCATAATGAAGACTTCATCAGAGAGTGAAAATTATTGGCTCCCCTGTTGATGACTTTTACAAAATTCTTAAAAGTAGATAGTTTGCCAGCTGGATTAATCTTCCTGTGCACAGTCATTTATGAAACTGAATTTTTACCATTGGCAACAATGCTATAGTTGAAAAAACTCCAAGAATATCAGTTTGATGACAAACAATGGTCTGCTAAATAGAGACATGCTGTCCTGACAGCTCTGCTTCAGCTATATGGCATGATATGTGCCAGCAAAAGCAAAGAAGACACTTCGTAGCATCATAAAACTGCTTCCAAAAATGAGCACCCTGCAGCTATTAGAAACTGCGTGAGAATCACCAAATGTCAGCCTCATGCTCAACAACATTCAATTTAATAAATGGATTTAAGACAGTGAAGAACACAAGATGCTTCAGAACACCCTTAAGACTACCATGATAATATTGAGTGTTTGAGAGAGACTCAAAAGCAACTGCTCACCATTAAAAAAAAAAAAAAAAAAAAAAAAAAGGGTGGGGGGGCGGGAAGGAGAAGGAGGGATTTTGTCTCGTTTTTGTTCCCTGGGACCAATTAAGAGCATTCTGTCATTATCATTGTTAGCACTAGGAACAGCATACGAACGATAATCAATTTACTGACACATCCTAATATTGATGGTCAGAGGCCAGCTCTGAGAACAACCCCACATTATTCTGGCAGTTAATGTTGTTATTTTTTTATGAAATCTCCTTTTTTTTAAATAAAAATAAAAAATAAAAATAAAAAATAAAAAATAAAAATAAAAATAAAAGACAGCTACTTACACTTAGCCAAATCCAAAGAAAAAATGAACAGTGGGCAAAAGGAATATTTCTATATATCCTCAGATCCACTGTGTGCTACAGAATTGTCTGGAAAAACAGAAGCACTATTTTTTGTCCTGAAAACTGCTGTTGAAATAGTGTAGGTTTTCTTATTCTTCCCCTCCATTTTCTTTCTTCTACTTGTCCTCCACTCCCACAGCCGCTCCATCTCTGAGCATGCCTGGGAAGGCAAGAGGCGCCAGGGACATCAGCAGGCACAAAAAGACCAACACGAAATATCTCACAGCTTACACCAAAAAGGGACCAAAGCAGAAGAAACTTCAAGCACTCCCCAAACGACACTGAGTTTGCCTGGTTTCACTGACACTTTCTGTAACAGTACTGCTACTGCTAAAAAGGCATGTATGATTTACTTGTCCCATAAAGTCCAGGTATTGGTCCAAGTACGAGTTTCTGATTACAGCAACTCAGTGTCAAAGTGAAGTTTCATCACCCAGATGACTGTGCCAGAAATGCTATAAAATGTTTGAGTTATATGATGACATTAGTTAAAGTAGGCAAACAAGTACTCAAAGCTTTGACCTTCAGCAAAAGTGCAAAGGTTGGTACTTACCGGAACTCAGAGATCTGGTGCTTTTACCACTAGTTTCTAACTAACCAATTGACAACAGCATATATGAAAATTGTAGTTCCTAAATCCCTCAATGAAATTATAGGTGTACCTTATCAGCAACCAAAAGCAGAAACTGCTGTCTGCTGTCTTTCATAGCCCCATGAAAGACCCAAAAGAATATGGAAATATGGAAAGGGGGTTCTTTCAATATTCTCAGCCAGCAATGAGTACTTGTGAAAACACTTGGAATTTAACTGACTTCCAAAGGATCCAAAGCCCATAAGGACAATGACAGAAGGAAACTGAAAGCCCTTTGTTTGGAAACAGGTTTTATATACACAAATATTAATTTACACAAAATCAGAATATGTTTGAATGTGTCAGGGCTGTAAGGTGCAAAGCACAGATAGCCAGTCTTTTGATGTGTAAAACTCTGTTACTACACTAAGGAGTTTATCCTGGAAAAGCTAGTAAATTTTTTTGATAGAAGAAAAAGCTAGTTTTGCCATAAAATTCACCAAACTCCAAATTTACTTGCAGGCTGTTGCTATTTATAGTCACTTATTAGTTTAGAAGTGCAGAGGCGTGTTCCTTTGCTGCTACCAATAGGTGCACATTGACTCAAAGAACCACGTACAGCACAGTGTACAAGGACTGTTACGCACAGCCTTAGTCCCACAGCTGTGATCATGTGCCCTGAATTTCTCAGGCTCAGTGTACAGGGTTGAAACACTAAAATCTAGACTCATCAGTGGCTCTCACTTACTTAGAAATGCTCTAGAGGCAACCAAAGCCAATTACCGATTTTAAACCTCATACTCCACATAGATCAAACATAACAGTGAACTTGTAGAAATCTCTAAGTGTGATGCTTCTAAGACAGCTTTCTGGGCAAAGAAAGACAGAAATAGAAAAGCCTCATTATATGCCTAACAACAAGGTAGAAAATATGTAGATGAATCTCATGCCTGATGGTAAAAAAGAAAAGAAGGAAGAAGGGGGTGGGTAGGCTGCAGCTAGTTTTAAGCTTGTGTCACCAGTGTAAATGCAAAGTGTTTGTTTATTAGCATCTGTAATTCTGGGGATTTGGGGACTGGGGAAGAAAGGGAGAGAGAGATTTATTTATTTCAAATACAAAGTGGACCAAGTGGCTGTCATTTTAAGATGGGAAGGGACAAAGAAAGGCCTGCAGTAGCTCAGGATAAAAAAGTGTTTCAGGCTATTGGTGATTAATTGTACTCTGCTATGCCACATCTCTTTCTATTAAACCTTAGATTGCCAAATCTGTTTCCTAATTGTTTTTGTGCTTCTCAGTCTTCCTTTTGTCTTGCATAGGAGTAGGCAATTTCTAGGCCATCAATATCTCATTAAGGGGTCTGGGAAGTGAAATGCCTTGTTTTGCTTTTAATTTTGTTTTCCAGGCTTTTTGCTACATTTTATGACATGGCATTTTTTGTTTGCTTGTTGCGGTCCATTTATTCTCTGGCATTCCTTTCCCTAGGTTATAGGTTTATTTGTTTCTTTGCCTGTTGGCATTCAAGGTGTATGCAAATTATTGTTACATGCTTCACCATCACTACCTATTGCTCTTAATTTCCCCTAATGACAGTCTCATTTGAATGTTAGCGCCTGCTCAGGTTGTACATGTGTAGAAAACAACTTCAGCTCATCTGTGAGCTCTTTTATTTATTTCTGTCATATGTCTGTGTCCCCCTGCCCTCCCCCCCCCCCCCCCCCCCCCCCCTCTTTTTTTTCCTATTACGGTTTGCATCAGAGTTGTTTTCATGAGGAAAGAAATAATACAGCTGCATGCTTTCAGCCTAGGGCAAAATCTTTCTACTGCTAGTGCAAGTAGCTAGTGCTTAGAGGAAAAAGGAAGGGCATTCACGCAAATAGCTAATCAAAGGGTTTTTAATGATACTCATTAGGAAAGAAATTCATTAACAAGCCAGCACAAGAACATTCCCTGAAGCAAGAGTGATGCTACTGGTCACATCAAAGTCCCCACCTGACTAACACCTTTATTGCTGTTAATAGTAAGGCCAAGTTAGCAGCAAAATCAGTCGCATTCGGGCCCTGATAAGGAAAAAAGTCAGCAAAGCATGGTCATTGAAAATGGATTAATTGTCTTTTACTAATAAGAAGGGGTTTTCACAGGGTTGTATAGTTGAGCACTCACCATTGATGCCTTTGAGTTCATACAGTTTTAGGTTCCCCACCCTTCATACTCTCCCTCTCTCCCCATTTCTATTTTGATACCTCTGGCTATGTCCACACTGGAGGCCACAGAAGCGGTGCACACACCCTCCCTGTGTCCCAGTACCACAGAACCACAAACCTCAAATGGGTGCCACTGCCCCCTTCTGAGTGAAAGCCCACAGGACACCTCCTTGCATGATGCAGCAGGACCTGTGCTGAACTGCAGGCAGCTCATTCAGAAAGGACAAGGCACCCTGTGGCATACACCTACTACTCAGGAGAAACACAGCCCCTCAGCATCAGAGCCACTTCCAACTTGCAGGCATATAATTGCCTTTTTTTATGCTCACACCATTACTTACCTATAAAAGAGACTCTGTATTTTTCTGCCAATTCATTCCTAGAGATTAGTATTAGTATCTTGGGATGCTCATTTGCTCTGTAAAAATTAGGTTTTTAGACTGAACCAGAAATCTTACTTTTATTGCACTGCTCTGATACAGTAGAGCTCAGTTATTAGAACAAATTGGAGCAAGCCGCTTCCTGGTTGTTATACCCACATAATTACTACAGGCTGATACATGAAACTGTGCTTCACTCTCATGCTTAGAGGCGAGATCTCCATTTTGCAAGGACAGAGCAAGTTCTATTATGCATTTTACTGCCAAAGGAGGTCAATTAAGTTTAATTGGTTCTAATTAGCACTTGCTCAAGCTGTTATATTCTTTACCTGCATCCGAGTGGCTCTCCAAGTGCTGCACAATGGACTCCTGCTTTTGAACACAAACAAGAATTACTAATGGCATCCTTGAAGGCAAAAGATGCACTGATCAGCATAAATGGGGAACAAATATCAGCTCAAATAGTTGCAGGCCTTTTTAGAAAACAACAACAACAACAAAACAACAACAAAAAACACATTTAATCCCCATCTGGCTTTGATCAATTGAAGTGAATGCAACTGTGGACCTTGCTGTTGAAAGTTATAACACAGAAAGTACACAAATGTAATTATTTGCTATGTCATAACCTATTTCATAACCTATTTACAGCTGAAAGTACTAGAGAATAGGAGGGAAGAGTTCAGCAGCTAATTAAAAAAAAAAAAAAAAAAAAAAAGCAATTTCAATGGTAGCTAGGAAAAGGAAAACAAAACCAATACCAAAACCCAAACAAAAGCAAACATGTACATCTCAGATGCTTTGGTTTTGGATTTTTGAGGATTGTTTAAAAAGTTTTCTGTTAAAGTGACAGTTGTTTTTCTTTCTTTTTTTTTTTTTTTTTTTTTTTTTTTCATTCTGCTGCATAGAGAGGAACAACAACATCACTGGCCTAACTGTCATCATATGCAATTTTCAGTCCTCAAGCCATGTGGTGAGACAGAGGCATCAAATTCAGGATGATCTGTGCCAGACTGAATGAGGAGTCTCAAGTCAAAAAAGAGACTGCAGTGCTGAGGCATGCTCAAAGAATCTGTTTTCTGCTGGGGCCTTCCTGGATGCAGCTGAACAGTTACATAAAGGCAGGTTAGAGAGCAAGCTCGTCCTTACAACAGCACCAGAGCTCAGAGCCAGCTCTCCCCAGACGTCCAGTAACTGCCCACATTCACAGCATCTAGGAATAGCCAAGAGTCTCCTCTGGGTCCCACCAGATGTCTCTAAGCCATACTTATTATTTTGGGTGTAAAAGCACCTGGCAGGGCAAGGGGTCAGTCTGAAACAGAAGCAGGGAAACATGCTAGAAAGGGCAGAGCGGATGGTTGGGTACCACTGCTCTACTGTGATCCCTGGCCCCCTCCAGATAGCAGGGCAGACATCCAGCCACTCAAGACATGCAGAGCCCTGCATGATCCCCAGCATCTCCACACCTCTTTTCTTGCAGCCCCTGTGCCAGATGCCTTGGATCCAGGGAGAGAGGCAGCACCAAGTGTACACGCCTCAGCAGGACAGCACTAACACAAGGACTGCAGAGGGTGGTTCCAAAACGTGAGAATTGCCTGATCTGCAGTCCCAAGGTGAAAGTCTGCAGTGACTAACTTGCTGGAGACTTTCCCTGCCTTGACAGACTTCATCCTTGCTAAGGTACAAGCTGCCTTACAAGGTGCCTAGGGAAGGGGTCCCGTGGTGCCTGCTGGGCCTGCTGCCACATCTGCTTGGCAGCAGCAGACTGCTGGGGTGGGAACAATCAGGGACGGAGTCTCACACACCCTGAGTGTATTTCAGTTCCATTGACCTGGGTTGACCACACATTTAAAACAAAGGACCAGATTTAGTGTCCCAAAGACACTAAATTTTGGTAATTTATTGTGGCATGGACACTTAAAGCAATGAAGCTCTTACATATCATCAGCAGTTCAGAGTTACATGAGAAACTGAGGTGGACCTGGCTGATTCTAACTCAGCATAACTCTTCTTCTTTGCTATATTTCCTGCTGGTTGAATGTACCTCCTAAATGAAGTGTCCATTGCCCACATGTTTTTTGAAAATAATTTATTTTTAGCTAATGTGTTCCAGATAGATGGAAAAAAACATAACATGTTAAAAAAAATAAAAGTGAAATTAAAAAAATCCTCCCCTCTGCAAACAAATTCCCCGCAGACTTCATAAAAAAAAAGGACAACTTTCTCCTGCTAGCTCCCCTGCTAAAATTTCCCAAGGCTGTTAATCATTAAAAAAAAATTAAAAAATAAATAAAAAAACAACATGAGAAAAAAAACATTGTAGAAAATCCAAAGAAGTTGCCTCTATTTAAAAACAAACAAACAAACAAACAAAAAGAAAAAACACAATCAGTTTCTGACAGAATCTCCCCCAACCTGAGTACCTTTCCTTTGTCAGTTGTGAGGACTCTTTCCCAGCCCTAGTATACATCTTTTCTCCTGACTGCCAATGCATAAACCAGCATATTATTCTTTTTAACAGTCACGTCTTCCTTTTACATTGGCTTATAGTTAAATCAATATACTTAAAACATTCCATGCTCCTTTTTTTTTCTTTTTTTTTTTTTGTATTTTTTTCTTTTTTTTTTTTGTATTTTTTTTTCCCAAGGAATTTCAGGTGACAGCCAAAAGTTACTCAGAAGGTTAACTGACTTGGATAAGGACTTGAGAAATATTAAATAACAAAAAAGTCTGTTTGCATCACTGATATGGTAGCAATACACCACTGAAGTACATGTAACAATTTATTATTTTACTCTTCAGCCCTCCCACATTAAAAATTGAGCATATATTCAATGCAAAGATTGAGAAAAATTGACCTAGCACCTAGCCACATTCTGTGGACACCCTGTACTGGGTTGGCAGTAGCTCCACCAATACAAAACCCCAAGACAAGGGGTTCAGACCTGCTAAACACAGGTTTTTACATGTGTACTACATTATGGGCTTTAAACAAAGTAAGCTTGTACTGTACAGTACTGTACTGTACAGTACATTGACAGTAAAGATGCAAATGTATCACTAGAATAGCTGCATCAGTGCAATTTCATTGGTACAACTATTCTCAACGTAGAGAATCTTCATCAGAAATCCCTATGGCAGGTGATGCCATCAGGCTACTTATAAGATTAGCTTAGTTCAGAAAACATGTTATAAAATGATCCTTGTTACCTGTAAGTGGACAATGATGATTATAGCTCAGTCTATGTTATTATTGCCTGATTGTTTCCAGTTAGGATTTTCACATATTGAGTCCTTACTCAAGGTCTTTTAACATAGATTTGAAATGTGAATATGTTTTATTTTTTCCCCAGTAAATATACAATACACACTTCAACAGTACTATTAACCAACTTTTTATGCCAATTAAACTTTGCTGCACTAACAATACCAATGAAACACATTAAGAGGTCATACTTTTTTGTGAACCAACTGTAGCCAATAAACAGTTTTGTATTTAAAAAAAATAATAATAATAAAAAAAACAATTCTAAGTGCTGCCACAACATCCCTTTTCTTTAAACACATTATTCACAATAAATGTTTTCATTTTTTTTTAAAAAAAAAGAATACTTTTTTTAAAATAGTAAATTAAATGGCATTTTAAAAAATATGTACTGTGGTTCATTGGAAGTACACTGTATAGAAAAGAGAGAGAGAAAAAAAGAAGAGACATCACCTGTAAGATAATGGAGACACTTTGAGATACACAACAACACCTCATGTAATATTGTAAGCAAATTATTAATGAACAAAAATGTACAGAAGCAGATGGACAAGTTAGTGAGTATCATGGTACTGCACAGCTTTAATACTGACACACATTTACTTTCCAGTGGAAGAGATAAAACACATATTTGAAAGTAATTGGGATGACTTTATCAATGTCTAATGATACTGAATTTTAAATAGAATATAGTAAGGTGTTCCACCAAAGCTCAGCACAAGCTTTCAAATTGACAGAAAAAATATTCTACTTAGTTAAACATTTTCAGGAGAATTCAATTTGAATTGTACCCCGAATAATCTTCTCTTCATATGATAATAACAACGTAAAAAAATCATTCATATTTATATACGATGCCTTCTTTATCTTGCTTGAACATTTTTGCACATTTTTAAGCCATGGTTTTAACTATAATGACTTAACAAGCAGGAAAATTACTTATTCTTATTGGTCACATATAGAGATAAAGCATTCTTTTTTCTCTTTTTTATTTTTTTTTTGGTTTGTAACTTGCTAAATAACGATCTTGACCTTAAGGAAGTCAACTAGCATTTTTTTTTATATTTGATAGTGCTGAGTTATAGCTGATGGCTGTAGTGTTTTATCTTATCATGGAACAAGTTAATGAAATGAAAAGCAACACATATTTAGCATTTTAATTTACTTTTCTAAAATTCTGCCATTACTAAAAGTGTCCTTAATACTGGTGAGCTCCAAGGCAATATATAAAACAACATAGACTGGTTATACGAAAAAGGTATTCAAATGGAAACTAGTGTTTATGGTCAGATAACTAACAGAAATAAGCTGTAGGATGCAATATTTAAATTAAGCATCAAATGAGTGGGCTACCCACATACAATATTCTAAGAAAAGTTGACAATTTTCTCATTGAGATTTGAGAGGTACAGAAGATTTGGACAAAGTTATGAAAATTATTGAAGAGACAGGATGCTGTCATTAATGTCCACTTACAGAGTTTGGTTTATTAAAAAGTGTATAAACATGCATTATTTCCTCATCATAGTAGGGTGTGAAGCCACTCATAAAAAAAAAAAAAAAAAAGGTCAAAGATTTTCTTTGCTAATATCCAACTTTTTGGATGCATTGTATCTCAAGTAATATCTTTAATGCAAGCTGAAAATAATTTGACTGTTATTTTCCTTCCAAACACTAAAATTTAGTGAATTCAGCTTCAGCTCTCACAGACTTCAGGTAAAAGAACATGAAAGTTTGTCTAGACTGCATCAAAACAATTAATGTCATGAATTTCAGTGGTGCAGCTCTATCCTCTAACGTACTGTACATGTATTGGAAAGACCAAATAAGATACTCTGACATTTATTTTTTTGGAAGCAGCCTGAATAATAAGCAGTCTTAATAAAATTGCATCCTTAACTACTTACTAGGTATTCCTTGAGTTTATACAGTTTGTTACTCCTGGGAAATTTCTGACTTTTATTTTAGGTTGCAGAAATTAATGATAATTCTTTCCAAACTGCAATATAAAACAGCTTTAGTGAAACACCTTAGTTTCTTTTGTTTGTAGCAAGATTTGTTTTTCTTCTCTTTACTTAGCGGCATTGGATGGCTAAAAATGGATACTAAGGGTATCATTCTAGTGAAAGGGTCTAGGCCACCTTATGCTACTGTTAATTTTCATATTCACTCTTTAAACAAACAGTTCTAACTTTTGACCCCTTCTTAAATTGGAAGAGCAGCTATGTTGCCTGCTTTTAAAAGATTTAAATCGGTCTCTGATGTCTTCACTGACATCAGTTTTGCCTGTCACTTTCTCATTTCTACACCCCAATGGAAAACCACCTAACATACTCCTTTACATCCAGCATTATCCAAAGTAGCTTACAGTACGTAAACCTTCTTCACACATTCAGTCTCTTTTTTTTCTTCATGTCATGAGGAGTAAAGTTTTGTGCTTATCACCAAATAAAATTGCAGTGCAAACTTTAAACATAAAAGTTACACAATTAAAAGTTAATATATGGCACCACAGCCTATTAATTCACATATAGTACAACAGACCAATAAAAACAGACATGAATATGAACATAGCTAAAAAGAAGGTGAACTTGCATAGCAATGCAACAAAAGAAATTATATACAGAAGGAAACCCTTTTCATCCTGGAGGGTGATTTTTTTTTCTTTTTATATACTCCTGACAAGGAATAGTTTAAGGTGAATGGTGTATTAAAGAGAAGAACACAAGTAAATTATCTGTGGGATATGTGTGGCTGTGTGTCTTTACATTGCATTTACAGTTCTTTTAATAGTACATAAATAAAGAAAATGTTCATTGCACTGTTTAGTGTCATCACTTCCATGAGTTCAGACCTGATGGTCCATCAGAGCAGCTTGCAATGTGTCTTCTCAACTACTCTATAGAAAGAAACAGAGAGAAAGAAAGAAGTTGTAATAAGGAGAAAAACAAAACAAAACAACAAAAACACAAACCAAAGCCTATGGCAATATTACTGCAGCACAAGATGAATATTCAGTAGGTTGGGAGAAGGGAGTTAATTGCTAAGATGAAAAGTGATGGATGCTAAAATTCAGCACTTACCAACACCATATCCATATCTGAGATAGCACATTTCAGGGTGTGTGAATCACCAACAGCTCTCTTACAAGCTACTGGGAGGTAACAGTAGGTAGGTACTGAGAGTTTGACTGGCACAAATAGGAGGCAGACATGCCAACAACTACATTGCTTTTACTAGTAAAAATACCAATATGCCTGAGCTAGGTTAGATGTTGGCATACTTCTTCAAGCAAGAGACTTAAACCTTTCAGGCATTTAATACCACCATTATGTGTGCAGCATTAGTGTGGTTCTATCAAGGTTTAACAGATACTGAGTAATAATAAAAAAAAGTTTGGAAAATAATTCCTCTGGCCAGGAAAACTGAGGAAGGAGCTGGGATATACAACTGAGAAACTGGGTACAAAGCTGAATAATGGGACCCATATCCAAGAGCAGAACACTACTCAACAAGCAACAGAAAGTTTAGGAAAAGCACAACCTTGTTAGTTTAGGAAAAACACAACCTTTTAGGAAAAGGCACAACCTTGCCACTATGCCCAGGAAGTTCAGTTTTCATTCACTCCTCTGAGAAAAATCTCCAATACCTTTTTTTTTTTTTTATTTTGCAAAGAAAATTCTAGAATATTAGAATTTCTATTTAATTTTGACAGTGTTTCCAATTTCACTACTACTACACATTTAAAGATGTACTATGTAGATAACCTTGGCATTACTTAAACAGATTTGAACTGGTTCAAGTGAAACAGCACATGAACTTCATTTGGTTGTCATCAAAGGAAAAAGACAGAAGTCAAAAATATCTTGATAAAATTTAATCTGATTATCACACTGAAATTCCTCCTCTCTTCACAATGGATTTATAATTTGTGTCTTTTTGTGTATTTGAGAGTTCGAACTACAGCTAGAGATAAACTTACATAATTCACCAGTAAACTGTCCTTGACTGTTTGATCCCACATAGCCTATATCAAGAAGGTCACTGGCATTGCGTTGGTGACCTCCTCGCAAGACTTCACCTTTTCTAGGTCCGGTCGATCCTTTAGAAGAAGCTGTTCCTGAAGAGCTGTGTCCACCAGGGGATGGGAAGTTGGGTTTACTATACGGTACCAGTGCCTCTTCTAGAAAAGCAAAACAAAACAAAATCAATACACTAGAAATAAACAAGCTGTTCTGTTCTGGACATCATATTCATTCCCTGCTTTCAGGTATCTATCTTTTATCTTCCTTTACAGCATAGCAATTTCACCAAAGAAAATATGCAACTCGTTGTATCCCACAGACCAAAAACAAACAAACAAACAAAAGCATGAGTTTAATCTTTCTTTCTTGTAAATGCATAAGTTAGTTTGTATTAATTATAAAATGCCCAGATTCATTATGAAGTAATAGATCATGAATCATAGATTGTTTAATAAAAATGGATGCACATACAATTTCCAAAACAATGCAGCTATAATTAGATTTTTGCTTCAAGCCTACATGAATATGCTTTTTCCTTTTCTTTAGTTTAAATTATGGTAACATTACCTCAATCAATTTAGATAAAAAACTACAATATCAGTTAATTTAATTAGCTTCCAGCAGCTCAGTAATTTCTAATGATGCAAAGTACGCTGAAGATTTTTTTTTAACTGGCTGTGAATTACATTGGAAAATATTGTATTACACATAACATTAGCAGTTGTAATATTTGGGGTGAGTAAATCTTGCAGCTTGTTTCATATTCTGTTATGAGGAAAAGGTTCACTTTTGCTCACTTCACCTCTTAGGAAAGACCTGTAATAATGAACTGCTTGCAAGAGTAGCATTAATACTCAATAAAACGCAGGACTGAATATCTTTACATAGCATCAAGTAAAACAAGACATCTCATCTGATCAGAGTTTCTGGGGCATATTGTAATAATCCTGACCTAAGAAGCAAAACAGCAGCACTGATTTAACACTGAAATAGAAGAACTATTTTCTTTGTTGCGTATGATTCACTTTTGCTGTCTTGGAAGCAGAAGAAAAAGATGTTGCTAAATAGTTTGAATCAAGATAGAATCTAAGCATATATCTTTAACCTTGAACACAAAAATTACTCTTTCTGAAATCAGTAGAATATCTCCTGCTTGAATCTTATTTTTTTTTTTCAATTGAATCTGGGCTAAAAGGTGTTTTGTTGCTGTTGCCGTTGCTTTTTTAATATTGTATTTTCCATTGTTTTCACTCTTAAACAATCTGATGGGGAGAAACGTACTTTCTTTGACAGAGAGCAGAAAGAAAAGTAGGTGGGGATGACTGGAAAGGAAGAGGAGATAAAAATGCTTTTATTCACAATCTCGAAGCCTTTGCCTTGGCTGCAGCAGGGGCACACAGTCAACTTAGGGAAATGCTAAACGAGAACATATTTGTGGAGGAGACACAGGACTTTATTCTCTGTGTCAACCAACACAAGTGTATAGGATACATGAATTCCCCATATGATCTCCTATTGAACAGAACCTTTTCATAAGATAAATCTGTTGCAGAAGAGGGCAGACAGCCGACTTCTTTCTCTGACGAAGTATCTCCCTATGGCTCTGCCCAAGGGACCAGAATATTTGCACTGCAGGACATAAGGACATTATCAGTGTTTTGTGCTATGACTGTGTTGCCCTTGCTGAAATGTAAGGAATTGCTTAAAAGACATAGTAAAATGCCATTTAACAGCCAAAGCCTCCTAAATTATGTTACCTGTTCTTTATATATCAACTCCTAACAACAGAATCTGATGCAAACCTGCTTTCCAAAGGCTGGCTGAAATATGGAACAGCTTGCATTAAGGTAGCAATAAAGCAAGCAACATAAATCAGTTTAGCAGAAAGCTGGATATATTTTTAGAGGATGGAAGGAAAAGTCACTAGCATTACAAAAGAGTCTGAAGATGACATATATGGTCAACTGATTTGTTTTTCTAGTTTGTGGACTCAGGATAAGGCCTCCTTTGGGTTCAATGAAATATCGAGAAAAAACGACCATGAATAAATATAAAGTACATTATCATTATAGAGCATATGGTGTGTTAAATTACCTGTTCTGTCCTCAGAAATAAATGTAATCCATAAAATAAGCAATTGTAACATAAAATTAGGGCTAAGTTTTCTGTAACGTTGTAGCACATGAAAGGTAGGTGTCTGAAGTCCTTAGAATAGGCTCACTTTCATTAGACAGCTCTCAAGACAGTGCCCCATGCCTCAGTCTTGCAAAGAATATGGGGAGGCTTTGTCAGCGCCTTTCTCTTTGAAAGACTGAGCCTTTTCTGAAGTTATTCTATAACATAATTCTATCCTATACAAAATCTGGGTATGCATGGGAAGTAAGACATTTCTATACCCAACAGAATAACCAAGAGGCTAACCAATATACCCAAGAGAATAACCAATATTGTCAAAATTATTTTAACCTTGTTTAGCACTACTTTCTGTAGAGGGGTAGCTGAGAATGTCATATTTGATGTGCTTCTCCTGTTGTCCCACAACTAAGCCATTAGCAGGAACTCAGCTATCTTGTCTATTCTGAATGCAATCAGTGGACACCTGGCTCCCAACATCAGATATTCTATTTCTATTCACCTTCAAAATAAAGGGTCTACTTTCAAAGTTTCACCCAAAGCCTCACAATGTCTGAATGAAGCTTCCTTAACTGCAAGACACTTATTTTATGGAAGTGAATAGCTAATGATAACTCCCTCTGGAAATATTTGAAAACTGGAAGAGAACATATTACCAGAGATCTTTGTCATTAATAAAGGAAAAGAGAAGAAGCACAACTAGTATTATTTAAAAAATAAGCATGCCATCCAAGTGCAGCCTTTTAAAAAACTAATAGAGAAAAGAGTACAGAGTAAGAAAGCCATAGTGCAGAAGCAGGGATGGGAAGAAAGACATACAGGTATGAAGGTCTGAACCTGTCCCACCAGTTTAAAACCACAGTACCTCCTAGAGCAACCCTCTGTCATGCATGAAGGATAAGCACTTGCCCGGGTCATCCTGAATTTGACAAGAACAAGACACTCCAGCCCTAAAGTCAGTGCTCAGATAGGGCACTGGAAGTGTCAATATCAAGTTCTTTTTATTTATGGTCAAAAAATGCAAGTCATGCAGTATGGGAATTTTACTACTGCGTACCCTCTATGTCACAGAATAACTGACAACTTCTCTTTGTACACTTAAAGTAGAGGAAAGGAGGAGAGTTGTGGTTAAGAAGGTCAAACAAGTATACTTAATATTCATTTCAAAAAAAAAAAAAAGATGAAGATACATGAAGTAAAGTATATTGTGCTATTTTGTATACATTTGTACATCTTGTACATTTTAGTTAAAATTGTCATTACACCAAGTAGCATTAATTTCACACACTAATGCTATTTTTAATCTGAGACTTCACATCATCGTTTAGCAACATGAACAACTAACCACTTGTTTATGCAGCTGAAAGATTAAGGGGTATTAACTGTATCATTACTTTTACATTTTAAAATATGTATTGTATTTTAAATGTTTAAACTTTAATATAGGTAGCAATATTTCCTAGGAGGACTTTACTCAGTAAATCCTGCCCCCATGGCAGCTTTGCCAGCATACTACTATTTTTTTTAGAACGTCATTGATATTAGGGTGATAAATTAACTAGGAAAATTAGTATTAGGATAAAATCTGAAAAAAAAAAAAAAAAGATGAATAATATGAGTGTGTCTATTGTCACTACAATACAGCTACATACAGACTTGAAGAAGTAGTGTAGCTCTAGAGAAAGCTCCGTGTATCATGTAATTTTTTGTGTGTTAATTGTCTTTGAACAACTGCCTTCTTGTATCACTTCAATCATCACTCGGATAACATATGATTAGTGGCTTAAAGAAAATACCCTAGTAAGGGGCTCTGAAACAGCAGCTTTCACTTGTGGTCAGGCTGCGAAAAGGGGTTTGCAAATGGTGTAGAACTGCAACTCCAGTTCATCATTGCCTACTTTACACATTTTTGCAGACTTGAAATCCATTTAAAAGATAAAGTCAGCACTTAGCAACAAGTAGGTCCTGTATAAAGGTGAAAGCCCATGCTATAATCTTGCTAGGCCTAGGAGATGAATGTTATTTTGTCATATACTTGAATAAGGAGAAGACAGTGTTATAAATATAGTTTGAATGAGTGTCAGGAGTTCAGAAGGACACATACTGAAACAACTGCCGATTTGGATGCAAGTTGAAAGAACTAGAAAATATAGCCCTGTATGTATGAAAAAATACATCTAGCAGAAACTACTCTAAAAATCTCTTCCTCCTTTCCTGCCTGACTGAAACTGCTCCTCTTTTTCCTACTGCTATGCTTAACAACATTATTAATTGCCAAAACACCGCAAAGAACACATCAAGTTAGGTGCTAATGAGATTTCATGGCTGCAGGAGGGAAAAAACTTGGACCACAAGCTCCAATTTCACTTAGTCTCTTTTTCATTTTCTAGCGTGAGCCCCAGCAATGTGGGAATGCAGGGATGGAAGACTATCTTAGCCAGATACAGAAATCCTCAACTGAAAAGCTTCAAAAAGCCGTCTACGTGGCCTCATTTGGTGCAGCGCACACGCACCTGATCCGAATGCTTGCTTGTGTTGGGCTTTCCTGAAATCCTCTTGGCGATCTGCGGAGCTTATCCACTCCTGGGTTTGCCGCTGCCACTCTAGTGACGTCCTAGCTTGCCGGTCCAAGGAGCTCTTTGTGTCATCTATGCTGGGTGCATGCTGCCTCTCAAGAGAGCTTCCTTTCCTCTCTGCCGAGCCTCCACGCTGGCCAGGGACTATTTGCTGCCTTAAACCCTGACCAGGAGGCGGGTCGGGTGGTGGTGGAAGATCTAAAAAATGTGAATAAGATTTAGATGAACTAATTTTTAATTGAAACAGAACTTCTATTTGATGCTGAAAAGAAACAAACAAAAGAAATCCCTCACAAATGGTATGAATCTGTTGATTTTAAAAAGAGGAAATTTCATGTTAATCAAAAATGTCTGTTTACTTTCCACTGGTTTTCTACAGCAGGTTATTGTGTTGCTAGCTCTTTCTAACATCCATAATAATCAATAGACTCTGAGCCCTGACTTACACTTCCAAGAATGATATTTATTTTCCATCTGGCTCTTTGAGTAGCGACTAAGTAATAAGAACTGTAAGAACCAGATCAGTGCCAGTTGACAGAGTAATTTTCCCCTATCATATTGGGAGGCTTGCTTCACCACCCCCTTTTCTTGGGTTTAATTTTCAGCTTGAGACTTACACTTAAAATCTAAATATGTTACTTCGACAAGATGCAAAAAAAATCCACAAAATCTTGGGAAAGAATTATTCACAAAACCTATTGTCACTGAAAATGCATCAATGTGTCTCTGGTAAATCCATGTTCAAATGGAACAAGCAATGAGTGAACATTTTATTCAAGTATGATTTCAAAGTTCTCTCGAAAGCTATAGTCTTCACAGACAAGAATACCACCACTCTTAAGCTTATCAGTCTTGCAAATATAACCAATCAAAATACAATTTCAGTTGAAAGGTGAAAGACACCTGCCTGGTCTCTCTATCAACATATCTTTTTCAAGTTTATGACTAAGATGCTTGTAAAATTGGTGATAGAGCTTCTAATCACATTTGCAGAGGCAAAAGTACACTGTGTTTTTTAGTTCATGACCCAAGTTAATTATAGAATCTGGACAATGATAAATCTAAATGTAAGACTTTCACATAAACCATACGATAGACTAGTAAGAGTTAAGAAAATCTTTAGATTATTAAAAAAAAAAAAGAAAGAAAAACGAGAGCATATAGTATACTCTCCCATATAAGCTACCTGTTTTATATTTAGTTTATATTTAGTTGTTTAATTATCGTTCTGGTCAATGCATAAATAAATCCATGCAGCCTCACTAACTTCACTAAATCTATGTTAGTTTACACTAGGTATGGTTACACCTCACTTTCTATTACTTTGTACATTCATGTTGTGAAGGTTCATCAAGGAATTCAAAAGGCATGGAAGAGTAAGTCACCTTTTTACTTGTAGAAAGAGCTGATTTTCATAATCCTAGTGAGACTTAAACTCATTTTATATATTGTTGAGGAGGCCTTTGAAGCTAAATTATTTTGAAGCCTCTATTCAGCTTTATATGAAGCTTCATGTCCTTGCTGTTAGAGGTAGTATTTCTGTCTCCTACATTTGGGGCACAAATGCTTCCAAAGTTGCTGTGTGCAGATGTGTGGGTTATTTGTATCTAAAAGAGAAAGAAGTTGTATCTGATGTTGCTTCTGTACATTTTTTAAGAGCTGAAGTGTTATATCCCAGATTAAGATATCTATCTTCTGGCTAGAATGGTTTTATAACAATCTTCTAGCCAGCTTGGTGTATTCTTTATTTGCAGATCTAATTTATTTGAGAAATTTTTAGTTATGAATATAGATGTGACCTTTCATGACAATGACTATGCTTGAGTTAATGTAGGTGGAAGCAGGAGAGTATGGGAGCTTGCCAATGTTAAAATTGCTTATAGTGTTGGCTTCCAAAATGGCATTTCTTATAACTGATTTTATTGCAATCATAACCAGCTAATGTACAGAACAACTGGAATCTGCTTATGCAATCTGAAATAGATATTACTGAAGTTGTGATGTGTAAGCAATGGAGATGTATTGAATCCAGTAAGCACAGTCATAACATGTCACTGGACAATGCAATTTTCCAAGATAAAATATTTAGTTTAATATAAACTAAAATTGTAAGTAGTAGTATCACTACCAAAAAAAAAAAAAGGTTTAAATTATTGCATTATATAAACTTAACATACAGCACCTTTCTTCAGCAATTGCAATCTAATAGTTGTTATTAATTAGATACTGAGAAGCAAAGACTGTACTTAACCTGTCCTGCATGTTCTAGATCTATCTGTTACTCCTGGAATTACAGTAGGATTATGCTGTTGATTTGATGTTAACCTGACTTTTACTTTTACATATCCTCAAAATGGGCATAATAATTGCTCGATGAATAGAAATGAAATGAAAAACCATGTTTGTGAAGCTCTTTGGGTGTTTTAGACCTGTGGCTGAGGTAGCTGAAATTAAAAAAAAAAAAAAAAAAAAAGTTATTTTCTGATGAAGCTTCACACAAATCTAGAAGGATTACAGGTACTACAGAATTAATATAAGCTGTCTCCAGCCTGAGTACAAGCTTACTGAACTATGCCAGATATGTCTGAGAAGATCTGTAGAGGAGGTTACTAATTCTAGCCAACCATCACCTGACTAAACCATTCACTTTTTCACCTTTTTACTGAGGTTGATTGTCACATTAACACCTACCCTTCCTTTTTAATAAAAGAAGCTGGAGGAGAGCTCTGTGTGGCAATGTGTCTTTTGATTTGTTCCACAACTCATCTTATGCTGCAGATCTTCTGCCTTAGGTAAAGTTAACAAATATGCTGTTATCTTGTCAGAGCATATATAAAGACACCGTGCATCTGGAACTATGAGTTTCTGTCTCCAATGCCACAGAGAAGTCTCACCTTTCCCTACCTCTCATCTCTCTTCCCAGCAAAAGACATCTATTTGACTCAGCACACACTTGTAAGTCTGTACATTCATGATGGCTAATGACTGGGATTTCAGCTGCTACTAAAGGGTAACAGAGATCAGACGACTTAGTCCTCTCATTCCCTAAGAGGCAGACTTATTACCACAGAGAGGCAAGCAAACTCATTCCATAATGTCAATCACTCCAAAAAAGATTTGAATGTAGAAAATTAGGGACTTCAGGAGGATTTTCTGTAAAGATAAATGTCACTGATTGTCACTGCACTTCCATTTACATGACATTAATCTTCCAGGTGCCAGGTAAAACACCTGAAAATCCATATTGAGCTAGTAACTTCCTAGGCTAGTGGGATGCCATCCAAACTTCCACTTGCAGCATCTAATGGCAGGATTATCAGACTTGCAAGGCAATTTTATAAGTGTATCAAGGAAGGGAGGGGTGAGGAGGAAAGGGGCAGTGATGGTCTTATTGATTTAGTAATGAAGGGATTGTGACTGAAAAGCTGTAGAACATCAGAGTGCCTTATCAGAGGCAGATGGATGTTTGGCTTGGGATTACTCCAGCCTTCCTTTAGAAGGCATAACATAGGCCAAATGATTCAGGCACCAGTGTTAAGCTTAGGCTCAACCTCTCATTATTAACTAAAATAAAATAAATAAATAATAATAAAAAAAAAACAAGTTATAAAACCAAAGCAAGAAGTATAAGGACATATCTTTCTATCTGTGCTAGTCATTTGTTTCATTTGTTTTCCTAGGGGTGATAATTAATGCTACATTTAATAAGTCTCTGAACTACTTTCTAGCATCAGTAGTTACGCAACGTCTCTACAGCACACCTTAGCAAAAATTGATCTGTAATACACAATAGCAAGACTGTGGGAAAGTTAATAGGAATCTTAAGTCACAGTTCTCCATTTTAATCCATAACTACATGTCCTCTATGACTCCTCTATTTTTTTAAAAACAAACTAACAGACACACAAACAAAACACTTTGTTCAACTAAGGAAGAGCTTTTAACTTCCTCTGTGGATTTTCTGTTGTTTCCACAGTCTTTTAGGATAGGGAAGTTAAAAACCAAGTTGTACAGGAGGACAAATATAATGATTCAGTCTAGAAGCAGTCTCCAGAGGATTCTGACCTTAAAATGAAGGAAATGAAAAATTAGGCTTTTAGGAGATTTGTATGGATTGGTGTCAAAAGCAAGCATGAAGCTGTATCCTCATATGCTTAGAACATCTGGGATCTGTGTGATACACGTTAAACATTACAGTTCTATGGGTCTTTTACACTATCCCACATGGTTACAGTTAACAAGGAAGAAGTGCTCGGGAAGTGTACTAGAAAGGGCAGAGAAAGGACATAGCTGGAGCTTACTTGAAATGGAAATTTAAAATGACATATTCAATATGTGATGAGCCCTAAACACAGGATGCTAAGACTCATCCAGCTTGGGAATTTGAATAAGACTGACAAACCAAGTATATTCTCATGTGAGAAATCCAAGGGGAAGCAGTAATAAGGGAATGGATTAGAGACATCTCCAAGAGAAAACTCCAAACCAAGAGAAAATGTATAGAGATGTTTCCCACTGAAATCAGGAAGGCCCAGGCTGAATAAACTGCCCTGAATTTGAGCTCAGAATTGCTGGATCTGTCCCATGCTCTCCTACTTGTTTTTTCTAACAGCAGCTTAAGAACAGTAGTATTGCACATCTTTGTTAATTTCATTGCAATATTCTACACAAAGCACACAATTCCCATTTTTAATTTCTGTATACCACAGGTGCCTAAATTTAGTTTGTTTACATGCATACAGGTGGCAGCAGCAATCTTTAGCTTCATTAATAGACAAATGTTCTTTTGCAAATTTAGCTATGACTCAGACTTGCCTTTACACTTTAATGACTCAGTAACACTTGAGATGGAAAAACAGTACAATTTGTGTTTGTTTCTGTGGTAAGAGAGAATGAGAAAGGATTTGCTATGATTTTAATACATTACACATTTTTACTACATACAGTAAGCATTTGAATTAGGTTTATAACAGAAAAATTTTATGCTACCTGCGTACAAAAGTTATTACTGTTACTGCCTATGCCTGAGTGGTTGATCATTGAGCATAAGGGTATAATACTGGTGGTCTGACTCAAATATACTAAAAAAAAACTCCACTACAATTAATGCTTTATAAAGAATAAATCAAAGACCATAGAAGATCCCTCTCTTTAAATAAATCTTAAAATCCATTCTCCTTCACCAATTCAAAACAATGTCAGATGTTATGATGGAGTCACACTCTGAGGAGTCACGCTTCTCTCACGACCTGAGTTAGATTCTCATCTTCTGATAATCACCTTATTGATAAATATTCCTACAGTAATAGTACTCAAAATAAAGATTAAAGTCCCAGCACACTTAGTGCATTACAAACACACATGTATACGCAATTTGTGGCCCAAAAGGTTCATAGTTCAGTGTGACAGGACATGCCATACAGAAGTGTTGAATTACTGTATTCACAGAAAGAGTATTGCCAGCACCAAAAGCAACACCCAGAATTTCTATAGAATTTCTACTGCTCTCATGGACACATCTATTTAATAGATCTGTGTAGCATGGAGGCTTCTGGAATATATCCAGAAGTGGCGGGTATTAACGTTTAAACCAATGAAAAGCATATGAGTAGGGTCTAAGCTATTTTGAGTTCTTTCCTCAAATTATATGGCAGGGAGGGTGAGTCTCAGAACATGAGATATAATGATAACCTTTCTAGTAAAGACTTTCACTTCTGGAACCCGTTTTACGCTCTGTGGTCTGACAATCAAGGAATCTGTCAGAACATATTGCAAAACTATCTGTATACCTGATGAACACGGCTGAGAGGAGAGCTGTGGTTGTTTTAATGGCCACAGTCCAGCTTGAATACTGTTAACATATTTTTACATGCACCTAGAGTAATAAATAAACCATACTAAATATGCCCTCTACCAAATTTATTTATTACATGCTACCTGACAAAAGAAGATAATGAAGGGATTCTCAAGCAATGGTTACTAGAATTCAGAGGACTTTTATTCTAAAGTGATTATTTTTTTTTAACCTTCCGCATCTGCTGGAAGATTTGTTGAGGTGTACTAAAAATTAGGAGACTGACTCACTGGCATCAGACTTGTTTCCATGGTCAAGCCAGTGTCAGGAGTGCCACTGAGGCAGGTGGATCAGCTGAGCTCTCAGAATCACCCTGCCCTGAAAGCTGCAAGAGAGGTCAGCATGAGGAACGTGATCACGTTCCCGTCTGCTCGGCATTACAGTTGTCCTTGGTGGCTCCTTTAACATTGTTTTTCCATTTGCCTGCTTGTTCCCTCTGACCATTTCAACACTTACAGTGACCAGTCAGATCAGAAGAAAAGAGGGGGAGGTAGCCAGCTGGCCACCTTCCTATCCAGCCCTCCTCAAAGAGTAACAGACAGCAACTGCATCTTTTGCCAAACTCAAGACCGGGTAGACAAAGATAATGGAAAGCTGAGCTGATCTTAGTGATGAGAAGAGCAGAGCAGACACACCTGAAATTTCTAGATGGAAAGCGGTGGTCAGAGAGAAATGCAGATGAAAGAGGAAAACCAAGTCACTGATGTCAGTGAATTTCAGGAATGAAGCAGGGAAGACGAGATGTGAGGCAGAATCATGCCTCACATGAAAGTGTGGCACGTATTACTATAGCTGTGGGTGGCTGTAAAAAACAGCACAAACCAAATAGAGTACTGTGGGACTGGCTGTACATTTCTCCTTAGGAATTCACTACCTGCTGCTAGTGCTGGTGGTGGCTATTTAGATTTAATGTGAAATTACCCATGAGTCACGTTTTAATGTCAACTCATATACAGCACAATTTTTTTTTTGGTAAGATTTATACTGAGATCTGAAAAAAACTAAGAGATGCTGACTTGTTCAGAGCTGAAACAAAGAAAAGCTCCTTGAAGAGTCACTTAACCAGGTTCCACACTGCTAGCACTGCCACACTGCAATACTGCCAACATGACAAGCTGGGGACCCCATTTCACCAAACAAGTAATTCATGGTAATGGACATGCCTTAAAAGAGAGCTTTATGCTTCCCCATTCTGCACACCCGCTTGTTGCAGCCCATTGCCAGGAGCTCCCCACCACCACACTTACCATCTGTTATTCCCTCCCTGCGATGAGGCAAGGGGGGTTGGTCCAACCGGCCTCCCTTGTGTTTTTTAGTGGGCCTTGGCCTCTGATTCTGATTGACAGCTCCACTGGTGTTGCTGTCAGTAGAAAAAGGACTGCTTGGCCGAGGCCTCTGAGAGGAAGGGTATGCTTTGCCTAGAAAAAGAGAAACCAGATGAAAAAAAAAATATTATTGACTTGAAACAGGCTGTTCTATTAATGTCTGTTATGAAACATTAAATAGGGTCTAACTCTCAGAGGCAAGCAAGTGTCCCCATGAGGTACCCGCTGATGACAATTGCTTAAGTTACACCACAAGCGAAGTGAGAAACTTGGCATTCTTTTGTCTTTACTTTTGTAATTAAAGCCATTCCATCTGTTGTGCTAAAACTACTGCACGCCATGTAACTCCTACCTGCTCTGTGTTCAGAACAGATGTGTCATAACAACTCCTCAGCCTTCAGCAGGGAAAGAAAACAGTTCTGCAATCATATCAAATTTATCTCCTCCTGCCTTCCACCTTCACGTTTGCTGAGCCAGATTCTCATTTTAGGAGCTCCCATGTGCACGGTATATCTGGAGTAACTCCATTGAGATAAACATTACTGGTTTTGCAAGCTATGTAGCAGTGAAGCTTTGTATACTTAAGGGCTCTCTTCTCTCAAGAAATAAAGATGGAATTTAAAAGGTAAATTTTTCCTGTTCATTTTCAGTATTTTATGTGTTTAAATACAATGTATTCTGAATGCATTTATTCCCCAAATGTTTTTTATATATAGACTAAACAAGCTACATGATTTCTCTTTTAAAATCATCTTTGATGCTGTTCTATGGAGCAGGTTGTGATAAGCATCACAGCAGAAACTGCAGGAGCACAGTTCATTTACTCCGCTTCTTATTTTGATATTTTTATTCAGTTAACACTTTGCTAGGCTTGTTCATTACTTAATATCTGAGAACACTAAGTATCACTGACTTTTAATTTATTTCTTTCTTTTTTTTCCTGTATGTTGTTCTTACCAGCATCTCAGTGCTGTTAATATTCTAATGTGTTTAGAACTTGTATATAACATTATTACTTTCTTTAACCTCCTCTGCAGAGGGAAGCTTATAAACCAGTCAGAACTTCTGCTCTGTCAGTGCAAGCGTAGGCCCAAATGCTCTGAGATTTGGTGAAAAATGACAAAACGGCTGTTGTTTTTCTGATCAACTGTTCCTAAGCTAATATGAAGCTGCTTTATCTTCTAGTTAACTTAGACCAGAGTCTACCCTCCTGTGAGTTACATTTTTTCATAAAAAAAGACTTTAAAGAGGCAAAATTCTGGAAGAGGCATGCTTGAGTACCACACTGTTCTTCATGCATTGTAACAGACATGCTTACTTCCAGCATGCCACCACATACAACTGGATTTAGATAAGCCTAATCAGGAGTAAAATGCTACCTTCTACACTATTTTAAATATTCTCAATGCAAAAAGAGGGCAAAGTGAAAAATGTAGCCATAGTCTAACATACTATTTAGCATTAATAAGTCCATGTTAGAATAACACCTCTGTATTTGACTTCAGTTTTTTTTCTGACTACCTAAGGCCTGAGCTTTTATCTTCTGACTGATGTGCACCCTTAGGAGGACCCTACTTTTAGGCTGGCTTGCCTCACAGCTGCATGTCACTGCCAGCTACCAGAGGTTACCACATTTGAACCATTCATGTGGACGTTTTGTAACTCTTCTCTGGAAAAAAAAAAAAAAAAATGCAAATTGAACTTAAACAATATGAACTGTATGCCTTTGATAACCTGGCTCATTTAAACTGAAATGGGTTGCAGAACACCCACCCAAGCAGCTAATTCTGGAGATGGGAGAAAGCAGTAATAAGCATTTGGGCTGAAGGCTGGAAACACCAACCTCTATAGCTTGCACAGCTGCAGCTAGACAAAGAAAAGTGATCAAGCCCATGTTTCATAGATAAGGATAAAAGAGTAGATGAGCATGGACAAAATATCAAAGATCTTGTTTAAAAATAAAAAAAAAAAAGGCCACTAATGTAAAGAAATTCGGATTTAAGCCCAAAATTCCATCCTAGTTCACATTATGCTATACATATGTTTTGTAAAAATAAACTTGCAACATCCAAGCACAACTAGCAAGTGCTGGATGAAGAACTTTCACACTTATTCTCTGGAGTAAAGCAATGTGATTATAAATTCAGAAAGTTGGTTTGGAAAAAATATATACTCTAAAAACTCTCTCTTTTATCCCTCCATGAAAATGAAGAAAAATAAAATAGCACTGACCTAAATCGGACACAGGGCAAATACAAATGGTGTGTGGGCTCCCAAAACACATCTTTCAATGCACCTAATATCTGATTACAGCATTTTATTTTTGTATGCAGCCCTTCCAGGAAGAACTGATGAACAGTGTCAGATTCTATAGCAGATTTAGTGTGTGCAAATGAAGACAAGGATGAATTCACTAATTCTTGATTTAATTTCCCATGGGTGTTAAAAGGAAAACTGGCTGAACTACGTTGGCAAATCACACAATGGTTTCTGGAAAATGGAATCAAAGTGTCTTGCAGGAGAGATGCCTTGCCTTGTGCCTGGATTTACCAGAGCCTTTTATGCTTGGCAATCAAACACATCCATGTGAGGCTATTAAGTTGGACTTCTCCTTTCACATCAGTGAGAATATTTCACAGCTGTTCTGAAGGGAAGAAAATAACTGTCCCAACTGCAAAGGAGTAAAAAGTCAGGAGCTTCAGTTTTCCTCCAGAGCAGGGAACAGAAATAATTCTGCTGCTTCTCCACTACAGAACACCATTTTGCACTATGAGGGATTTACTGTGGTACAGCAGATCCGTAATAGTCAGGTCTGATTGATCACGCTACTCTGGGAGGTATCATATCGTAATGAAACTACAGGAAGCCTTATGGAGTTGTTTCCATTTGCTGATATTTTTGTGGGGGGAAAAAAGGGGAGGGCTGTTTCCTTACAGGTGCTTCCTGTTTCACTTTTGCCTCCGGATCATTAAGAGAATAAAAAGGCAATAGAAAGGTAGCCACAGGAGTTGGATACTTTTTTTTTTTTTTTTTTTTTTTTTTACCCTAAACTCTAATAATCTATCCATGAAGTTACATGGAAGTGCTCAGTTTAAATGCATTTGTGACCTGATTAAGCTAAGAAAATATAACTGACAAGAGAGCTCTCATCCCATTCTTGTATATTGCATTTACATAGCTATGATAAGAAATCATCTTTAAAAGTGTCTCTGTGTTTGCATACCCATATATTTTTGTTATGTGCATGTTTGTGGTGGAAACTGTACTTCTCAGAGGGACTGAAACAAGTGGCATTAAATTGGGGAGAATCTTTGCATTATTTTTATTGAGGCCATAAAAACACAAAAATTAAAAGGTCGGGAAGGATTCTCTCCTTTCATTCAAGACTGTTTAGGAGACTCTTCAAGCAAAACACTATAATTTTAAATTATTGGTTGGCCCCATTTGCCCATAGTAGATGGCTGAAGATCTACAGCAGCTTTTTCTTTCTTTTTATTTAAATGACACAACAAATTTACTCAGTCAATGTCCCACTAATCTAAGAAGTAAATGAGGTTTTTAACTATTTTTATCAGTAAAATAGCCATCTTTTAAGGATGATTATGTCTAACCAAACTCAATGGGAAAGGTCTCAATGATTTTAAAAAAAATGGAATTTCACCCTGTAGTTTGTTGTTGGCATAGGATTGTAGATTCTTTTCTTAATTCCTAAAAGGCACTGTTTGTCATAAAGTCATCGTATGCAGAAAGCCAGCAGTTATCATCCCTAACATTTGGAGACATTTATCCTGAATGCACATATTTTACTGAAGGATAGACTTTATACAAGACAAATAATTAAAATTTTAAAATGATAGGAATATTACGGGAACTGTGGGTAGGAATAGGAAGAGAAAGTGTAACAGAAGATACGACCCAAATTCATATTTGCTATTAGGTTGTTTGGATTTAAATAATGAGGTATTTTTGCTATTTCAATAAGACTGAGAACATGCAAACATATTCTCTGTACCAAATATTTAAAAGTATGTTTTTTTGCATGCTTGTTTTTCCTAAAAATAAAATAAGGAGCTTTAAAACTATGAATAAAATTATATTTACTTTTCATTCATTCATTCTAGAAGATAAGATCGGTTGTTTTCAAAGGTAGTAGTCACTTCTGTTACATTTAACTTGGCTAATTCAGTTGGCATAATTAAAGTTAAATTCAATCAAATATAATAACTTATTGAATTAAATATTTTTAAAGCCAGCTGATTGAAAATACTTTTAAACAGTTCATATTGTTAATAATAAAAGCACACCATTCCACCCCCATGTTTAGAAAAACGTCACAGAAAAATACATTTTTTTTGCAGGAAGATGCAACAGAAAAGCAGGGATGGAGATAACAGTTTAAATGTGATTTTCATCATTGAAAATGTAAATGATTGTGAGGAGACATTGCAGAAATGAAATCATCAAAGACTGCATCACAGAATTAGTGATTTCTTCACTGAAATATTGAACAGAGCATATGTCAGTAAATCTATTGAGGAGTCAGCATAAAGAGAAATAGTAGCAGACTAGAAGTGCTGATTAGAAGCTTGTGCTATTCATTTCTTCAAGTGACTAAAATGAAACATAATGTAAGGTTTCATTTAAAATATACTGATAAAAATATCTCCATCCACCTTACTACATGCATGTTAGACAAATGTGAAGTAAAACGCAGGTTCACTGAAAAGAAGAGAACAGGCAGAGACACCCTTCATGCAGAAAGCATCAATTTTGAGTCTACAAACCTGCTCTTGTCAGGCTGGTTCCATCCAGCCTAAAACCAGCTTTATCTGCTGCTGCAACCAGTGCTTGTGCAAAACTGCCGCTGGTAAAGATCGAGTCATCTGAGGAGCTACCTACACTAGATCTATGACTAGAAAAGTTACGGTCCTCATCAGACGCAGAACCCCATCCATTTACCATTGAACCTAAAAACAAATGTAGGGGTCTAGTGAGTTGTACAGATTTGATATTTTTTGATCATCTAAAGCTTATAGACTGACTTAACATGTCTTTTCTCAACAGGAAACTCAAAGTTACTTTGACAACACTTTGTACAAAAGAGCAGTATTCATTTAATGGCTAAAGACCCACTTAATATGTTCTTTCTCAACAGGAAACCCAAAGTTTATTCGACACAATTTGATATAAAAGAGCACTATCACAACTAAATGGGATCCCATTCATAGCTTGCTCCATGTAGCTTTCATCCTGTAAACAAAATGATACATATCCTCTACAAGCATGAAAAATTTTTTTTTGAAAGTTAATATATTTTCCCTGAGACTCAAATTAATACTTTTTTTTTTTTTACTTGACTTATTTTACAGCAGTATCTAGTTCAATATTTGCAAAATGAAGTCTTAATTTAGGACAGCACAAGTGTATGTCTCAGCAGATACGGCTGAAGTCAGACATAGGCTTCAAAAGCTATCCTGAACAAGACCGGCATCATATCATTTTCTCAAACAAACCTTGAAACAGATGAGCAATCTTTATGGCCCAAACAAAGCTGATGTAAGGCAGTTCATTCCGGGGGATTAAAATTTCCTTTTTAACAGGTTAGAAATAGACATTCAAGAGCAGAGCAAATACACACTCAAAATGAATACTGAGTCAGTCAGTGAGCCATACCTTCTAGCTATAGATTACCACCACTGCAGGAGAGGAAAGTGATAACAACATCATAAAAATGGACCCAGAAAACCAGATACCAGTGGGGGAAAAAAAAAAAAAAAAAAAAAAAGGAATATAGAAATCTTGATGTAAATAAAATGTGAAGAGCAAAACACTGACGGAAGGAATCATATTTTACTCTTCACTTATATTCTTTTATTTTTTTCAGTGCACAAAGGACCTATCAACAGTACAATATGTATTTTCCAAAGCCATCACTGAATTCAAATTTTCTGGAAGTACTGAAATTCTGTTTCTTTTGAGGTTACAGATGGAGTTGATGGTGTTTTGTACTTCTGAAAATCATGCATAAATATCACAGGATAATTCTACAACATGCATTGGAAAATGAGGCAAAAAATACACAGCTAGCTTTGCTCCAGGAACAGGGCAGCCACACTTATTTGTTACCAAACCCAGTTAAAGTACAAAGCTACCACACTGCTTTTGGGACCTGTCACCACATGGCATTGCATGGCACCATGTAGACATAGAGTATTATTGCTCTGAGATGGCACAGGTTCCTCTTCATCTTATAATGAAGATGAAGGCTGCTGAAGGCTGCTTTTTAAAAAGTGGCATACATATGTTGAGAAAAATCCCAGTGAACCAATGAGGATCTGCAGAGAACCAGTTTTCCAAAATATGACAACACGTGGAAGGATACATAATGGCCTTGACTTTACTATTCAGTAAGCACAGGTGAATTTATGTGAATATACATAAAATGTACAGCAGTGTAAGTCATGTTCTTCAAAGCGCTTTTACTACTTGTCCAAGAAATTATTATTTTGTTTGAAATTGTTAACTAGTAAATCAATGCTGACCCAGTTATTAGAACCAAACTGATAGGCTACATAACTATATCTATATAACTACATTCATTATGTAAAATATAAAATATACTGAAAAAATAAGAAATGAGTACAATAAATGGATACTGAAATTTAGTCTGTAGCATGCTGCATCAAACAGCCTGAGAACAATAGATTATTCTGTGATGTGGCAGTGACTGAATCTTTAATGTCAGCAAAGTGGTGGGCTACAAAAACAAAAGTCCATACACTCCTAAGATACAAGAAAATAAACTGAAAAGGTCTATGGAGGTTTGACAGGCAGAAAGTGTGTTAAGTGCAACAGAGAGTGACAGGGTTTGATTCTGCTTGCCAAGAGCACACAAAAAATTGTTATTTTCCAAACAGACTTGACCTGATGTAGACAGATGTAAGGAAGCCTAGATAACAGCAAGGGAAGGCTAAAACTTCATTTCCTCTGAGAAGACAGTTTCTGAACTAACAATCAAAGTGTGATAGAACATCATAGAGAATGGAGAGTAGAAACTTAGTAAGAGTTTCTGATTGTGTATGAAAAGAGATACTAGAGATAAAACACTTCGTGCAGATGTAAGAAAATGAAATGCTATAGCTGAGGACAATTTCAAACAATTGCTTATCAACACATCCTGCAAAATATGTAAGCACAAGCTGAAACATAAAATATGATTAGACCTGCAGATATCAAAGATATTCAGGTGCTGAAAACTTACAATGTATTTTGTTAGTTCCAGGGCCCAAGGTTTTTATATGATTCTATTTTCTGTGTAGATGCATATGGAAATACATATTGAATAGAGTATGAACCAACATACATAGGTTTCTAATATACTGGAGGACCTTTTAAAGGTAATTAAGGTTGAATTTCCATTTGCTTACATTGTTTTGTCCATTTGCTAACCAGCCACTGAGCTGTTGCATAGGATATAATACATGTGATCATTTGGATGGAACAGTTTTAAAGTATCTCTAGGAGCAGTTGCTGTTTTTCATCTACTCTTAGAAGGGCTCAATCCAGCTGAAAAAAGAGTTCACATTTTAAGTATGAGATACACTTAAAATCTGCAAACGTCCTTAACGCTCTGTCCAACACATGTGCACACATCTCTCTCTTTACATACTCACAGCCATGCCAGGTTTTCTTAACAACACCAAAATGTTAATTATCAGTAGAGCATTGTCCTCAGACTGCCAATTTTTCAGGCTAACTCTCTAGACAAGCCCTGTTCCTGACCTCCTCTGCACTCCCACGGACAGAGAGCACCAACAGGCGCTCTGCCCATGGGTCGCTTCTCCTTCCCCTCGCCTCTATCACCTACGTGAGGAGGCAGCGCCTGTCATGCTGCAAGCACGGCTCAATCCTGGCATGGATGTGAGCTATACTGGGTGAGGACGTCAATGCAGCTAACAACTAAAGCAAATGATGACGTGACTTCTGGTTGCTGGACCACCTGCAGACTGCAAACCAAAGCAAAGCTTTTCATAACTGCTCAAGTCAGCAAGCTGCCATCACCAACAGCTGTGTGTGACTGTGCCGCTAACCTGGTGAATTCTCATAATATCCACTCATTCACTCTGCCTGTGTTTGCCCTCCAGGGGTGTGGACATGGCCCGGTTGGCACGGGCCTGCTGCAGCCCAGCCCAGGCCCCTCAAGCCACCACGTAGCTCTGTTCACTGGGTGCACATGGGGATGCCTTCTCTAATGGCATCCACCGGCCTCTTGTTTTCCCAAATCAGATGCACATTTGTTTCTCTCTGAATAAAGGCAGGATAAGAGATGCTGACATCCCTTTCAGATCAACTGTGCATTTGCAAATGGAATGAAATAGGCTTTTAGTGTCTCCTTTACATGCAACTCACTATGTGTTCTCCAAGAGCACATTTGAGTTTTTACGCTTTCTGGCAACTGTAAATTTTACTCTTGCTGACAGCAGCAGTAAATGCTTTATATGGAACAAAATCAACTCTGTGAAAAGTTGAACTCTGTTTTCTTGCTCCATAAAATATCTCTTGGTGCTAACGCAAACAGAAAGCTTCTTTGCTCTCAGGGAAAGGTAGGGGTACTTGAGGTGCTAGCTTCTTGTAGGCTGCACACTACAGCTTTTAGTGGTATTTTGCCTACAATAAAAACACTATTTTTCTTTGCAAGGCATATTCTTGCTTTACTTTACGGAAAGAAAAAAAAAATCTAATGCACTTGTGAAATAAAAGCTGCTCACAACAAACCTAACATTTCTGAAAATTCCATACACAAAACTCTACATGCATGCTTAAAATTAACAACCAATGTTACTGGGACTTGTATGGGCATGCTTATGTGCTTTCCTTTATAAGACCATTAAGTGCATGCTAATGTTAAGTCACTATTCCTCTGCAGGTTTTTTGATGGAACAGGACCAGACTGATCAGGTTTGTGAGGTATAGGTGAAGTCCCCAGGGACTGATGTTACTCCAGCTGAAATTGGTTACAGAATTCCTCTAACCTGTGTATAGGAGAAAGGCATTGACCTCTTTGGTCATGATTATAAAGAAGGAATAACCAATAATTTTAGTGGAAGTGATGAAATAACAGGGGGCAGTAGTCATTGTAGCATTAGAATAAACATGAATAATGGAAACTCCTGAATGCAGAATAAATGTGATCATACTTTAAAAATTCAGCTTGGACTTATACTTTACAATATACTTCCCCAGAGATATCCCAAATATTAAATGTATACAACTAAAATAAACCATTATTATTTTAAAATTTTTATGTGGGGACAGGAAATTCTAAATAAATTGAGTCAAAACACATATACATATTTGGCACTTCAGAGGTCCAACCATAATTAATATCCTTCATAACCATTTAATGAAAAATGAATTTATGTCATTTAGCCAAATTTATTTGTGTTTGCATTTTCAATCTTCTTAGGTTTTTTGGTTTCCATATTGCTGAAAGGCACAAAAAAATTCTCAAATTTATTCAAGCTGTTAGAAAAGAAATGCACACAGAACATTAAGTGGTTGCTCAAATGTTGCTGAGCTGTAAAATACTATGATAAAGTGGCATCTTGCTGTGTCTCTATTACTTCTTCAGCACTAAAATTAATTTATGATCAGTCATCAATTCATTTACATGTCGTTTTATGCTAAATCCATCCTTGCTGATGAATGCATATCCCTAGATCCATTAAGCTAGAGTAAAGTCTGTGCTTTATAATATGACCCTGCTAATTGTTGCATTACCATTTTTATGAGATACAAAAACTAGCAGTTTCCTATTTTCTGAGCACATATTTAATCCATGATACACATTCTTTCTATTAAATGCAATCTGTCTAACTGCTTACAAAATAGAATCTTCTGCAATAGGCATCGCTAACCAAATCAATACAAATACTGAACTCTGCTATGGTAAAAATATGGTTCATAAAAATGATTTTGTGTAATTTCCAAGAAGTATTCCACTTGTGCTCAGACACAATGAATGAACAACTTTTACCATACAGACAATGATCACCGATTCTTTTAATCAAGACCAAAACATGCCAAATAAGTGACTTTCTTCCTTACTGAGCTATATAACCTATAGCAATCTTTATAATTTCAGATCTTGATAATTTTATTAAGAAAAAAAAAAGTTTTGCTATCTGTATGTAATGGCATTCTTTACAAGAATATCCTTCTGCTTCTATCAGTTTGTATCAGTTAGGGAGGAAGAGGGCCTGTTCTAATTTCCATGCTAGTTAATGGGTGTATCTCTACCCTCAGTAAAAATGCACTAGGACTGAACTACTAACTTCACTGGTGGAGCTGGGGGAAGAAAAGATAAGGGGAGGGCTAAAAAAGCCCCCCAACAATAGTAATTTGATCTGACAAAACTTAGCGTTCTTCTGTTATTTCATTGGGAAAAAAATAATTTCATATATCCATTATATGAAATTAATTACATCTATTAATGTAGAATAATATGACTCTTCATAACCTTTCATGCCATAATTCTCCACAGCAATTCATTATAAAGGTAAACACTAAGAATAAGCAAAAGATAAAGCAAATTTCAATGTGTCTGTGAAAGCAAAAGGAACCTTAAATGATTGTGAACAGAAAATCAAGTTAGCAGAAGTTTTACACCTGCTTTTCAGCTGCTGTTGTTTGTTTGTTTTGTCTTTAAATCCAAACTAGGAACTTAGTATCCTAGAAAACCAGTTTGGGAACAAATCAAAACATTGACTTTGATTTCTTATTCCATTATACAAACTTCCAAACCTAAGACACCCCCCTTGAGTTTTCTTTGCAATATCTGGAAAATATTAAGATACAGTTACTGTGTACTTCTCCTTTCTCCTCACTCTGTTATACATGTCAATGTTATGTCTCTGCCACCTGCAAAGAGAAAAGCTTAATAGCGCAGATTAAATCCCTGTCTGAATCTCCAGTTAGCTGTAACTAAAACTCAAGAGCCTGGAAGGCAACCCAACTTTTAAGCAGTTTATAAGAGCAACACTGTGGTTTCAGAGAAATTTAGCAGTCTGAGCTTGGTTCACCCAGTGCCAGTGTTTCCCCGCTGAGAATCCCAAATTTGGCATTGGATGAAAACCTCAGTCTCAGCTCAGCCATGAAGAACAAAGTACCGCTGCACTCCTGGAGTGGGTGTCTTCAAGCCACCACTGAGGCATGCTAACAGTGAGGAAACACATCCTGCTCATTGTACAGCAACTCTATTCTAGGGAAGTCTTGACTGAGGAATGCCAATTCATTTTTACTACAAGCACTGAACTCACAGGACATGTTTAAAAATGTACAGAAATATTGCTTCTTCCATGTTAGCTGTTCTCATTTGCTTCAATTTTTTTGATATAATGTAATGTTTAAAGAAATGAAAATGTAGTACATAGTTTCCTAGGAAAGTGCTTGTTTAAATCATCAAAAGCCCTATGAAAAGAAGTAAAGAAGTAGCTTATATATGTATTTTCTCAGTTAAAATAAAAAAAAAAAATACTTCTACAGTATTCTAAAAGCAATCAAGTAAGAGAATGAGAAACAGCTTAGAAACAATGGATGCAATTTGTTTTATACCCTCCTTAACACTAGTAAATGCAACCTGGACAGGTTAACAGAAACAGATATACAAAATTAAAATTCTCCTTTGAAACAATTCTCCCAAGTAAAACAAGCAATTTCCTTCTGCCTCCTAATAAAAAACAAGCCCAGCTCAGAAAATTAAGGTTTTGCCCACATAGTAACCAAGGAAAAGAGAAGCTTTCTTATTCTGAGAGTTTGCAATTTTATAGATTATTTAAACTAACTCGCTGGATGTATTTTTGCAGGGCTATAGTTTCCTAATTGTTTTAAGCCAATATAAGTGTTGGCTATAAGCTATTGGGGCAGCCTGTCATTTTGCTTTCCTTCTGACTGCACAGCCCCCTCCTGCAGTGCTGACAAACACATTGCCATGCAGTGAACCAGATCACGGAACAGATCCAGCCAGGAATTAAACAAGCAGAGGAAAAAGCAAAAAAAACCCTTAATTTTCAGCTGGGTGAAACAACATTGAGAAGGTGGTAGGGATGAGTGGGTGTGCACTTAGATCACCTTACAAACAAGCTCAGTCTATGTTACCAGGTTCTGCCCAATTTCTTCCAAAACAAAACAAAAACAAACAAAAAAATAACACCAGCAGGTTTTTAACATTTCAATAATTAAGTAACGTATTTAACTAAGAAAAAAAAGCTTGAATGTTATTCATAAAAACATAAACTGCAATGAGCACAAAATTCCTTGAATTGTAGCAGAAATACGTCTGTTACTTTGCTGGTCCAAAATATTAGGTGAAAATGTAAATGTGCAAAAAACTCATTTTTTGATTTACAGATATATCAACACCAACGTATTAATACATACCAAATGGAAAATATATAGCAACCTGATTATTTATTTATTTCTATATTACCAGTGCAAAAACCCTTACTGCATTCCTAATGGAGAGGTTTCTGAGCCACTCGTGAGATATGCAAAAATATGCAGAATTATAGCCTGAAGGAGATTATACTAGAAATTCAAGCAAAGTGACTTAACATACTCATGCACTAATAAGTTAACCTTCAAAATTCAGGGATTTAAACTTTAACTCTACAGCCTTCAGTTGGATCCGGATTTCAAACTGCAGCATTAGAGCTACAGTTCTTAAGTCTTAATTAGATTGGCAAGCAGTCTGGCCCTAGGGTGAGGGAAAACCTGGAAAGTGGGATAAAGCAACACACTATTTAATTAACAAGGGAAAGGGAAGGAAATTATAGGTATTGATGTTCCATCACTGTCATATTCCTGTAGTGTTTTCAGAATAACAATGTTTAAAAAAGGGTGCAAAATTCTTAGAATTTGCAAAGTCCACAACAAGACAAAAAATAAGCAGTGCTGTTATAGTAATGTGTTATTGAGCCAGTCTCCCTGCAGGTGCAGCTAACAACTAGCTTTCTTCCACAGAGATAAAAGACTGAAGAAGCAGCCACCAGCCATCATGAGCTGTGGACACTACGTACATTTGGGTCTATATGAAAGCTGTACATTGTGGATATAGTATATTATATAGAAGTCCAACTTCAACCTGAAGGGAAATATGGTGACACCTAAAAAAGTTCATAGTGCCCATATAAAGTCTGTATTTTTAAAAAATATATATACATATATATTTCCCTGACTATATTTTATCGACAGCAATTTTATTTATTCAGTTTCTGTATGTTAGGTTATCATATCCTTCTAGTTCCCCTTTGACGATCCCTATTGTAACTTTCCAATGCATGCAAAAGGAGAAAAGCAGGGAGAAGGAGTGTCAGAATAATTAAATATCTTCACTGAAAGGGAACAATTACTAAATTCAGCAATACAAAATAGGTTCAAAGTACACATTTTCCTACATAAATGTTATATTTACGCTACAAGCAAATGTTGTGCTGATCCATCTACGCTTAGTCTGAAGTCTTTTAACTTCCTTGTGTTCATCAGTAAAAGCATTTACCCAGCGAAACATCTGAAAGTGATTTAAGATAAAATTGTTATGCTGCTCCTGATTTTGAAATATATATTCCTAAGCTGAGGTCTTCCCCCTCCTTTTTATGTAACTGGCTTGCTTCTCCAGTAGAGTGAACTTTTCATGAAAGCTAGGAGATAATTGAGTTTTCTTTCAAGTCTTTAAAGCTTTTTAAAATTCATGAATTTTCTTATCATTTTGCAGCAAAGTATTTTCAAATCCTCCTTTAACTTTAGTGTTTAATATTAACACATTTTAAATGTTACAGAAATAGAGTGGAATAAATTTTCACTTAAAAAGTGTTTGATTAATGATGTATTTTACTGTGAGGAACAAGCTGGTGTCAATGTTTACCGTGTTTGGTTACCTGTCACAGAGCTGTCTAGATTGTCCATACTGGAGCCTGGAGTATGCTCTAGACCTCTCAGTGGCCTGCTGATTTCTACAGTTTCTTCTTCAATATCATCCTCATCATCATCTGGAACATCTGTTTCCAAGTCTGAAATAAGGTTTCCAGATACATATCCTAGAGGCGGAACTGGAGCCTGAGGAGGTTGTGTATTGCTTTGGATGTGCCTACACAAACAAACAGGAAAACAGCATCAGAACAGGTGAAACTTTGTACCCCATGGTCAACAGAACATCAGACTCTCAGTAAGTCATCATGCAGATTTACAAAATACGCTTGTTAGGTCAAACTCCAATAAAGCCTGTGCACTTTCCAATATTAAATATACAACCCCTCCTATAACGCAGGGAAGGTCAAGATCATCCTTTAACAGGTGAGGAACTGATGTAACCGGATAGTACATAAATCATGTAGGAAGTCCACAGAAAAGCACAATTCTGAATCCCAGCCTAGTATACAAGTGTCTCAACCAACATTCCACCTTGCAAATCACACATTTAAGCCAAAATTTTTTTTTTCCTTCTGCTTGAACAGACTCAATGGTCTTATGGAAAACTTACCCTCAAGAGGAGGAAATGACCAATAGGGCAGAATAAATCTTGAAGTCCAATGAATTCATTATCAGTAAAGACTTTGTATTTTGCTTAATTCCAAGTAGTTTAATTGATTTATTTCCAGCAGTATTAGGGCATGCATGCATGAAATTACTGCATGCAGCAATCACGATTAAAAAAAAAAAAAGGAAAAACAAAGATAAAAAACACCCACAGGATAGCTAAATAGCCAAAGGCAAGCACTGGGCTTGGATTTTCACTTATGTGGTCTCTGAGACTCTAAAGAGGAGAAGAACAACCATCAGCTTTTAATTCTGCTTTCAGTGCAGCTTTTTTTCACAGCACTACAGGTACACAGCAAGCTGTGTCAGGGGACCCAGACATGACTGCCCTTGGCATAGGAGCATGAACGGGACTTGAATTCACTAGCTGAGCCTTGTGGGAGGCCTTGGGGGGCTATTCTTGAGGTGCTGTGACCTGATGCCAATTGGCAGAATGCTGGATGTGGTCCAGGACTCTGCTGGTCTTTTGCTTGGTCACCAGAAAAAAATTGCAACTGTCACCTGTAAGGCTACCTAGATCTACTGTGTTTTCACTGAGCACTTTGTGCTGTATTATTGCCTACACTTGATAAGCACAGTAATTCTTGCTATGCAAACAGTCTTTTTTCATAATGTAAATCTATCAGATTGGAGAATGTCATGGTAAATGTTATGGACCACTGGAATCTCTTTTTGCCTTCGTGTGTAGGTTTTAAATTATTGCTTATCCTAAGGCTTATTTGCAGCGCAAAGGTTTCCTTTCTGATATACAGCCCCCTTCTGATTAACAGTTCTTGAATAGTTTTCTCCCTGGACATCAGGGTCTTGGCTATGCAGTGTTCAAAACACTGCGCAAAAGGGCACTATGATCTCACTAACCCTCAATAAACAGTGTGATTAGCTCCTAATCAAGCAAAATACTAAAGTATATGCTTAATGTTCAGCATGTGATATAACAATTGAAGTCAATTTCTCATGTGCTTGTAGTAAAGCATATACTTAAGTGATTTGCTGGATCAAGGCCATAATGATTATGTACTTTTCCTGTAATCACTAATGTGCTCTTTCTTAAATTCTTAGTTGTCTGGTCTCTTCTGTTACTCCTACAGTAACCTATCTGATAGGTCTCACCTTGTTGTTTCTCCCCTTTACACTTGACAGGTTAACTTGTGAAAAGAAAATAAAGAAATCTTCCTTCTCGTTTAAGACAGTGGAGGACTTTTCACTGACTTTGAACAGCCTTCACTAGATGCATTAACAGCATGGTGTGTCTTCAGCCAAACAATATCACATCACTTCTATTTTCAGCTCCCAATATTTACCCCAAAACCTACTGTAAGGTACTAGTATGAAAATACAGGTTATTGCCTCTATATCATTATTTTTTTTTTAGTTTCATGTACAATTAACTGTGCTCTTATAAAAGAGTGATGTTAAAACCTGTATATTCCTAATTATATTATGAATGTCCTTGATCGATTTTCATTTCTCCAAAAAGGGAGCAGGACCTTTCCCATACAAAGCTAGAGGCTTTGCTACTGAGTTCAGCCATGTTATCTACTACCAGACTGGCACCTGCAGTTTGCAGGGTGTAGAAAGCATAACAGCTGCAAAATGCAGCAGCAATTGCCTGTTCAGACAGGGTGTGCATCTGCGTGCTGGCTCACAAGCCAGCAACCTTCAAGAGGCCAGGTTTAGCTGCTGCCTGGGATTTGGGTCTGTCCCACAGCAGGCTGGGCTCTGTGCTTGGCAGCGTGGCACCGCTGTGAGACCAAAGTACCCTGTTGATGAAGCGCAGATTGCAGACAAGCCTCCAGGCTTCAACGGTGTCCAGGGAAAACAGCTGGCTTTGGTTTGGCACGGCCTGCCTACCTGCCTGGTCTATTTATGGTAGCTCAAGCTGAATAACTTTGTGGCTTTATTCACCAGTATGGAAAGCCTGCTTTCCCGCTGGCAGCGTGCCACTCAGTAACTATCTCTACTCCTGTCCTCTGAGAGTCTTGGGCTTTGTCTGGATATAAAAGTTTTTAAAGGACAACTGCCACTTAGGGAACATCCAGAAAGCAACTGACCTTCATCGCATCCCCATCTGGTGCAGACGACAAGTTCCTTTTCAGTCCCCAAAGAGACTGCTTCTGTTTGTTTTACAGGGGAAATGTTACTGTGATATTTGCTTGCTCTTCCCTTAAATAAGCATAAAGCACTCTGATATGCAAGATCCACTCTGTAAATTCTAACAACTTCCTTCCTGTCATTTCTGTTTTTGCTTATGAATCAGAAATTTTCATGGTGTTTCAAAATACAGTCGGATTTACAAATGCTTCATTCTCATGTGACAAGGAATAAAATCTGCTACATTGCTATTTCAAGTAACTAGCATAATTTTTAAGCAGAAATTTAGGTTCCCAGTATTACTGAAATTCTTAAAAAAATCATGCCTTTTGCTAGCCTGAGAAGAGACTACTGTGAACTGCATACAAGTTGTCAGTAGGTGGGTGTTAACTTTTCAGTTGCATATATGCAGAATTCCAGAGGAATATTATTTTCATGTGTTTTTAGCCAACAATTAATATATTGCCATGCATTATGGTTTCAAATGCAACTACCAATGTTTAAGGCCTTTGCATTGTAGATACAGTTTTGCTATTTCTTTTTCTATCTGATGGTTTTGGAAACATTACTGAAATTTGTTGAGCACCACTGATGTTTATGCCACCAAGGAATAGATTATTACTATGCTTCATTTCCCAAGCTGCAGGTGCACCCTTCAAACATTTACCATGTCTGCTTTGCTATATCAAACTGGTAGGCCCTGGTTAATTCATCAAGGTGGGCTTGAAGCATTGGCTGCATCTCCTCTCGTGGAGAAGGTGTGAGGGTTGCAGTTGACTGTTGTCCAAAGGAGATTGCAGGTGATGAAGCTACTCCTCGCACAGGAGGTGTGGGAACACGATCATCATCTTCTTCAAGCTCATCCTCCATGCCCTGATGGAGGTAGGTCTGAACGGGCAAAGGCGGACACCAACCATCACTGTCATATCTAAAATAAAAACCAAGTAAACTTAGTATATATCAAATCTCAGCTCTGAGGTGCAGCAGAGGGTATACAGGATTTGTGATACAGTTTGAAGCCTTGCATACAGTGTGAGATTTAACATTTACTGAAAATAGGGTCATAATTGCTTAAATCCTCCTTAGTGATTCCATTTAATTTTTCCCCACAACTGCTAAGCAACTTGAATAAGATGTGCAACAAAAATAATTACAGATACATTATCACATTTGTTAATGGCAATAAAATAATGTTCCCCCACAATCAGCAACAAAAATGAACTAACTCACTTCCTGGATCATTAACCTCGGAGAATGTATTGATAATTGACCTAGACATGAAAATAGTAGCATTCGTAAAAGGCAGAGTGAGCTTTACACAGTTGCCCTTATGTGCTTCCTTACTCCCACCTTCCACTTTGTCTTTTTTTTGTGTTTTTTTTTTTTTTTTTAGTTTGTAATTTAAGTAAAACCCCACACTTTCCACATAAATTTTGGTCTTTCCACATAGTGTATAGCTATCTACAATGATGCGTAACACATTTATGTCACAGCAGCACTGACCTTAGCATATGCTATCCCGCAGTGCCAGCTAAGACACATCTAGCATGCATGTTGACGGCTCTGCCAGCACCCCACCTCCTAACCAAACATTCTTGGGACTTACCTAGACAGCGCTAAAGTTCTGAACACTTTCAATACACCTGCCCAAAGCAAATTCAAAGGTTAACAACCACCAATGTCCTTCAATTTGAAGGAGAATTTGGTAATTCTCTCCTCACATATAAGAAATGCTCTAATAGGTATTACATTTTTTCTGGTTCCATTTTTGGTCTTACACTAAGGGAAAGGAAGAAATAACTGATCAGGGCTAGAAACAGACACTTTATAATCTTATAATCTTATAATCTTAAACTTGGTCAGTAATTCAATCCTTTCCTGTCTCTGTTCTTATCACAGACCTTTCAGTCTGGTGCTGTATTACAGTACCATCTCAGGATCCTGTCCCTGCATCACCCAAAACATGTAGGCTCCTAGTGACTGTTGAAATACCCTGAGCATTATCTCCCCAGAGCAGTTCCCTAATCTGAACACAACTTCTGTTGTAAACAGCTCTGCTGACAATCACACCACTCAAATCTTCTGTCTGTTCTTCACTCAAGTCACACCACTGTCTATTCTTCCCATCCTCAACACATCCACTCTGCAGTCCCTTGAGTATCTGCACACATTTCTTAACTCCCAGTATATTCCAAAATACCTCAAGATAGACAGCTCTTTTGAAAAGACAAGCAGACAACCAAAAGCTCTCACAGCTCCTTCACTGTCAAATCATCTTGTACTCTAAAGGCCATTCCCCAAGCATCACCTAAGTCACATCTTCTTTCCACCTTCAAGGACTGCAGACAAGGTACACTTTTTTGTCTGCAACACAGTTAACCATGCATTGAGTTATAGAGTTTATTTCTCAAAAAAAAGGAACCTTTTTTAAGGTTCCTTATTTGGAAGGAATTACCAATTTACCAGACCAAAATGAATCATAGCCTATTTTCTCATGTGAGGAGCTAGGTTACAAAAATGCTGGGAACAGAGGAGTTTCATAACCTGTACTATGAACAGAAGATTGACTTTAAGCAAAAACAAAGGTTTCTAAAATTAACTAAAATTCTTTTTCCTTATTCTAAAATGTGTAGGCTGTATTTGAGAGTACAGATTCAAATCTGGCTTAATCAGATGAAAGCCTGTGGAAAATACATCTTTTAATTAAAGCTGGTGTCACTTTAAATCCATATCTAGATGTAACTGTACACAGATACACATACATGTTATGTATACATAGGGACAAATGAATGTTGCATCTTAACAGTTGGCATTAGGAGCTATGAGTGACTGATCCATTACCATTTTCATAACATGGAATTTTAAGAAAATGTTATATGATATAAATTTGACTGCTTAGGAGATGGTTAGGGTATTACTAGCTCTAATTTCTCTTTCCTAGCAATATTTACTCATGACATTGGCACCTAAAGGTGAAGAGACCATCCTAACTCATGCTGCTAAAAATTTACAGTGCAACAGCTCTGTCTTTTACACTGTTACACTCCCAACCTTATGCTTCTTGTAATGGCTTCTTTAAAAGGGGCAGGGCTGTAAGAGACTCCTTAGTGGCTTTCCGATAACTCATAAATGGGCTTTTGATGTAATCTCCTATTGACCCCACTTGTTTCAAACCCCCAAATGTTCAGCTTGATTGTTTATTCCTTAACAAGAAGGTTCTGCACAACTACTGATCTTCACCTAGGTCTTCTCTGAAATAGAAATGAACCTAAGCCTGAAGCTTAGGACATTGAGATTAAAAATTTCAGGTATGAGAATGTTTGCCTTTGTAATGTAAAATGTGCAAAAAGCCACCAATTATACAATCCATTTAACCAAAAATAAACCTGCAAAGAAAAGCAAGCAAACCTAACTATCATCTGTATATAGTAACTACATAAATTATACAGTAATTTAAACTTCTGGAACCACCACAGTCAATACTGGTCGCATCCATGTTCTTTCTGGTTCCCTGAGTAAATACAGCTTGGAAAAATGCATGTAACCTTTTCCAAATACTTCTCATTAAACTCCAAACACCTTAATTTCAATAGAGACTTCTGACAGTAATTTCATAATAATCAATTTTAAGTCCTTAAATATGTTCTGTTGGACAAAAATGAAACTCAACATTTCTAATATTTTTATTTTATTCTTAGCACTTTAATTCTATATTAATCTTTTTCTGTTAAAAATCATGGTTCATTACATTGACAGTGCTTCTTCTTCAACATAAGAAACAGGTGATAGGGAACATTCTATAAGAATTCTGGTTCAATAGAAACATTGTTGCAGGAGAGAAAGCTTCCCTCTCTAGGCCCCGCATGAAAGCATTCTTTTATTTTTTTTAAATGTAAAAGGTATTATCTTCTATACTTTTTTTTAAAGAAAACTACTATCACATATATTGACATCCAGCAGCTAATACTCTGTTTTAAGGTGTGATCAATAGTAAGAAATAAAAATAACAAATGTTAACTATATGAAGACTGCCTTTTCCAGGGTTGGCTCAAGATCATGCATATTACTGGTGAAAAAAAAATATAAATAGATGATAAAAAAGAATAAAGAAGCATTTCCCTACTGTTGAGCTTATTACATAAAACCAATCAAAACCATCTTCTCTGAAAAAGGCAGAAAGGGAAAGTTTCATTGGAAGCTACTCCAGGAAAAGAGAGATTTCAAACACCTTGAAGTATATACAAGTGAAAATTGAGGAAAACAGCAAGGGACAAGCACAGTTTGTAGAAAACTAAGAAGAAGGGTAAAGTTTCACAGAAAAGAGCTCACTAGGGAAACAATACTAAAAACAGACTTTCTGCACAGGTTAAATGGGAATACAGTACATCCCCAATTATACCATGTCACAAAGAATGGCTGCTTGGATTTACGTATTCACCCTTTCTTATGTGTGTTGCAGTTCATGGAAAAATGGAGGTGAATGCAGACCTTGATTCTTCTGGGGAGAATATGTTAGAGAGAGTCAAGAATGTGATTTTTTGTTTTTGTTTTGTTTTTGTTTTTCTTCCCTTTAGGATTAAGTTATGTGACTTTTTTCTAACATTGCTGTTGTGGATTTTTCTTATACGTTTTTAGCCAACAGGCCTCTGGTGTTAATACCTAGTAAGTAAAATCAGGTATCAAAATTGTTTAGTTTATTTGGGAACTCATGCCAATGAAACTCACACTTGAATTCAAGAGTCATAGGAAGAGAAGCACAGAAAAAGTATCTGTTTATAAGCCAGATTCCTTGTTTTATTGCTCTAAATGTTCACCTTTTATATCACATTGTGAGAACTTTAACAAAGTCTTTAGTTTTCCTGACTGGAAATTAATTTTTCATTTGTAATTCACCATATAATTATGTCTGCAAATAATTAATTCTAAAGTTAAAACACATTGAACTTATCATACATAGTATACATCAAAGAAAACCAAGAAAAACAAAACAGTTAAAAAATTAAAAAGAAAAGACATTTTAAAACTCAACATGTCAATATTAAACGGAGCATAAGGAATGCAGTCTATAATTCATACCATTTTAGCATGTTGAAAACCACAGAAACAAGATCAGCCCCTGAATACGATATGACTATTAGCACTAGGTAGATCTTCAGGAAGTATGGGCATTGCAGCTTCATTGGGTTCATCGAAGCTTTTTGCAAAATGCTGTAACTTGGGACTGATATTGGAAGATTCTGTATCTGTCTTTGATTGGTAAAATGCACACTAGAAGGTCTTGTTACAACCACTACTAATTTGAAAGATAAACTGAATTGTTGGGAACCTGTAACACTGGTGATTACCTTAAGCTTAGATAACCAGTGTTGTCTTGGTGACCAATATAATTCCCTGTAGCTACATAACAGATACTTTATGAAACTGAGGAGTCAAGCCCTGTGTCACAAGGGATTTCCCTAGAAGGTATTTCCATTTACCTTTTATACTATTTCATTGTCCTTGAAGAAAATCCAAGTTGTTTGCCTTCTATAGCATAATTATTTTAGTGAAATCACTGAACACATGTTTTAAGGACATAAACTGATAAGGACAAATACTATATGGCTAAACCATCTTAAATTTATTTTAGCTTTTTATAGCAGGATACAGAAAATAATGCCTATCTGCAATTTTTGCCTTGAGATTTAAACAATACTTAAAACTACTACGTAAATCCATTTTTCCTTACATTTACTTTGGAATTCTAATTCTAATACAGCCTGAATGAATTTTAAAAGGAATTCAACTGACTTACAGTTAGTTACTGTTCAGTTTAAAAGTTGAAAGACTTCGCATAAATTAACATTTAATTCTGATTTTCACCATAAAAATAGCGATGATCAATTCATGCTTACAAAAGAGATAGCACTTGAAATATTTTTATTCAGTAAAACTATTACAATGATTTTTAAAACATATGTTCATCCTTAGGAAATATTGATTAATCCATGTATTTAAACAGGCAGATTTATCCCAGACCAAACTCCAATGTTTCTCAAGGGCTCCAACAGAGTTGATCACAGTAAACTACTTTTTTTTCTTTTTTTTTAAATATATTCTGATTTTCCTCCAGAGTTTGACAATTTGGTATTTCATGTAATTTCACATTATAAAAAGCATTCCATAATTGTTCTCTGTGCATGAAATGTCTCTTTCCTCTTATTTACTGCTTTCTGTGTGATTTTGTGTCCTTAAGAACAAGTTTAAGCTATCCAAAAAAAGAAGTGTAAGGTTCCAGAAACTCAAGAGTTGTTTAAATTCAAAAAATGCCTACAAATAACATGCCTTCCTCAACTGTGAAATTTCTTCTAAGAGCCGATGAGAAGATTATCGTCCACTGGTTGATCTTCTAAAATTAATCCAATTTAGTGTGGGGTTTACGTTCTTTTGGCTCCAATATTTCTAAACATCAAACCAGTGAAAAAATACAGGAGCCAGATTATGTCATCCTTACTCACTGAGTCCCATCATCTGCAAGCAGTTCCAACAGAATTCAATTAGGCTACATGTGAAGTGAGATACTTCTCAGCATGAGTAAGCAGAGAAAACCCTACATGATGATGAAGCAAGGTCACTTTTATTTCCATCTTCAGTCACTATCACAAGAAGCTATTCCAATATTCCTCCTCCATAGCCTTCAACAGGTCTATAGGATAAGGCGCTCTCATTTTTTTAAGCAAAATAGAATAACATTCTCATTTGGGAAAAAAAAAAAAAAGAAGAAAAAAAAAAAAGAAAAAAAAAACTCATCTCCACAAACCACAGACTTTTCTTCAACAGAAAAAGAAAAAAATTACCCTGCTTCTTGCTGATCCACCCCGTAGTGTTCCAGCTCTGTGCCTGGAAGTGGCTGCACAGGAGGGGGTGGGAGGGGAACACTGGCCCAATTTGAACCATTATTTTTCTGGGGTTTGGCAGTATTTTTGTTTTTCTTCTTTTTCCCTCCTTTGCCACCTGTAAATTCAAAAAGAAAAATAAAATGTTTGAGATATGATGTGAAAAAAAGCTGTCTATTTTACTTTCTTTTAAAGAATTTGTATTCCAGATGGCATGCCCCAAAACAGAAGATGTATTTATATCTTAGCAGGATCAGTATTAATGTGCTAATGTTGTTAGAGGTTATAAATAATAATAGAATGGAAAAACATTCTGAATAATTGTTTAAAGTCACTTTTTTTTTATGTAAACTCCATATATTTGCACCACCATAGTGCCAAGGAAAGACATATCTTGTTGCCTCAGAAATATATTTACTGATTTATTCATGTATGCTTTATGACTTCTTACAATCACTGGTGGATAAAAATATAATGGACCATAGCAAATTCTTTCAAATGTCAGAATCTGATGTGCTTATAACACTGTTTTGCATAATTTCTTTCTGTGGAAAACATAGAGGTTAAGGACACAATCTAAAAAATTGTCATTAGACTCGATTTTTTTCAGCCAGAACGACAAGTGTAAGTTGTCAAAACCAAAAAGAAGTGGTGTTTTGCTGATAGGAATTTACTAAGTTCTATTTTTTAAAATACCAGGAAGTCATTTACAATATTTTAGGACTGCCTGTTTCACAGGATTCAATACCTTGTGCCGCTATAGAGAACAGGCTCTATTCCTGACATACAGCTCTAATGGAACAACTTGAGGAAGTGAATTGAGTAATGCATTTTACTTAAGCTCTCTTCTCTTTTCTTATCATTCTTTTGCCCAGTTTTCCAGTTGAGACACTTCAATTTGTGGGAAAGTGATCTTCCAGAAAAAGCTCTCTTCCTACTTGTTTTGCTTCTTTTATTTTGCCCTGGCCCTTTTTTCTAGTCAGGAATTCATTAGTAGGAAGACTGGGACACAAACAAAAATATTTCAATTCCTTGACTACTTCATGACCCATCTCTTGCCATTTTACCGAGGCTTTCAAACTGGATTGTTGGATGGAAGAATGGTTTGTCATATATGCCTTTCCAGTGGGGTAGCCAGCTAGCAGTTACTCCTGCCTTGCCTGCTGCAGAAAGCACAGTCTAATTCAGTTAACACACAGTCATCTCATGCTTATTTATAAGGATTAGACAACAACAACAAAAAAATCTCAACAGTAATTAATCACAAAAGCCACAACTGACTAGTAAGGCATAATGGCATTGTGTAGCACCACCTTCTATGTCATGGTCTTAGCTTTAGGCACATCCAGAAGGAGGTGCAATTCTGGTAACATAGACAAGCACTTGTCACAGCGCTTTCGGTCTAAAAGACAATGGCTCTCTTCTATTATCTCCAGCTGTCAGCTGAACCAAAAAAAGAAGTGATAGAGAGAGGGAAGGAACAACCTGACTGTGTGATTCAGAAGTAGCTGAGACTTTTCTTTTCTCCTCCTGTTATGGCTGCTAGGGTCAGGGCAATGAGTCCGGCAAGGTTTCTAATCAGCCTGTCTGACAGCAGATTGCACAAGAGACTTCTCTTTCCACTACTGAATTCCAGACCAGAGCTCTTCCTTGCTTGTCTTGGAGTTTTTACAGTAAGTCCAGCCAAGATCCTGTCACTCACTATGTGGGAACTGAACTGATATTCCATCTAGTAGGCTGCAAGCAGGCTTTTCTCTCCTGTTGCAGCCTGGCAGAGAGGAAGGTTTTCTTGAAAAGGGAAAGAACATTTGGGTCAACAGTAAAGAAACTGCAGTGATGGTGGCAATGAAGGAACAAATATATGAAACTTCTGGAGGGCAAACGAAGCTTTCAAAGCACAGGTATGGGGGAAAGCAGCATTAGAAGCAGGTACAAAAGAAGGATGTGAATTTAAATTTGTGGGGAAAATTTAGAAAAGTCAAAAGGATCAGGAGCAGGTAACAGCTGAGGCAGGAGTGGCTTCTTTGGAATGAAAGCACATGCATAAGTGTGTATGTGTGTGTGTCACGGGGGGATTTAAACTAAGAGTACTCAGGGAAGAGAAATGGAGAGATGTTCAGCTTAGAGACTAGCTGAGGTGGAGAGGGACATTTTGAAAGTATAGCATCTTGGTAATGTGAGGAGACTGGTATAATGGAGATTGGATGTGTGGGGTGCTAGATTCAACTGGATTTAGGGTGGGGTTGTAGAGAAAGGTCAAAGATAACAGAGCTGTTAGAAAGGGTGAAGCAGAGATCTGATCTCAAATCAAGAAATAAAAGAAAGAAAGTCCAAGGTCATCACTGGTAGGGAAAGCAGTCTACGCTGTACAGTTGGGCAGGAGATTTCTCTTCTTCTATCCTCATGAGCAGAAATATTCCCCTGTCAGACTATGGAACAGACACCTCATAGATATAATGCCTGATGTGTGTTTGAAACACAGAAGCCTTGTTTCCCCGTAGCAATGAGGCTTGATATTTCAGTGTCTCCTCACACTGAAATTCAATTATATTGTTTAAATCTCTAGATGATTCAGGTCCTGGAAAAAGAATTTGCCAGTCGGCCTGATGATCACAGCACTGACGTAAGGTGGGAACTGTGCAAAGTACATCCACAAAATTTCCCTAGCTCACAAAGCAGTTGAGTGTTGAGCTATTTTTCATTCCACACTAGGATGAGATTTCTCATTATATTCATTGGAGATAGAAGAGAGACTTAGTCAGAATAATATGTAGTACTTACTGCAGAAATGAGAGAACAAGTCCCTGCTCACCCTGATGGGACTAGGTAATCAAAGCTGGTCTCTTACTCCAATAATGCTCTAATTATCAGCCTATTTGAAGGTCTCTCCCAACTTCTCATGTATTACAGAGATAATTAGTCTGTACTGCAGACATAATTAGTGAGCAAGGGAGAGCAAAATACTGACTCTGCAGTCCAGTAGTCTGACACTCATCTGAGCCACGGGACATCCAGATGTGAGCTGTTTTGATCACAACAGGAGTAGTCTGGCCATAGAAAAGCATGTTACCAGAAGTCTCCATGTCTCACCAAAAATTGTACTTCAGGCTGAGAAATACTACACAAAATATTTTTCGCTTGAAATATTTTTTCAAAGTCCAGCTTTTGATCAACTGGCATTTTCTAACAAAAAACTTCAATTGTATTTTCTCAGAAAGTTCTCAGGAAGCTGTAGCTGTCAACACATCTAAAGTGTGATACTACCCTCTGATAACTGGCACATATGTACCTGAGCATATCAATTTCTGCATTTTCATGTAGCCACAGGAGCAAGCTAAGTTCCTAGGCATCTTGCTAATACACCTTACATCCAAGGAACAAGAACCATTCCTGAAGTGTTACATGAACTCAGCTCCCACATACCTCTCTGTCAGACCTATAAGTCTATTTTTCTATCTCAGCTAATATTACCCACGAGAACACAAGGTTTTTGCAAATACCTTTGCCTATCTGAGGTATGGGCCAATGTTTATACGCTTCTAATCTCAACATTCAATTTGAATAGTCATTTAAATTGACATAAAGAACCCATTTCTAGAGTTTATCTGTTACTGTTGTGATTGCTCCGTCTTACAGTAGAAATTCAAAAGGCTATGGATATAATAGGAATTTGAAAGTGAAGTCCCTTCAGCTCTCATATTTTGGTTATGTATAATAGAAGACTTTCCTTTTAATTGCTGGCTTTTCAGTTTTCATCTTGAAAAAAATGCATAATTATATATAACAAAAGCAACAAGTAAGCAAAATTAAATAAAGAAAAAGGTGTATTTAAATATAATATGTAATCACACATATTACAATCATTTTCATCCAATGAAAATGTGTCGTGTTTCCAATATAACATGCAGCACACACACACAATTTACATTCTGTTTGTATGCAGACTTGGTGCATTTTTTGAAACCTTAATCATCTTGGGGGGCCTACTTTTATCTCTGAGTTTCTTGACTGAAATACAGCATTTACAAACAGCTCATGAGAGTGGTGAATCTGTTAACAACTCAACAAAAATATTAATCTCCTCATGAAGTTCATTGGGGGGTTGCCTATAAACTGAGGACCACTGTGGAAACATATTCACACTAAAAACTGTGCTATCAGGGAAAGGACGTGACAAGGCAAGCTTTGCAATTGTGCTGACAAGTGCTGGGCACAATGGCTGGAAGGATTCTCCAATTCGCTCCAAATAGGTTTTGCAAAAGACACTTTGGGTTTTTCTGGGGGCTTTTATTTTTCTCATTAGAGACCAATGTGACACCTTTCACCAATGTCCCAGTGGGCAGGCAAGCTCATACCTATCTGCAACGTGAGTCTGGGAGGTTTCCTGCCTCCCTGGTGAGCTGCTGACGAACACCCCTCCGTCCCTCACCCACCCACAGCAGTGGAACCAACCTGAGAGGCTGCCACTCCTTTCGGAGCTGTTGTGGGAGCTGGTGGTGCTGAAATCCTGTGACTGGTTGTGTGGCAATCTATTAGCCAATCCCTCAGCCACGCGGTAGTCAGGGATGTAAAGCAAGGCTAAGGGTTAAAGGGCAAAGGTCACAGTGGCATTGTGTGATTAGTTGACAGCACAAGCACATGCAACACACGCAGTTAGCAAGTCAGTGGCAGATGTGGTGGGGCTGCGAGTTTTGATTTTTTTGTTAATGTATATCTGTCCTAGCCTAAGGGAAGGCATATGGGTTGGTGATTATCACAGGACAAAGAGAACTAAAAGCACAGAACACTACATTTAGTGACTGCATGAGGTTCAGCATGCATGCAAGGTGTGTAAACATTAGTTACAGTAAATATGAGCAGTGTCTCACATACTAAAATTTTGCTAATTCATGCAAAATGAAACGGTATAAATCCAAGGGCTCTGGAAAATAAGAGCTGTAATTACCATTGTTGCCTTTGCCTTGGTCTGGAAGAGAGTAACCAAATCCCATCAGGTCATTTTTCTGCTGAATTGAGCTCTTCCACTGAGGATCAGGTAAGTCAACTGCCAATTCATGGATGCTGTTGGAATGCAGTATCTGGGTGGTGGCATATGGTGTAGCTTGCGTTATTTGGCTGGAACTGTTGTAACTAGTTTTTGTGGTGAAGTCAATGCTGCTGTAAATGGCTCCATCAGAAAGCATAGTAGCAGTTTTATCTCCTTGCCCTGGAACTGGTGGCAGCACATCTGTGGTGAGCACAGGGGAATGAAACAAATCATTGATGCACAGGAACCCTGAAAGTATCAAGGTTTAAGATGAAAAATAAATGTGTCATTTTGCACGTTTGCATTTCAGCTGAGACAGGTCCATGAGCCAACGAAGGGAAGATGATATACAACCAACGCCAAGCTATCAGCATCTGTGACAGGCCTACTACTTGTCCTTCACGTCTCACTGCCTAAAACCATCTTTTTTTTCCATACCTTCAACTGTGAAAGTGAAGTTTGGAATATTTCTCTACTGAAGAATGTTTTCAATTGTTCATTCTGTGTCAGAACCAATGAAACTGTCTGGGCTTCAGGGAAATGATGAAAGGAGTGAATCTACAAATCACAGAGGAAAGTTTCCCAGCAAATATGTAGCAAAACACTTAAGTAGATGCCAAAGCTCTCAAAGTAATTTTTTAAGGCCATTACCTTGACTTCCTTCAAGTTTTATGCATCAGCTTATCTAATCTTCTTTTTGACATTAGCTAGTATATTTCTCCTTTTCAACAAAAGAAAAACCTGACAAAAACAAGTTGTTCTCGAAATGTGAAAGAAAATCTGTTATACTGAAGGGATTTAAGTGATCAGTCTCTTAAAATGCCAAAGCAGTCTTGGTAATGGAGAACAACTTGTTCAAATACTCCAGTACATTTACCTGAAAAATAACCGTACAGCATATTTACTTAAATATCTGTTGACTTTTCTATATCTTTTGAAACCTATCACACACCACAATTTGTATTTTTAATTGGTTAGATTGGCAGTCTCCTCACTAAACGTTGTAGTGACATTTGCTGGTGGAATACTAGATTTGGATGTTGAGACTACTGAAGCATGAAGAATGTAATGATGATTGGCATGATGTCCCAAGGAGAACCACAGCTTAGCCAATAACCCTCCTCTTGTTCTCTCAGAGGTCAATTATTTCAAATGCTGCTACTTTTACAATTTATTTAGACTCTGGAAAGATGAAATAATTCTTGAATCTACATGTTAGAAAAGTGCATCATTTATATGCCATTTGCTCTAATATCTGATAGTAGATATAGGTTCCAATTGCTGGACAGTAATTGAGATAATGCATAGTCTTATTAGCGAGGATGTTCAGATCCCATTTTAAGTGTCACAGATTTTTATATACATTAGACTCCAAAGACAAAAGAGAAGGGTTTCTGGAGCTCCATTCCAGACTCAGAAACAGGTGCCCTACAACCTAATACAACATAGTTGGCCTCACTGTCTCACTGTCTCAGGATTTTTCTAACAAGATACGATAGCACAGGTTCCTCCCACTGTTTTGTTTGTTTCTTTGTTGTTTTTTGTTTGTTTGTTTTGTTTTGTTTTTCTGGGTTGATCATTAAGACCACAGAACTACTTTGTATTGTATGCATGTGTGCAACACTGAATATTTAAATATGAACCTTAACATCTGCAATCTCAGGGTAACAACGTAATATTAGCAATTAATAAGTCAATAACAAGTGCTCAGTAAATAGGATACTTAAACAGACATTAAATCTGAGTCTACTTATAAAATCATAGAATGGCTCTGGTTGGAAGGGATCTTAAAGATCATCTAGTTCCAACACCCCTGCCATGGGCAGTGATACTACCCATTAGATCAGGCTGCCCAGGGCCTTACCCAACCTGGCCTTGAACACCTCCAGGATGGGGCATCCACAGCTTCTCTGGGCAACCTCTTCCAGTGCCTCACTACCCTAACAGTGAATAATTTCCTCCTAATGCCTAATCTAAATCTCCTGTCTTTTAGTTTAAAACCATTCCCCCTTGTCCTATCATTATCTGTCTGAGCAAAAAGTTGTTCTCAATCTTTTTTATAAGCTCCCTTTATGAGCCCCCTGAAAAGCTGCAATAAGGTCACCCTGGAGTCTTCTCTTCTTCACACTGAACATCCCCAGCTCTCTCAGCCTTTCTACATAAGAGAGGTGCTCCAGCCCTCTGATCATCTTCATGGACCTCCTCTGGACCCGCTCTAATTGGTCCACATCTTTCTTGTGCTGGGGGCCCCAGACCTGGACATAGCACTCCAAGTTGGGTCTCACAAGTGCAGAGCAGAGGGGAACAGTCACCTCCTTTGACCTGCTGGTACTCCTCTGTTGATGCAGCCCGGGACGCAGTTGACCTTCTTGGCTACAAGCTCACACTGGTGGCTCATGTCAAGTTTTTTGTCCACTAGAACCCCCAAGTCTTTCTCTGCAGGGCTGCTCTCAAGGACTCTTCCCAGTCTGTGCTCGTCTGGGATTACCCCAACCCAGATGCAACACCTTGCACTTGGACTTGTTGAACCTCATTCGGTTCACATGGGCCCACTTCTCCAGCTTGTCCAGGTCCCTTTGGATGGCATCTCTTCCTTCTTTTGTATCAACTGCACCACTCTGCTCAGTTTTATCTGCAGATTTGCTGAGGGTGCGCTCAATCCCACTGTCTATGCTGTTGATAAAGACATTAAACAGCATCAGTCCCAGGACAGACCCCTGTGGCACACCACTCATCACTGGCCTCCACCTTGACAAAGAGCCATTGACCACCACTCTCTGGGTGTGACTTTCAAGCCAATTCCTTATCCATTGAATGGTCTACCCATCAATTCCATCCCTCTCCAATTTGGAGATAAGGATGTTATGTGGGACTAGTGGTAGAATTTATTTTTGCAAGCAACAACAGGGGGATGGGAACCATCACATACTCAAAATACCTAAATTATATTCTTATATTTGCAGAAAAAAAATTAAGTGCAAAAAAGTTATGATTAATGCAAACTACAGGTCATCTCTCAAACCCAGGTTATTACTATCTATCTGCATGTATCCAGTGTGTTGAATACACATGTGCCCAGGTAGCCAGGGGCAATATACGATCACAAAAACGTCTACGTGCAAATACAGAATGAGATGTGAGAGACAAATGCAGTCCTACTCTTCATGTATTTTATCCACAATATAAAGATGCAACCTTTCCACAATTGGCTTAATCAAAACATAATGTATCACAGAAACACGGGACGACTGAGGTTTGAAGGGACCTCTGGAGGTCATCTGGTTCTATCCCCTTGCTCAAACAGGGCCACCTTGGACAGGTTGTCCAAGACCATGTCCATACAACTTTTGACTATCTCCAAGGACTGTACAGCTTCTCTGGCCAACCTCTTCCAGTGCTCTGTCACCCACACAGTGAAGAAGTTTTTCCTGATATACAGACAGAATCTCCTGTGTTCCAGTTGTACCCATTGTGTCTTGTCCAGGCACTAGGCACCATTGAAAATAGCCTTTCTCTGTCTTCTTTGTACCCTTCCTTTAGGAAGGGTACACATTGATAAGATCCCTACACATTGATAAGATCCATACACATTGATAAGATCCCCTCTGAGATTCCTCTTCTCCAGGCTGAACAGTCCCACTGGACTGAAATCCAAGAGACTGAAATTTATTAAGTAAATTCTGTTGTTGGTGTACAAAATTAATCAAGTCCAGCTCAACATGCGTATGTTGGATCTGCAGACTGACAGAACTAAACATTAGCAAAATGTTTACCTCTCTCAAGTAATCAGAAATAAATCTTTCAGAGCACATTTCTGGTTGCTGAAGATGTGTCATCTCTAGACAGTCCTTTTTGAATGGAGAACTATACATTTGCACCCGCTTGAAAGGAAAGTTGCATAGTTGCATAGTTTCCCACCAGCCAAGGATTTTCAGTCTGTCTTACTAATAAACTAAAGTTCTCCAGACTTTCTGGAAATTTTCAATACAACCACAATTACTTTTTTAACCTCGAAGAGACATATACAATAAGCACTCAAAGAGCTATTAAAGCACCATTTTACCAAGTGCCATAATCACCTAGTAAAAATCAAGTGTGATTTTCCCACTAAGCTGTCACAGCAGAAAAACCTCTGTACATTTAAGACCAAAGATGAACATACATTTCCCAATGGACATTTGCCACATTTCCCAATGGAGAGTTCCAAAAGTTCTCCAATATCCATCTTGTTTTGTAACTCCTAAGATAATTCAAATAGTTCTGAAGTACTTTCTGAGGGAATCTCTTTCTTGCTGACTCAGTACTATTTTGTGGTCTTATGTGATTCCAAACCTAACCTCTGCTTCCCACCCACAGCCTTGTTCTCAATTGCCAATCTGGGGAATAATGTGGATTTCACTCTAAAAAACAACATTAAAACTTCCCTCAGTTTCTGCTCCAGAGTAAGTGATTGCCACCCTACTGTCTTCAGAATTCTTACAGGCCTTTAATATTACTCCAGACCTTTTAATCAGAAAAGAAGCCCGAGTTCTATCTAAGCTGTTAAATCATATTAAAAGACATCTCACTTCAGGTCCACCTTCACTGCAGATGCATCTAAACTTAACTGTTTCAATAGTCAGGGATAAGTGGTCCCGAACCAGCCAGAAAAAAAGTGTGAGCTGGACCGAAAAAAAACATGAATGGAATTAAGCTGCTGAAATTTCAAATATAACTGTTGCATTTCCTGGACAAATTTGGACCTATGCCTTATCCACCCTGAAGCCAAAAGCTTTAAAACATGCTTCCAGTTTAAGTTTTATAGAACCAAATGCTAAAACAAAATGGTATTTTTTCTATATTATGTGAGCTCATGAAAAGACAGAAAAGTACTGAAGAGTTTTGTTGTGAATATATTGAAAACAAAGAGGCTGGCAGATATTCAGTTGTCCTGTAAATATTATCAGAACTCTTGTTTACTTTATAATATTTTTGTAAGGCGAAAGCTTTAAAACATTCTTATATGGAAAATAAATCCAGAATGCTTTAATGTAATTTGAAGTAAAAGTAATCAAACCACAGGGAAGAACTTTTACATGGGAATGTATAACCAAAGTAAGGGACAGTTTTCAGAGGGCAGATTTTGTTACCATTCTAAATTAAATTCTTTTCACATTCATCACTTTGATGGTTTTATAGATTCTTTTTTGCATTTTAATTTATTTTTTAATATATACAATTGTCTGGGTTTTTGTATATTTATTCAGGTCTTAAAAATATTTACATACTCATTTATGCTAGGAAGTCTAACATAGGAACATTCTTCCTGTGTGCCCCAGGTCTCTGCTCTTACAATTGTCCTCTGTCCCTGGCTATACTGTCCTGCTCACATCCATGCAAAAGGGAACCGATCTGAGCAATAAGTAAGCTCATTATGAGATGGTGCTCTGTCCCTGTCTCACCACTGTGGGGTAAATTGCAAAGTAAAACTATGTTTTAAAGAAACAGAAGGAGACACGGCAAAATAGACATTTTAAAACCAATTTTAAAATCCAATCTTGAGCCAAACATAGAAAGAACTATAGCAGTATAAAAATATTGCACAGTATTTATCTAGATGTTAACTAAGAGAAATCTATTTTATACTATATTGTGACTTAATAAAATGAAACCAACCTCCACGACTGAAATTGCCAAGATCATTGGGTCCACTAGTGCTGTTGTTTACTGGCAGACTTGTGGCAGGCCAAGAGTCTGCAAGCCAAGGATAACTGGGGTCACTTGCATTCAACAGACCTGGTCGACTGAAGCAGAAAAAAAATAAAATAAAATAATAAATATATATACATGTAAATATATACATACACATATATATACATATAAACAAAATTTAAATATCTGTGAGACAACTCTGGACACAACAGTGACCGAAGATGTTATATCACTTTTCTCCTATCATTGTATATAAGAAACAGTTTAGGAGACTTTAATTTATTTCAAATTAAAATTGTGTAGCCTTTGATGATTTAAAGACCTTGAGAAGTTAATTAAGGATATATACAAATCAACTTTGTCAGTAGAAGTGGGACTAGGCATCAGTTGTGATTCTGCCAGAATCCAAATGAACTCCGTTGTCTGTGTGAAACAGGGGTTAGGCACGACCATCATGGGATCCTAAACCAGGGCTGAATGATAAATTACCACCTCAAGGGAACAATCACTCAAACTGATTGCTCCGTATCAGCCATTTCCAGGACTTTGGGCTACTATTTCTTCCTTCCCTTGCATCCCAAATGCACGCCTGTCATCTACAGGCTGGTAACTCTTTGAGCACTCTTGTATGGTTTAGAGGCAAAGAGGTTTGAGTAGGATTAATGGAAAGTCTACTGCTATCTTTATCTGCCACTACTGCATGGCTTTTATATCCCTGTAATTTCAAGCTTTGAGAGCAGTGTTAAACAGCAAGTATGTTGGAAGAGAAGGTAAACTCAGGCCATAGGGCACTGTGCCTCTCTCACCCCAGGACAAACAGGCTGGAATTTAGCAACGCGCATGGATTGTTTGTATTTGTATTTAACAAGGAAAACAAATCACGTCATGTAAACACTCTCTTCCCCCAAGCAAAATCACAAAATCACCCTGATCCTTCTGATGCTCTTCTAGATTATTAATGCACTCATGAAGTTGGAGCAACACCTATAATCATTGTACTTTAGTTCTGATAGATCCCTGTCTGGTACAATCCCTAAGAGAAACATAGGTTTCTATGGAAACAGCAATAAGAAGATCCAGCGGCTTTCTCAACACATCTACTAGCTCTCATTAGGCCTAATCTCTTTTTGCTAAAATATTGATTAAATGGGAGATTGGAAGTTATTACCAGAGCCTAATTACAATCTCCATATTGGCAAAGGGAAAATAGATGAGGATATATGGGTCCGTTATCAGCTTTTATCAATTTCAATTGAGTAGCCAAAGTTGTGGAATCCAGTCCTATCAATCTACAGCCTATTCATCATCCATGAATCATTTATTTTGTGATCGATTAAGTGTAATTGTTCACTCACAGCAATTTAGGGGGAGCCAATAAGGAGTCTTAAACAACAGCAACTTCATTTGCTAATGTCTAATTAATGCAATAAACATCCTGGTAACAAATGAACACATTCCTTGTGATATTTACTACGCATTTCTTCCAGGGCATCTGGGAGATATGAAACATCTGGGCTTGATTCCTCTAAAGTGCATGACAGATAGATCATTAAACCTTGCGGTAAGCTACTTAACTCCTTCTGAAATTGTCAGTCTTATAAATGATCGTTTATTACCCAAGTGCATCACCTACAGAATTTTCAGATTCCTGATTAAAAAAAAAAAATATGATGGAAACACCTTTACACAAAGAAACATACCTTCCATTGCTCATTAGTCCTCCATCTCCTCTTTGGAAAGTGACTGTATTTTGGTTGGAAAAACAAAACATACACACACACACGCACACACATATAAGACAGGGAGAAATGAATTAGTAATAATTACAAGTAACAATTCAAATTGCTCAGTGTCCAAGATCGAAGGCCTCTTGGCATCATCACGTAATAAAGTACAGAAATTATAAGAACAGGATCAAACACATCAGGATTACAATTTATTTAGGATTTCACTCACATTATTGATTAACATCAATTTGCTCTGTAGCTTGCAAAGCAAGCTGGCCTCCTGGGGAAAAAAATCCTGAATTTACCACAGACCCCTTCATATGACTTTGTGTTGCAAGACTGTGCCATGTGATGAAATTGTTTTCTTGGCATGCTTTTGCTTCAATACATAATGACATTGCACCAGTAAGTTAATAACATCATGTTGTAATGCAGTAATATAATGTCACCACACAAATATGCCATTTCCCAGGATAAATAGAAAGAGGTGGCAGCTCTATTAGAGCTGAAGGAGTGAAAAAAAGCATCAAGCTGCAGCATTTCCACTAACAGCACAGTATAAGAAACAGCACACATAAATGCGTACACGCCAGAATCACGGAAAAGAAAAGCTGTTTTCAGTCTTGCAACTGGGGATGCCAAGGATACATTGTGGTACCATTCATGGGTATCTGACAAAAACCAGCCTATTCCTTTATCTATCTTATTACCAGGATTATGTTATAAGTTACACATTACTGGTGAGGTGTTAATTCACAAGGTTTGACGCTCCTTTTTGAAGCACTGGCTAATATTTTGAATTAAGGCCAAGAAACTACTGTGGTTCTCAGTGGCAATGTTCTATTACTTATTGTTGGGCATAGCTAGGACTGACAATTAAATTAGATCAGTATAAGGATTATAAATATATATCAGTATAAGGATTCAGACCTGAATCCTTACAGGTCCCTAACAAATTGAGGGTTAAAATTTCAGAGAGGAACGAACAAGTCTATGGCCAACTTAATTTGAAACAGTTCCCGGCTTGGAAATACTATTTACGTTTCTGAGACAGACGTTCTCATCAGAGCTCCCAGAATATTTGCAACACTTTCCAAATATTAGTCCAAAGTACATTAATTCAAGATTAAGCTTTATATTATACACTTTTCTAACCAGACAAAACTACTACATCCAATAGAAATGCTGTGGTCATTAAAAAGTTAGAAATGACATAAATCCACTGATTAAATGCTTCTGATATCTCAGAGAATATTCGTCACTTCATTAATTCCTAGGGTAATTTCACAGTATACATTCAGCAAAGGGAACAAAACTGACCCCTTTGGAAGCCCTGCTGAAGAGTGTTTAGGTAGGGTGATTAATTACCCTTCACTGCAGAACAGACTAATATCCATATCAGAAAATCACTGCAGTCACATGTCATATCAAAATGGTTAATAGCTGAATTTTGAAAGGATGTAATTAAACCAATTAATGAAAAGAAAATCAAAATTCAGGTATGGGAAGTATTAAATAAAAGTCTGCTTTGAAAAACAGGACATGTTAAAAACATTGTGGCTAATTAAGTTTTGAGCTGATGCTACTTTCATTCACATTGTTTTTAACAGGCTGTCAAGTGACTGTATCACTCATTGCTTAAACGTGAATAATCTGAAGAGCTGTGGATGTCGTTTGACTATGCAAAGAGGTGGTAGTGACCAGCTATGTTCAAAATATGTTGGTCAAAAGTACGTTAGCACTTCAGTATAGGTGCTGTTTCCTTTCTCCTTCTCCCCTTCTTGTTTAATACTGCAACCTTCTCCATTTATCAAAGCAACAAGAAATAAGGAAAAGGAGAAACAAAGGTGCATTCAATAACAACCTTTGTAAATAAAGTTTACAGTTTTAAAAGAATTATAGTGCAACATATTTTCTGAAAAATTCCTGGGATTAATGATCTTGTTTCAACTACAGACTACCAGAAATGATTTTAAAGTAATGTTGCCAACAACTGAATAGCATGTACATGTGTCTGATATTTTATCTATGGATGTCATAAGGGGGGGAAAAAATCGATACTTATGGTCTCAAAAATATTTATATTGCTAGTGTACCTCTATAAAGCAAAGCTAAAATGGGGGAGCTAGTAGGAAATCACAGCAATGTTTGCCAGACACATTCAATTTTCTGTTCAGTGAGGTATAGAGAAAACTCAAAGGCATGCTGTGAGAAACATATTGAGAAGACATGACATTGAAACCTCTGCTCTAGAGCCATAATCACTGCAGAATGGTTGTGGCATAAGAGCCTGTTGAGAAGAGACGAGTATCACTGTGTTTGCTTTCTTTTCTGCTGCCTTTGTGGTTGTAACCATTCCCTGTTGTGTTTTTTTTTTTGTTGTTGTTGTTTGTTTTTTGTGGTTTTGTTTGCTTGTTTGTTTGTTTGTTTTTTTTACATTAAGCAATTTTATGCTCTCCCAATATAAACTCAGTTTTTAGAAGAACCCATCTTGCAGTGATACAGTTTTCTGGGGAAGACAGTGCCTGGCTTACATAATGAGCATCGAATTGGTAGGGAATACAGGTTCTTTCATATACCCTCCCCCTCCCTGCATACCAACGTAAGGTTGGTTATAATTTTCATAAGAAAAGAAACAAGAAAGAATTGTAGATAGTACACTTGGTGAAAAGGACTCTGGAATATCAACTAAGCTAGCCAAAATTCTTCTTGGAATAAGTGAGATACCATCAGTATGTCACAGAAAAAAAAAAAAAAATTAAAAAAAAAAAAAAACACCACCATATTCCTGATGCCTTCCATAAATAGGTTACCTGAAAGTGGATAGAGAAGGTGCCTTTCTTTTAGCATCAATATTGTGAAAGGAAAGACAGCTAACAACAGAAGACATGGTCAGGCTGCCAACATAAGCACTATATTTATCATTCTTACCATACATTTTGTCAGCATTTTTGCCTGCAGTTTGATTTCTGCAATTACAAAACAAGTCTAAACGCCTGAATAGGAGCATACTTAATGCAATGCAGACTTGTAGATGTCACTGTGAAAATAAAACACACAGTCAGCTGGCTTTATTCATCCTGTCTCCACTTCAAAAAGATGCAGAGCAATTTCAAGGGGCAATGTAAGAGGAGGAAGGGAAGAATGTCCCTGTCACTGACCCACCCATCTCCCTTGGTTTTTATCACTGAGGAAGCAAAAAAGCTCTTTCAGCATTCTTTGCATCTGATATATGTTCTGAGAAAGGCTGCGGACCTGCAGGGATGAGATTGGCTTTCAAAAGAAGATGAAAAAAATAACCTCTGCATAGAGAGATTTTGAAGGAATCCCCACTAGCTTATACTTCAAGGACTGTAAGAATGCAGAAATATAATCCAAAGTGCATTTTAAATGCATAAATATTTAAGGAAATTATATTGTCTACATTTGTATGAAGAACAGCATATGTTAAAGAGCTTTTTATATGCTTTTATTAAATACATAAGGAGGTGCCCATACTATTTACTAGTATTATCTGACAAGGTTAAACTTAATCTTCATGCCTGCTAGGACTGGAAAAATATGAATGTATAGTAAGTTGACATTTTGAGGCAAGAAAGCTTTAGAAAGCTTTCTGTATGCCTATCTCTAGTAGGCCACATTTTCCTACCACAAATGAAAACTTTAATGTTGCCAGCCAAGTCTCATTCCTTTTTCTGATAAGCCGTTCCTCAAATATGAATGTAGATTAATCCTCTTTTAATAAGCATTAACTTAGAACAGATAATCAGCATATAAAAATTCCATCAAATCTTCTGACTACCTTCGGACAATTCTGTCAAATACTTATCCTCATTTAACAGTTTCAGGAGTTGAGCATAAAATATGTAGCATTCCATAATTTTCCATCTGTCTATTTTTAATTTGTTTTTGTTTACTTGGTTTCATGAAATCTTTAATCCCAAGGAGTACCACTCACTAAATAAGCTTACCTACTCACAAGTGAAAACACTCTTTCCTTTCCTTGCATGACTGATGGCCTAGACACTCCTGAAAACACCGGAGTATTCAACTGAGCAGTTACTGGCACAACAATGAGTTTGAAGGCATAGAAAAGATAAGCAGATAAATTAAATCTCTCTTATTTCTATAAATGGGTACTGTGCCTCTGTTATACAAAAACGAGAGAAAAGAATGGCAACTTCCAGTAGTAAATAAACAAATTCTGTTCAGTCATTGCAATATGAGAATGAAACAACTCATCTATTACATGAGAAGTAGTCAGAAAACTCTTCTGTGCCATCTAACATTTCTTGCATAAGGTAGAAACCCACAGTGCATGTTTATATCTGGCAACCTGAGTAAAGGGTAATTGCAAAAATAAAGAAAATCAGTAAAGTGGTAATTTTAGTTTTCACAGAAACTCATAAAAGCAAGACCAATCTATTCTTCATATCACAGAACAGATCACTAAAAAGGAATAACATCTGAATTCAGTGTCTCTGTGCCAGTTTTGGTTTTGTTGATAGCCTGTCATGGTCCCCAAAATGTATACTTGTTGTACAGCTGCAAATCATGACATTACTACTTACCAGGTAAGCAAAACACTCATCTAATGATCATGATAGACGATCATATGTTTTATAATACTGATATTATCGAGAATCAGTGCCTGGGGTGTCCTGACAGGGGAACGGGAAGTGGAGGAATAGTGAAATAGAGAATCATGACTGAATAACTATAGGATTTGGTTAACTGAAAATAAGAAAGAAGACTTAGCTATGATTTTCAGTGTCACGTTTTGTTTCTGGCCATCTGAGCAATTGATCAGTACTTATAAAAATGTTCACAAAGACAGAAAGCTTAATGATTTTAACTCAATTATTCTACTCTGGCACAAATCTTTACCCATAACGTGACATTTGCTGTTTGTTCTTCTACATAGAATGCTACTGTTGTTTAGTCAGCAGAAATTATACCACTTAGGAGCCTAATAACAAATAGCAGAGTTCTAGGAAAGTCCTTTAATCTGAAAATGATCAGGTAGAACATTTTTGGCAAGTAATCATAACTGCTCAATCCAGACTTTTAAAAAGCATTTTTAGAACTTTAAGTTCTCTACATATGCAAAGGAAGCTTCAGAAAACAAAAACAAACAACAACAAAAAACATTTATATCAGATATAACTGAAAAAAATATCTTTGATGTTCAGAAAGATGTGTATGAAATAGAGCAAATATATAAATGTTCCACTAATACTTTCAAACATCTTATTTTACAGTCAACTCTGCACTTTTTTTTTTTTAAGGGAAGAATTTAAAGCAGATGTTCGAACCAAAAGTGTGCAACTTCTAAATTCTGCATATATTAGGATAAAATCATCTTCAGTAAAACCTTACTGACAGCTGTCTCTGATGAGCTTCTGAAAGCTACATACCACTGTCTAAATATTTAGATTTGAAACCAATTTAGTGTTTATGAATCATAACTTTGAATGGAACAACATAGAGTTAAATGTCAACAAACCTCCACAAGTGTAGATGTTTGTCTAAATGAGATTACCAATTGCAAATTCAAACATCAGAGAACTGAAGATGCCTCTTAAGGAACCTTAGGTATAAAGATAAAAACATGGACTATGTATCCTCTTCCTTTTTTATTTTATTTTTAATTAATGTGGGTTTTTTTGGACTTGTTTATGGGATGGCCTAGGTTATCAGTGCCTCCAGAAATTATCATAGACCAGGCAACAGAACTACATATTGTTAATAATTCTATAAAGCCCATGAGATGTCAAAACTATTTTTAAAACACAATTTTTTGGTAGCGCCTCTGACATATCCTAGTCACTCAGCACATGTGGATCAGCTACACTGAATCATGCACACGATAGCTCTAACACAATCTTGTGTTGTACCAATGTCAGCTTCAAAGGCAATGGGAAAAAAATAGTAGTTACAGTCAGTTGACAATGGCACAACTAAGAACCAAATTCAAAGATGTATTATTTTATTTTTGAAAAAAGTCCCACATTGTAACTCAAAGTAAGTAGAGTGTTTAGGGTAGGATGCACGACTTATTCTGGCTTTGACAAACACACCAAGAAGTCAGGAGGAGGAGAGCTCTCCCTAGCAATGTCATCAGTCCCTGGTGCAGACACCACCACCTCCACTCATTTGCCTCAACAGTCATCTGCTCTTTTGTGTTAAGCTAAAACTTGAGATGTGGCTGAAGACCAGCAAGAGGTAGAAAGCAGCTAGCAGAGCATGAGGAACCATCCCACAATGCAGTTAAAAGACTGGTTTCTATCATATGTATGGCAGAGGGGACAAAAGAGACAGCTTTGGCAAATGCAACTGAGGGTCCATGCTATACATAAAAAGCCTTACAGACTTCTGCTGGAAAACACTGAAACTTATCAGCCTATTATTGTGGAACTAAATTATTTGTATGCTTATGACACTCAAGCTTAGGTATGAGAGCAGAAGCTAATTATTTGTATTAATTATTACTGTTACTTGTATACTTTATTCTTCTTGGCTATCTATATGTTCTCTAAGCTGTTTGCCATCTCTTATTTCAGCCTCACTTCATTCATTCTTCATGTATCTTTAATCATGCTTACTATAATGGTCTACTGTATGCTATGTTTATTAAAGATATGAAAACTAGGTTATCAAGCTTTGAATCAAGTAGGCAGAAAAAAAAACCACAAACGTGTCAATTTCAAAAACACTGTAATTGAAATCTGTGCATAGGATAATCACTGGATTGCTTGCGGATCAGAATACTTCAAGGTAAGGCTGGTGTATACACAGCTAACAGCTGAAGTGGAAGAAAGTTCTATTTCAGACCTTCAAAAACAATCGAAATACTTTTTCTGAGCTTTAAAATCCAAAATTTGGTCATACGTGACTAATGTTTGTTTATGTTATGTTAGCTCAAGCATTTGTAATTTGAAATTATTTTCAAAACTGCATTATTTTGAAGAGTTAGATGAGTAAGAAGCATGCAGAATTATGGCAAAGACATTTATGGTGGTAGTTTTTAAGTTCCCCTAGAATCACTAGTGGAATAAATGCTATGTTTTCACCACAGATAAGTAGCAGAAGGGTTTCTGCTTTTGTTTGGCTTTATTTCTGCGTAACTCACACGTTTATAAACACTTTGCTAATGCTTGCAATGATGTGTTGGTGAGGTAAGAGACAGACTAATGGACAGTACCTGCAGGGGTGAAGGTGAAGGACTGAACTGCAAAACAAGAAAGCAAACACATTGTGAGTTACACACCCCGATAACAAGCGCTAATTGCAGGGCACAAGTTTCCTCTGGAATATACTCAGTTGTGGCTTAGTATCATATGCAGGACATAACAGTTGAGCTTAAAGCACTAACCAGCCAGCAGCCAATGAGAAATGACAGTTGGAAAGGTGAGCAGTGGATTTAGACAGTCACATTTGAAGACAGTTATTGTGTGGACATGCTGTTCTCCACATTGTATATGTTAGGATGGATTCTGAAACACGATCTGTTATGAACTTTCCTTGCTAAAAGCATACGCAATGTCATAATTCCAGTAATGGGAATTCCATGTCATGATGCAATGTTCACATCACACTTAAATGCAGCAAACATCATGAGAAGGAATGAGTTGCAGGAGACACGCTGTTTAAAATGACTATTATAAACAACTACAAGTATATATTTTAAGGTATAAAATACTTTTTTCTTAAGCTACCCTCCCGCCCAGCATGCCAACTCACACACAAAGGGCTAATCATTCTGCATGCTAAGAAAGAGTTGTCTTAGCTTGTGTCCAAAGTTTATCTGTATGACTGACACAGATGCTGAGAGAGCTGGGGATGTTCAGCCTGCAGAAGTTAAGTCTCCAGGGTCACCTCATTACAATGTTTCAGTAATTGAAGGGGACTTTTAAAAAAGACGGAGAGCAACTCTTTGCTCAATCAGATATTGACAGGATGAGGGGGAATGGTTTTAAACTAAAAGAAATTCTTCACTCGGAGGGTGGTAAGGCACTGGAACAGGTTGCCCAGAGAGGTTGTGGATGCCCTATCCCTGGAGGTGTTCAATACCATGTTAGATGAGGCCCTGAGCAACCTGATCTAGTGGGTGGTGTCTCTGCCTACGGCAGGAGGGGTGAAACTAGATGACCTCTGAGGTCCCTTCCAACCCAGGCCACTCTATGGTTCTATGACTGCTTCCTAAGAGGAATAGCAGTACAACTCTCCCTTAATATGAAAAATCTTGGTATCTAAACTGGTATTTCACATCAGCACATATATTGGCATGTGTGATATATATTAGTTCATCAATTTACACCATGTCTCAGAGACTAAAAGTAATTACTGTTAAAGGAAATTAAAAACACTTCATCAAAAAGCATAACCTATGAATGATACAGGCCACACGGTCATGCAAGGTGAGGTTCCACAGAAGCTGAGTATATCTAAGAGCTGCTGCCATTGAACAGGTCTCTCTTCTCTCTGTTTCCACCGTGCTGACTTTGGTGCTTGCCTGATCTCTTCTTGGGTTGTTTCATTTCAATAAGCCAGTGGAAAACTAATTCAGCTGGGGTAAGAACAAGAAGGATTGAAGTCCCCTCCCCATCCCCCTGTCTCTCTTCCTCCTCCCTCCACCCCCCCCCCAAGAAACTCAAGAACCATGAACAGTTTCCTCGTGGTTTAGTGAGTCCAGTCAGGACATCGAGGACACTGGTGATAACTAACACCAAGGTGAGGAGGCATAGAACCGTGCAGTTGGGAGCAGGGAATGAATGTTGTTGTGTTTTTTTTTGACAGGAGCAAGGTATTAGAGATGTTTAGACACCTAGGGAACCTGTGTCTTCTGGCTGGCATGTGACAACTTGTAAATTGTAGAGTAGTAGCGCAAATTTAGTCTCATATAATGTCAACATCAAATATGCTGTGTTCTCAACTGTGCAAATCCTGCTCAAACAGGAAATGTTTTCTCTTTTTAAATGTATTATATAAGCACAACAATAGAAACTACTCCAATATTTGACAAACAGCTTTTTCATGTTAAATTAGGCTCCATAGCAACCCATTTTATTGTAATCCTATATTCACCTGACTTCCTAAAACTATATAAGAATCCTGAAGCACAGAACAATATAGAAAACAGTTTGGGGGAGGCAGAAAGCCTTTTAATTTGGTAAATTTATTTTTTTGAATGTAATTTTCAAAAGCTAATTTGTAAGTGGAACAACACATTTGGCACAAAACTGAACACATTGCAAGGGCATTTCAAAGTGTTCTCCCTCCAACAAAACTTTTCATGACTTCTGCCATAGGTAAATTTTGACCACACTTCCCTGATACGTCATTTTCTTCTCCAGTGGTTATAGATATGGAGTCACTGATTAAGTACCTCAGTTTATTTCCCATGGCTTCAAAGACATGGAGATGCACGGGAATGAAGAAGGATACCAAATACTCTTTTTGACCTTCCTCATAAAGGTCTATTGTAACTCACTTCTGAGCACATAAATGGAGCTGAACCACTGTCAGAGTGCCTTGTGTGGAAGGAGTAATCCTCTTTGTACCTTTTTATGTGATGCTGGAGATGTAAAAATAAAAACTGTCTTATGATAATGATGAAATGTTGTACCGAGCAATGCATTTAAAGCTTCTCATACACCAGCATTTTCACAGCATACATTTAAAACAAGCATACAAAATTCACCCGGGCCACCTCTGCTCTAAGTTTAACATGTTTTTTAAGTAGGTTTAACTGCACCTGTTCTCTTCATGATGGAACCTGATGAGATGGTAATAAATAGTTACTGTTCTTACCAGCATAATTACTGAGCCCCTTCCTCTTCTTTCTGCGCCAGTACAACCAGATGCTGAAACCCATCAGAATTACCCAACATGCACCACCGATGCCAGCTATAAAGGCAGGCTGTTTGACAACATCAGTGATTTGCTCTGTTATGCTGTTGTTATTTTCAGTGATGACAACTTCGTTACGACCTCCTGCACAAAAGAAAGTTGACAGGACGTTGTTATTATGGATTCTGTAAGTCAAACAGGAACCAGCTACTGGTAATAAAAATTACAAACCAAAACAGAACAACAAAAAAAACATTAATGCACCTCAAAAGACTTATCCACAGTAGGACAGGTTTACTAAGTATTAATGCACACCTGAAAACCAATGCTTCTAGCAAGAAAATCCACAGTCTATTGCAATTTTGCCAGAATGTATTTGGAAAGATGGCTTTATAGCACTCTCCCAAATAATGTAACAGATGCCAGTCCAGAGGTATCCTTTTGTTGTTTTTTTTTTTAACAGTATACATGTGGTTTTTTTTCTTGTTCATTTATTATTATAGGAAGAATACAATGATGAGAGAATGGATCATAAAAAAACAACTCAAAAAAAACACCCAAGCAACTAATCAAATGAGAAATCCGATGTAAGACTTGCTACAGTATCAAAAAGCAGTTCCTTCTTTTATTACAAAAAGCAGTTCCTTCTTTTATTATTGTCAGCATGCCAAAAGATCTTAACTCATCTTTTTCTTTATGTTAGAGATTCAAAATTAAAATAAATAATACAATGTATGTATGTTTAATTGAAGCAAAAATGTCTTTTCCAGCAATTAGTTCACGGTGAACGCAATCCAAATGAATCCTAAGCACACTGATTTTGACACAAAGCAGAAAATAGCTTAAGTAACTGTAAGCACTAAATCACAGGAACAGATGCTATTTTTTCACCCAGAATAGGCATGAACAATCCTTAACATCAACCTGTAAGAAATAATTATGACATGTGGAATATCAATTAAAGTGACATGCATCAAAAATAACTATATAGTATCTTAATTGTGTCTAGTACCTTAGAAAACTGTAAATTTCTGTAGATGTTCCCACTTATTTTTGTTTGTTTGTTTGTTTTTTCTCCCTCTTCCTCTAACAGGGAACTTTTCCAAAAGGAAAAGCTTGGTGTCCGGCTTGAAAACAAATGCTCGTAAAAAATGTAGAAAGAAATTCAGGAAATGCTAAAACATCGTTCCAGGGTTGGCACTTTTCTACTTCCAAAACCTCCATGTCAAAAATAGTTATTTTTACAACCAAGAAATGTGGAACATTTTTTTTTTTTCAAAAAATATGAACCTTGGTTCTACTGTATTTGATATAAACTGCCCACATCTACATTTTTGAAAGTGGTGAAGAAATTGTCCATCATTTTTGATAAATGCATTTATATAGCTCAGTCCTTGAAATCCATATGAAATACTATCAGATGCCTGTATGCATGCAGAAGAAAGATTTCAAGCTGCAAGGGTACCTACTCTACTGAGACAAAAAAATACTATGATTCTCAATTATGAGTCTATCACATACATAAAAGTAGTTGAATACAGTAATAAAACATTGAAATGGTCATTCATAGCAAATTATTATAAGTATTGTAGCATTATGCTTTGCTGTCAAAATGTATGTTATGTATTCCTCTTCCGTAAGTCAGCAGTGGCTAAATTTACCGCTCCTTTCTTTAAGCAAAGCAGTCGCTGTGTCAGCACAGCAGCTTCAGTCGAAAGCAAACATAAGTCCTTTGCTAAAGTAGATGAGAGAGAGGAAAGTCTGACACTTTTGGCTTTATTTCCACAGATGGTTCTTCACGGGATTCAACAGTTTAAATCCGAAAGGTTGCGAATGCGAACCTGTCCCAGAGCATGTCAGGTTGCCCATGCCTTCCCTGCCTGCACCTGCATCGGCCTCAAAATGGTGCTGCCCAAGCAAAGACACAGGGTTAGGTCCTCTGCTAAGCTCAGAGCTGGCTTCAGTTACTCAGGAAGAAATGTAATGCACTGCATTACATTGCTATAACTCTGTTAATGATCTCTGTGATTTTATTAAGCTTTCTCTCTTTCATCACCATGTCAATATTTAGTAATGATGACCGTCTGCTTTTGCAAACAAACTGCTGAAACCATGCTAGAGCTTGGCTTGCTTTCAGTAGTTCTGCTCAAGAAACAAAGCAGGCTTCCCACAAACAAAACAGGTCCCACAGAAGGATGCTGTCACACTATGCCTGCTAACTGAGAAAAAGCCTTCACCTTGTACCAGTTTATACTGGGTCATGCAGGTAAGCTTTATGGGTCTCAAGGTCTGTTAGCTTCAGATCTTTCCCAAGTTTTCCTATTTTTCCTTGACACAGTCAAAAAAACGATACAATTCACAGTAACTTAGCAAATGCCTGTGACAAGGAAAAGCTGGGAGGCAGTGGTGGCTCCTTTGTCAGATTTTCCCTTTTTTTTGTTGCCCATGGAAACAACCCACAGGTGCACCCCAGTGCTAAAAGAGGAAGTGCTGAAGACTAAAACTAATAGAAAGAGGCATGCTCTTCTAAGCACACAATTGATTTTCTAGTAGAAATCAGCATGGGAGTTGATGTTGCTCTAATTGCCATTAACTTTCAGTTAATTTCTGTGCCCTTTGGAGGCAAGGTAAGAGCAGCAGGACGGTGAGGAAACAGGTAACATCCACACTGCTTTGGAGACAGCCACACTGTCGTGGGAAGTGGGGATGGGGAAGGTGCTTCAGAGACAACAGATATAGGAGCAGACACTCCTGGGTTCCAGAAAAAAACAACTGCTTCCAGCAAAAGCCTCCAAAATATCCTAATGCTATAGATCCAGTATTTTCTCTATGGTCAAAAAGCAGACTTCTGGGGATAGAGAATGTGAGAACAAACTGTAGAGACGTTTGCCTGAGGAGAGCATTCACTGGACTTTCAACTCTCCCTCTCTTTTGGGGGAAGGTGCAACCTGTCTCCAAATTACCTTCTGAAGTTTGCAGTCTAGCTGATTGTTCTTGCCCTTCAGTGCCTACCAATTATGAGTGCAAAAGTAATAATTAATTTAAATGTCAAAATAACATATGCTTTCTGAATTCAGTGACTGAAAAATAAATGGATATGGATGAGCATTACCCACTGATGGTTCATAAAATTAATAGAATTGTTGTGGTTTTGGAAAACAAATTACATTAATTTTGTATTTCTTTATATAATATTTAATCAGAAGTAATATATATGTCATCCAAGGTAACAGTGTACTATTTCATATACTGCAGGTGTTTCTGTAACAATGCTGTCAGTTCAACTAATTAGAACATAGACAAGGGAAGTGTGTGACCTGTAACGCTCCATTGTTCCTGAAGACAAAAACATAATGAAATATAATGTCTTCCTCCCATTGGAGAGTAATGAAGAACAAAACTAATTTGTCGGACTAAAAATTAATTAGACACATCAGATTCGATTGTACCTATTACTGTGAAAGTTTGCAGCTGTTCCTCATATTATTATGCCAATGATGGAATGTAAGAATGAACAGGCCTGTGATGAACTGATGAAGAGAAATAATAGCTCTACTGTTAACCAATATTGCTGTTATCTTCAATTCTATTTCTGATATTCCAAGCAAAATTTTTCAGCATATCAATAGTGATGGGAAAAATGTTATTCTTGATTCCCTCTGAGTCTTCCATAACATTTTTCAACATCAGGCTTGAAGTACGGGCATGGAATTCCAGTAACTGTGACATGACTCCTAATTAAACAAATAATATATTTTCTACAACTCCATGTTCTCCTCTTTAATGAAAATCTTGTTTGGATTTTCATTAGCCTGTTATTTAGACTTGGTTTGGGAAATCAGTAGTTGATTATCCATGGTGAAAATCAGTTACTTTCAGAATAAATTCTTAGAAGAACATATCCTGTATTTAAGAATATCTTAACTTCTTACATGTCAGAATCTGTTTTGTGACAATGGAAGTCATACTGTTTAGCAATGAGACTTAACTGTTCTGTATCACAGACATGCTCTCTCCATAACTTAGCATTCCTGCAGTTGTTCATTCTGGTTGCAAGCTATTACATAGTATAGCTATATAAGCCATATAGGACTCCATTGTAAAAGAACCACTTATTTTATGTTCCTGATTCTCAGTCAAACATTGACAGACAACCAACTCAAATTTTCCAGAAATTGTGTCACTTAAACACTACTACCTTTATCAAGTGAATTTATAGTCTGAGAAATAACTCCCAGCAACTATGGCTCATAAGCAACAGAAAAACAGAACCTAAAGAAAAGAGAGATATAGACCATATAATAATAACTACATCTAGCTTTGTGCTCCCCAAAGGGAAAACAGAAATGAGAGCAGAAAAGCAACCCAAACAGAAAAGACTCTCTTCTGCTTTTCAAGTAAAGGACTCTTAAATGTGTAAAGATGCTACCAGAGACTTGTTGGAGCAGACATTCTGGGATCATTAAAGGGATAAATAAATCATTAAGTTTAGCAATGCAAAACTTCCATGGTCTCTAAATGCCAAAACCTTTTTTTCTTCCTTACGTATCTTCCTTTGCAACCTAGCGTCCCTTTCCTCCTTCATGTAACAATACAGATCTCCCCACAATTAACACTTGATTATATTAGTCTTTTTTGGTTTTTTTTAAGGAAAAAGACAAGATGAAGGGCTGCATCCAGATGTGGAGCTGAGCATTCTGGCAATCACCCAAGAAAGCACTTTAGTGTAAATTTAACTCACAACAGGTTAAGTGACACAAGACTACTCACATGCCCAAACTGAAACGCACTTAAGTACTTTGCTGGAACAAGCCCAACGTGTGTAGGGTGTAGCTGGATGGGACCCTCTCAGTAAGGGAAATAAGAAAAGCCCTGCTCAAAGCGAGTGCAATGACAGATCAATCTCACAGCATAAGCTATTTACACAGAGGTCCAAAATTCAGGCCTACTAGAAGACAGGTTTCTTGTATTTTCAAAAATCAAATTCTTGCTTTTAGAAAACCCTTTTCCCCCTCCTTTCTTTAGAGTTTCTGTGACCGACTCTTTCTAAAACCAATGCAATCTTATATTTCTTCTGCCAGTGACAATATATCCAAAGCTAGAATATCTCTACTTTGATACACGTGGAACCTGAATATCATTAAACATTTAAGCAACTCTAACGGGTTGGCCTTTTCTAAATGACTACAAATAATAGAAATGTCCACGTTTGGGAAATTGTGTTGTTAACACTTTCTAGAAAGAAAATAATTAATAACAACAGACCCACAAACAAGCAAATAAAAGCCTATTTAAGCAATAACTAAATTTGATCATACAGATGAAAGCAACAAAATTCCTGCACTATGCATTCCGAAGGGGTGTTGCTGTGCATAGCCCAATTCAGTTTTGCTAAATATAGTTACTTTTCCTATTCTTACCTTTCCCATATTGTTCCTGACTTTATATTTCATATTTGAGAATAATCTCAGAAGAAACAGAATCTGTGTTTCCCTTGGGTCAGGAAATTAATCCAGCATGGAAACCACTAATAAGAAACAGTCATTTAAAGGCAGAGATGCTAATACCACCTTTGCACTGCATTTGAACTACAGGCTACTCATTCTTTGTCAGAGGAAACTTGTCTGCCTGGGATACCTGAGAAACATTGACTTCATATGTTCAGAAAGCTAACTGTAAATATTGCCTTAGGCAGCAACACTGTGAGTAAAGCAATATTACAGTCATCTGAAGAGGAGAAAAAGGGAGCTCTAGTTGCTAGTTCCATAAATCTGTCAAGCTGCAAAAGTGGTAAATTAATTTAAAATATATTAAATCAGTTTCACTAGGTACACTGCATTTTCTATAATGTCTCAGCAAAGAAAGAACTAGTTCTCAGTACTGGCTGTGTGAAATCTGCACAAATCAAGACAAAACATCAACAGGCAGTGGGATGTTAAAAGCTAACCACCTAGCTCAATTTAAATGTTGCCTTCTGCTCCATGGATTTTTGTTTCCAAAAGTGATTTATGAGAGCATTTCTGAAAGTCAAAACAAACAAACAAATAAAACAAAACAACAGAATAGACAATTTACTTACCAATTATTATGGGTTGTGGCTCACTTTTTACTCCCACACCTGCACTGGTGCTTGCAGCAACTTCCACACGGTACTGAATACCTGGGTATAGGCCACCTATTACTACAGACCGAATGGCTGCATCTACTGTTTTGTTGATATGAAATCGAGTCTCATTACCTAGGCACCAGATCTGGGACAAAAGTTGAGGTGTTAAAAAATATGACCTTCTTCATACTCATAAACAATAGCTCATAGATATGACATATCAAAGTATTGCATAACAATCACTATTTTGTACTTTGGACTTTTAAACAATGCTACTATCCAGGAGCAGCTGGAATGGGGATGCTTTAGCTCAGGAAACTAACCCAGATTAGCATAAAATCAAGTAAGCTGCAAAGACTGTTTACAAACACTGCTCTGGACTCTGACTCTCAAAGGAGTGCAGTTCCATGGTACACTTGGAAGCACAGAACAGAATCATTTGAATGAAAAAGATGCTTTATACATTAATTGAAATCTTGTTCAGCTGTATGATTACTGGCAGATCTTTCCTTAAAAAAAAATCAGTTTTATTCATCCTTACTTTCCAGCAGCAAAAGGAAAACAACTAATAGAATGCATTGTAAAGTACTAAAGACTAAAAAAAAAACTTACAAAATTTCAACTTCATTTTGCTACAAAACAGGGGGACATGAAATTTCTAAAGTGAAGTAAGTAAAAAACAACCTTTTATTGTCACTGTTGTGATTATCTATATTTTTCAGAAAACAGTTCCTGACTCAATTATTTTCTAATTAAACAAATATAACAAAATAATTTCTAATATGAATTCACATTTTTTATGAGAATTGTGTATCATTTCAGAGTGATGTTCTATCTCTTGCATTCATCCATAGGCTTTTCCTGAGAACAGGAAAAAGGGATTCTTCAGTTAATGTTATCTCCACATACTGCTTGTATATTATTAAAGAAAGCATTTGCTACCACTTCACTCAAGAAAATCAATGCATAAAGGTATCATATGTACACTACATAATTATAATCGCAGAAGAAAGCACTGCTGGTGGAACCACTATCAGCAACCAACTGATGCGTCTAAGCATCATTATAAAAATTATAAAAATCGTTATTTTTTTACCCTTATTTTTGACCCTTCTCAGTTTTTTGTCAAACCTCATCTCTTTTCTCTGAAGTATTGAGAATACTTGGAGGACAAAAGAAACTCGAATTCTCCTAAGCTCATGTGGATCTTATTTGCAGGGCTGAATGCATTAGGGTGAGAGACTATTCCAATTCATTCTTTCAGTCCTTGTCTGTCCTGGTCTTAGGTCATAGCAGCTATGAGATGCTCCTAATTAAAGGTATTGAATTCATAAATGAATTTACAGGCATTCTCATGATTGAACTGGAATCAACAGACCTACATTCAATTTGTTAGTAAATGTCCTGTGAAACCTCAGTAGCCATTTTATACTAAAGGAAATGTTAGACTCTTTGCATTAGATTCACCATAGCCAGCACACTAATTAAGCACCCACCTAATCTAACACAGAAGGGATGTAATAGGTAGTGACTCCAGCCATTTTTATACACAGCCTATATGCTTGAGCATTCACATGGAATGTGGGTTTTACTAACCATCATCCAACTTCGTTTCATATCAACATATTTTGTGGTTTAAGATTGTTTTACTTGTTTGTCTGAAAGCCCTTGATAGTTAATATTGACTTATAGTGGAGTCAGTATCAAGATGAATTAAGGCAAAAGATAATTATTAATTGATATGAAAATGAGATCAATAGAATATTGGGATTAATAAATCTTAATATTGACTAAAAGCAAAACAAAAGAAATGCTAAGCTAAACATAAATACTGTGAGCATTTACTGCATCCCTCAGACCAAATGATAAGCTATAAGATGTTGAAACATTAGTTGATTTAAAAGCTAAGCAGTTTCTCCCTTCTTTATGCTGTGTTCCCTCAAGATACATCAGGAAGAGTACGTTATATCCTCCTATGTAAAACAATCACCTGCATCTCAAAAAGCTAATATTTCTACCCTTTGCAGGATTGTCAAGGAAGCCACCCTGCTCTATTTCAATTAAAAATTTCACATTCGGTATACAAGCCTGCCAATATGAATATATTTACCAAACTGTGTGTTCCACAGTTGTAAGCCTGTGACAATGCTGAACCTAGCTTGATCATTTTCTCCATAGCATTCCCCAGCACCACCAATAACACACTGCAATGTTTCCATGTTGTGAAAAACACTTGTGCAAAAGCGAGCCTAATGAGGAATTACAGACCATTACAAAATGTAAGGTGATAAATAAGCAATGGATAATTTGAGACATCATAGTGACAAAGGAGGAGAGGAGACAGCCAATGCAGGAAGCAGCCAAGTAACAAACTGCATATACAACCTGTTCCTCAGAGCAAACAACCTAGCACTTTAAGTTTTGAATCTTGACAGTGATAGTCATTGGAAGAAGACTTCTATTCTCCCAGAGCCATAGTCCTTGACTTTGACCTTGAAGTGTCAACATTAGCATGTTTGCAGTGGAAAGGAGCAGTATCTTTCCTGCCAGTTTTCATGCCAGAGTGAAGACACTCTAAGAAAAAGGCTCCACCACCTGTCCTGGGCGTAGATAACCCCTAAGTAAAAATAAAAAATAAATAATAATAAAAAAATAATAATAAAAAACAACCATTCTCTTTCCACAGCAGGGAAAAGGAAGAAATAAAGGCTCTGTAAGCTATCTGCCATCTACAACTCTTTTCCAGATCTAGCTCATGTTATTTTTGCTTTTAATGTAATAGTAGTGCTGCTTAAATTAAAAATAAATAAATAAATAAAAATCCATAAGCACTCAGTCCTCTTTCTCCATACAATTATATGGGTGGCAATAAATGCTGTCAGAATCTAAATCCATAAACAGTGCTGTTGTTCTCTAATTCAAACAGGCTTTTTCCTTAAACACACATCCCTCTCAGTACAGATCCTTTCTACCTTGTACTCCTGGATGACTCCATTTTGGTGATCTGGAGGGGGAGGATCCCAGGAGATGCTGATGCTTGTGCTGTTGTGGTTTCCAACTGTCAGGACAGTAACAGATTGAGGAGGGGCACTTGGAGCTGCACCAAACAGAGGGAACAAACAGAAGCAAGACATTAATACATTTCCTAGAGCGCAAATTTTGCTGAATCTGTGTAAGTGCAAGAAGAGAATACATACAGTTCACACTGCCTGCAGGTGTAGGTATGCACATTTTGTTAGGCACTGACAATTTTGAATAATGCCTTTCTGAAGAGAAGCATTGCACTGAATGAAAATACAGAATTTGTGGCAATGGAGAGTCAATACAGATCATTCCTCTTTTATTTAGATTTAGCATTTCTTAAACTTGCATTAGAATTATTCTCACACTCTCATTTGTTTTCCATAATACATAATTAGCTATGTATATGTCAACTAAGTCATAATGTGAGACTGCATCACCTGCCCTGAAGAGTCCTTTGACTGTTTTTACCTGATGTCATCTAACACTATTGTGAGCAGAAGTTTAAGAATTTTTGTTTATTTTTTTTTTTTTTTGTACTCCAAGAGGACATTAACTCAACATAAAGCATTTAAGCATAAAGCTTTTCAGTTCTAGGCAGAAAAGGGTTAAACTGGGGTTTTACACCAAACGCCAGTGAACAGGGGAGATGGTGAATTAGGTCAGATATATACTTATGTCCTCTTTTCCCCAGGCAAATCTTTCTTTCTCCTGAGTCCCATACAATTCAACCATTCACAGTGGCCACTGCACATCAAGGCCGTATCTGTCAGGCAACTGTTTGTCAGCCCCACTACACTCACTTGCTAGAAGTGTGAAAAAAAAAATTCATAGCTGTTAGTGATCAGAGGTATGCTAGCAAAGCCCTTCTTGCAGCTATACCAACAGCAGGGTGCTTTTGTTGGCTTAGGACATGTTTAGAAAGCGGTGTTGCAAGTCTGATAGGGATTAAAATGTCCCCTCTGTGAGCATCTGCTGCATCCACGCGGGGGCTCTCCCACCATAGGTATGCCACAGCAAAGGCACATGTCCCTCCTCGGCCAGTCCAAGATATTAAAACTTCTTCAGCTTCACTCTCTCCCCCCTTACTTTGAAGCAAGCACTGAAACTCCACTGCAGTGACAAGCTGTCACCAAAGTTGAGTGTGTCATATTACAGTATGTCCCTGGGAGGGAAATAATAACAACATCTGCACTGACTTGGTCCTATGATCCATCTAGTCTATCTATCCAGGTCCATTTACCCAGTCTTCAAAACAAACAAACAAACACAACATAACAGAAAAATGCCAGGAAAGTGTGGACTAATAAAGTAAGCATATAATGATAGTTCTCCAGGAGAGTTTTGCAACTCCTTGTGGCCTGTTGCTCAGAGACTTCCTGTTCCATGGTGACATTTTATTTAATAACTACAGAATTTTTCTCCCATGAATTTGTCACCACCTTTAATACAAACTTAATGTATTCAATATGAAATATGGAAGCTTGTGTTGAAGAATAACAGTAGACCTTTTATCAGAACCTAAAATATTTTCCACTCTCCCCATCTCAACTTCAAATTTAAATAGTCCTCTGGTTTTAGGCACCTCATGTTGTGTGGCTCCCCAACTCTAGTTCCCTAGTCTTAAGTTTTCCTATCCAGAGAAGACTCTTAACTGCTACATTCTGAGGGCACTCTAGTCTTATCTTTAATAGATGCTCCTGAATATGTGAACGTTTTTGGACCATACTTTTCTGAAAAGAAAAAAAGTCACTGGCATCTTTGTATTACTGTCTGGCAGGTTTAACACAACTGCAGCCACAGATATCAAGAATACTAGACTTTCCTGAGTCTTTCCAGTTTTCCTTATTTCTTTTCTCTTTGAGACTGGCTATGTTCCCACTTTGGATGGTTCTCAGTATTTGACCTGGCACAGGCTCAAGGAGCTGAGCTCAAATCTCTGGTAACCCTGAAGGGCAGGAGTATCTTGTTGCAATAATTATACAATTTAAAACTATGGTATCAGAGGTGGGGAGGAGGAACTATACAAGATTACATAAGAACAAATATTCTGGAGAAAAATGACACAGGCATGACTCTTTTGAGGCTGCACATATTGACAACAACATTTTCAGATGCAGGTTCAACGGCAAAGCAAATAGTGCTAGTCAGAAACAGAGTTCTGGCAAGAAGAAATGGAGCTCTGTTGTAGACAATTTGACTTTTAGCTAGCTCAAGCAAAACATGGACAGGTGACTCCTTGCCATTGTGCAAAGCATGAAATTGGTGAAGTTAAAGTTGCATTGTGAATTTTATGGCAAGTGAAATAATTAGGCAAAGAGTAACAAACAAAAAAACAAACACTTTTAAAATACCTTAAAGATATTCAGCAACAACAAACCATGAACAAATGTGTGCACAATATTAATTAGAACATTTTACATGAAAATAATAAACAAAAATAGCAAAACAACACTATAATTCATTTATTTTTTTAATTACAGTGGAACATCTTGCTGATATGTATTTACTCTTATCTTTACAGAGGACATTCAGAAATATAATTTCGTATATACACGTACTTAGGAAGACAGAGAGAGAAAGAGGTATATGTAAAATGAATACCTTACTCTAACATGTAAAGAAAAGCACACTGTAATGATTTGTCTTTGCATTTAAACTGCATGAATATTCTAGCTAACATTCTACCAGTGTGTGGTTTCTATTTGTTTTGGAGGATACATGCTAAGTTTGAAGCAAAATTAAAACCACAACTGATGAATGTGGCTGAAAGTATCACTTTAAGAGCTGCACTAAGGCAAGCAGGAATTGATATCAGTTGCAAGACAGCAACTGATAAAAACTAAGGCGACCTCCATTACCAACTGTCGTATTTTTGTGGTGACAAACAATATGCAGAACAAATACCACTCCACAAAGTTATTCTAGAAGATTTAAAATAGTGGATATAAGCAAAAGAAATATCATCTGTCTTTAGAGCAAGGATGAAAGAAGTGAAAATGAACAAATTCTATTTAGCTCTTTCTTTGTATGTGGAGGCACACATATGTATATAACACTTTTGCTTCCTCTTTCTATGATAATATCACTCTAAGCTGGCACCATGATATAAATTAAGCCACTTGTCTGACACTGCTGCAGTTATTAAATAGACCACATTGAAAAATAACATTTTTAAAGCCGTTTTCTCATTTCCCTTGCTGCTGGCTTGTGGAGAACACCTTGCCTGCTTCTTGACAGGTCAATTATTCCAGTGCTCAGCTTCTTCTTACAGATATGAAAGAACCCAAATCGCTGCTCATCTTTTCCAGACGCAGCCAAACAGAATTCCATTTGTTACTTTCACAAGGCCAAAGAGGTAGGAGATGAATGGATACTGAACTGTGACAAATGTCTGATCCAGAGGAAAAGCCTAACTGCAGCAAAATTGATTTTTAGAGGTAGGCCTCAGAAGTAACACTGCATGTAAAATTTAATCCAGCAGAAAGCTGCCACTACCCCTTGGCTGTACTTTGCCTTTACCAGGGCTATTCATTTTGATCTTGCAAAAAACTTCCAACTCTTCCAAATTATTTTCTAAAAATAGTATAACTGACATTTTAAAAAAGTCAAGTCTAGAAAAGCTCATTTTCGAAATGGAATCACAAACTACACAGCAAGTGTGACATCTTTAAATAGACTGCCATTTATCTTTATTGGATGAGAAGCAAACCTCAGTCATTAAACATTTAGTTGATGGTATTTTTGAAATATATGAACACCAATATAATTAAAAAGATAATGTGGGGAGTTAAAGGCAATATCTGTAGAACTGCATTTAATAAACTTTTTAACTTTCTCATGGAACTACTTAACTTTATCACCCAAGCAAGAGGAAGAATTATTTACAGGGGCTGACAATAGACTGGTCATAACACTGTGAGTTACAGGTCACTTTTTTGAAAGAGACACTTGTAAATAGGTTCCTTGAAGGTTATATTAATCTGTCAGGCAAATCCTAGGTTGTGAATTATACATAACTGTAGGAAATAAAAGTTCTAAAAATCTTCACTATGTGGAAAATTATTTCACACAAAGAAAGTGGCATTTAAAGTAAGAAATTACTTGACAGACTCTGTGGGTGATGAGGTTTATACAAGAAAATTTAATTCTTCATTTATTTTATAGAAATAGAAATCTCTTTTTCATTAGTTCTTACCTTTAGCAGGAGGCAGTTAGATGAACTGAATAAACAACAAAAATCAAGTGAAAATGGACAAAAAGCACATCTGCTAGTGAGGGGGGTATCCTATGCTTTAACTCTGGAAAAACATTTTCAGCTTTGTTTAAACTGTTACAAACTTATTCTTAACTGACTGGTTTAGGCTTTATAACCTGAGCAAAGAAATGGAAACCAGGAGGTCACAAATTCTAAATCTGGCTTGAACAATGCCTTCCTACATGCTGCAGGACACTGAATTTCCTCATCTATAAAGTAGGGCAGCAACCAAGCTATCTTCCGGATTATTTATTTATTTGGCAATAATCATAACAAATTACAGAGAAAAGTGAGTAATAAGTGAGTCCTTTCTAGAATTAAAATGTACTTGGCAATCAGCATTAAATTAAACCTCAGGAGACTACTGTAAGTGATTAAGATGCATCTTCAGTAGGATGGAAAGATTACACTCAAAATGCACAAAAACCATATGAGCATTTTAAAACTTCACTGGTATGAAGTATAGATAAAGCATCAGTTTCTTTCCTATGCTTTGAAAGAAATCAATGATACAAAGCATGAAGATGAAGCCTCACTTTTACATCTTTCAGCTTCTATAGAAGAGCTGTTGATAATGGCTCAGATTCTCCAGGCACAGGTTGCATTAGATAGATAAGTTTGTTTGTTCTATATCAAGAGAATAGGATAAAAATGACATATCTTACCTCATTCCCTTTATTTTTTAATAATAATTATATATATAAAAAAAAAAAAAACAGTCCTGAAGTGCATATGTTTACGCAAGACTATATACTACATGCTATAGAAATGAATACTTATGCATTTCAGTAGTATAAAATGTTCACTATGTCTACACGCTGCATGTTTTACCTACACCTAAATGGTTCTTAAGAAAACTCTCCAAATAACTAATAGGGCAATTTCATGAACAGCTAGCAAAATGGAGTGCATGCCCTTGAGACTGGGCTATCCTTCAGACTAGCAAAATATCTTTCCTTCACTAGTCTCCATTTCCTAACCAAATTGTTGATCTACATTTAACAGTACTGCCCTTTCAGAAAGATGTGTCTCAAACACTCATCTGCAAAAGGTTTAATTTATTAGTTTTATTTTCAAAGTGCAAACCCAAGTCTGTAATTACAGCAAGGATGGTTTATAAAAGAGTGCTGCTGTGCACACTTTTTGGAAGACTCAAAGCTACTTGTACATAATGAGGAGATAGAAGCCAGAAAAATATAGGACTGGCCAAATGCTTTCTCCTGGAACATTTATAGCACAAACCCAAATATGAGGTTGAATTCTAATGCCAAACCTGTATTTAACAAAAAGAAATCATGTGAAAGAAATACAGCTGAACAGAAGCATACATACAATACCTAAAATGATTTCTGACCATTTTACTAACCTTCCTCCGTGGTACGAGCAGACTTTGATTCACTGTCCATTCCTTGGAATTCATTGAAATAAGGACGAACTTTAATTTCATAAGTGACCCCTTTTTTGAGGTTGACTAGAACAGCACTGCGCTCTGTTGGGACTTTGACCTCTAAATTCTGCCACACAGCTGGAGACGGTAGGCCAGACGTTTGGCGATACATTACTCGGTAGCCCTGAATAAACTGCGATTGGCGGTCAACCTAGACATGGCATTAAATAATGTGTCAATAAACATATTAAAGTGATCAAACCTCTTGAAAACAAAGAAGCAAACAAACAAAAAAAATTGCCTAGAATACTTTGTCCTCATGAGAAAGAAAAAATTAACAATTGTTTGCACTGCTGAATTAAAAAAATTGAACTGCCTTCTTGTAAGTCACTCTTTATTAATCATCTCTAAAGGAACATTTTTCTCATGTTACTTGTAGAACATTTCTTTCTATTTTACTTTTAAACATGTCATGACAAATACTATCTTAAATCATAAAACAAGCTCTCACTTCTGCAACAAATCTTAAAAAGAAAACTTTGGCATAACGCTTACTGCATGTAAACCTATTAAGGACATCTTGGCTACTGATGTGCTGAAATATGAGAAGAAAAGAAAAACAAATTCTTTTCAGAAAAGGACAAGTCTTTGAAGATGTCCTATATGCTTTCAGTTTGTCCATTACTTGGCTTACAGCTCATCTTTTCATGAGATACTCAGGAAACTAAAATAAACATAAGACAGATGCAGAGAAAACAACATCCAAGGATATGTACTGTTCCTTGTGCTCACTGTCTAACTCTCTTTGCATCCTGCGGTTGTGATGTACTCAGTCCATCAGAAGGAGATGGAATGTTGTTTTTGTTTTATATCCTAATTGTTGCTAGGCGAACACAATTCAAGCTTGGGATCACACACAGAAGTTTAAAACTCTAACTTATCATAGCTATAAAATAGGACTTTTATTTGAAGGAAAAACTCAAAATATGTTTTATCTGGGAGGGGTTGCATGCATTATTTCTCTTGGAAAAAAAAAAAAAAAAGACTTGAAAAGATTTGAGTTATGATGATATTTGCATTAATTTTTGTCTGAAAAAAATGGTCAAAACAATATGATGGATAAAACCAAACCAAAACTAGCTGCTTCTGTTGCTGACAAATAAACAGCCAAAGAAAACACAGTGCAAATATCAAGGCTATATGGCTAGCTGTTTGGTAAGTTTCTGTGTTATGGCTAAGAGTCAACAAGTACAATTCCATTTCTGATCTTGACAGTTTGCTAGTTCAAGGGTATTTCAGAATTAAAGATACATTTGTTTGACTTCTCTTAAGAATAAATGAATTTAAGGCTGAAAACACAAACCCGGGTCTATTATGCTTTTGCTATAATCTTGTTATAGTTTATTGAGTCATTCTGAGGGGACCCAGATTCTTAAGACATTAAAAAGCAGGGCAAGCAAGAAGAAAGCTTTATTTATGAGAGCAAAGCAGAAATGTCTTTCATCAAAACTGTCACTGTTAAAAACCTTGCAACATATGTTACAACAACATTAAGCTTGCATTTTATAAACTTCTCTACATTCACTTTAAGTGAATTTATGCACTGAAAGAGGGATATAACTCACAATAATAGCTTGTTAATACCGAAAGAATCAAGCTGTGTTTTTAGGAAGAACATTAAGCAGCTGTTTCCAGATGAAGGGAGTCTGTAAATCAGAGTAAATTGTTTTTATCCATGTTTGACTTTCATTAATTAAATGTTTTACCGACATAAAGACTTTATGAACCTCATGTTTACTAGAAAATTCAGCAAGAATATCAATTTCATATACTTTGGAGTACAGGTTCTCAACCTATATCACAATATAAGGCTATGACGTTTAATAATCAAACACTAAGTTTGATTCCTGCCCAACTTCTGTGTTAGAAGTTATGCTGACAGACAGCATAACTTTTTTCAGAACTTTCCATTTTGTGTTTGCTGCACTTTTAAGCTCTACTGACTGCTGTCTTGCAGAGAAGATCTGAAAATTTAGAATTACACTGAACAATAACTGTGTGTTGCAAGAAAAAAATTGTATGGAAACTGTTTTATACGATGTGGTACAAACAAAACCACATGCACTAACTTGCAAAAAAATGTACCCCTGGCCTGAAGCTCCATAAAGCTTTCTTGGAGAAACAACTACCAATGTCTGGGATTCGGGATTTGGGGCTACTTGACACTGACTCTGGTACACCTGTTGTACACTGTACTAATTTTAAGTCTATCACACTTTCATATCTACTTACACATAAGTAATATTCAAACTATTCACACATCTCTATTTCCCCTAGGTTTTTGAATTCCTTACCAGAGAGGCTAAACAATACAAGCAATATGAAAACAGAATGCAGTACAACAAGGCCATCAATTACAGGGTTGCTATAAACTAGGTTAGTTTGGGGCCCACACAAATTTCACAGCGCTTTCAATTGCAAGTCTGATTACAGCAGAGCTGGAGGATCTGTCTGGATTTCAGATTATTGACAGTAATTCAGTTGTTTGGGGTCTGGGAGGGTACTTCAGAAAAAAAATGCAATGCATTTTTAATGTTTTCTATAAACATCCAGTCGTATTCAATATCAGGAGAGGATACTAAGTTGTCTTTCATACCTACCTAAAGTTTATCTGAAAAAGCAGCATTTCTCCTATGGTCAGATTGTTGAGAAGCCACTCAGGGAGGCACCTCGCTTCCTGAGCAAGGTGGATTTTTCTTTTTGTTCAGAGTTTTCTGATTAGTAAAAACTTATTTTTGGATAATTACACAGATTAACCAGAGATATATGTGAGGTATATATATTTAGTCGGAGGTGCATAACGACAGTTGTATTTCACATACACATACAGATATACACACAAATTTATAAAAGCATGCGTGTATCTGTATATACATATACATACATGTACATCTTTGCATGTGTATGCTTACATAAGTGTATGTATACATATATGTTTGTCTACATATACACACAATCTTATGCATAATATAAAAGCTTGTGACTTCACCATTTCCTCAGTTATGTGGTAGTTACATGTCAGTCCAACAGCAGACCACTAAAACCACGCTTAGCATTAAAGAACTGTATTCAGTTGTGTGAAGCAACAGTTCATTCTGTAGGTTTGGTACACATTCACACCACAGTTGCAGAAACAGACACTGTGATTTGATGAAAGAATGTAATAATGTCTATTTATTCTCCTTTCTCTCCTTTATTGTTTTTTATGTTGCTTTTATTTATTATTTGTAACTTTTTTTCTGCTGAGTACTGGTATTGCAGACTACTTCTAATCTTGCTAAATTTATCCAGCTCTAGGATTTGCACAAGCCCTGGTGATATCACCTCAAAAGAGCTGTAACAGTCGCTGACCTAAAGATACATTTTCTACCTCAGAAGACAGATGGCAGAAAATGCAAATGCTCCTTTAGAAGGTAGAAGGGAGCAGTTACTAGGTAGGTTCTGTTCAGTGCTGACCCAATGCTCTAAGGCAACTTACAGGAATAATTGATCCCTCTCCCTCACTTTTGATGAATACAGAGTGTGGGATGTATCTATAAAACTGATGACAGCTCATTCCTGCAGAAGTTGGAACTCTTTTCCCATGGAAGTTCAAACCTGCACATATCACATCTGAACACGAGACCCATTCAGTGACTATTAGATCACTCTGTTAGGCTATTTGATTGTTTTAAAATGGAAAAAAAAAAAAAAATCATAGTGCAGCTTATGCTGCAAATATAGGCAGCTTTCAGGCAAACCTAATAATCTGCACCCTAAAGACACTTTACAATATGCTCTTTGGTACGTAAGTTTCTCCTCCAATATATCCTAAGTAAAACTGTGCTCCCACTGTGCTCCAATACCCATGGCAATTCTCCATCCAGGCAGAACACCTGGCATACTGTGTTGAACTCACTAGTACAGGTTGATTGTATTGGGTTTACAGGGCAAGGTTTTGGTAGCTGGGGTCTGCAGGGGTGGCCTCTGTGAGCAGAGTCCAGGAACTGCTCCATGTCAGGTAAGAGACAGTTCCAGCTGTTTCCAAAAGGATCCCTGCCCTTATCTCAACCCATGAGCTTTTTTTTTTTTTTTTTTTTATTTTATTTTATTTTATTTTATTCTTTCATATTTTCTGCCTCTATTCTGTTGATGAGAGGAAGTGAGAGAGCAGCATGGTGGAGCTGTGATACCTACAGGGTTTAACCCACCACACAGAAATCTCTGGAAATTCAAACAGCACTAGCTCCATACAGAAACAAGACAAAGGGTGATGATACACTGGAAGACTACACAAAGAACCTGACTAAAACTTCCAGTGAAGTACATCCATTTAAAATCAATGTCAAATTGAAAGACAACGGCACATACATTATCCTTCTGCCTGGTAGCCTCAACATTCCTGAGGCATTGGGATTTCAAAGCAACAATTATTTTGCCACATTGAAGAATTTTATTCTTGATTACGCCACAGGGCTCTTCCATAATGCTAGGAAATTTCTCACATTTTGTGACTAATTAAACTCTTAGTTTAATTCCCAGTGTGAGAAAACTGAGGAGAGCAGCATTGGGTGCAGAGTGTTGAGGTTAGCTAAAGAAAGTGCTTTGAGTATACAATATGCTGGGGCAATGCAAAAAGTATTTGATAGAAATAAAAATAAATCAGGCCAGATATTTAAAATTAGGCCTTTGGTAACAGTGGGCATATCTGACATAGAATAAATATCTCTGCACCTCACCTTTCTATGTGTAAGGTTAGGATAATGACACCTTTATCACTGTGATGATAAATTCGGTATTATATGTGAAACACCCAAATATTGCAGTTGAAAGCATGACAGATAAGCATGTGAGACAAACTAATAATTTTTTATTCAATGCCAGTTTTCAGTGGTATGAATTTAATAAGACCTGGCAGCACATATTGAATAAAGAAGATAAAAAGAAATGTTGAATAGCTCCATGAAGAATAGATACTGTATGTGACCAGACAATTACAGCTGTACTTTAATACTTACGCACACGAGAGATAAATTTATGCAACAGTGACAATCTAACTTCTGACACTCCTTTTTAACACTGACTTTGTAAACGTGACCTTCTTTTAAAATAGACAAAATATGTGTGCATATGTATATGCATTTTATTTCAAAACATTTTAAGACTACAACACAGAAGCAGAGAACTATTTCTGAAATTTAAAACTCAAATAATAGATAAAAAAAGGGAACACAAAAAAAAACTCAGAAAGAAGAGGGAAATTGGTGTTACTTTGCTGGGAATCAGGACACCAGAAACTCAGTAATAAAGGAAGTTCCTTGGCATTCACTCTTCGAATTGCAGAAGGTCAGCACAAAGTGTCTTATGACACTCATGATACTTCTGTCCTTCTGTATGTTAGCTACACTATTTAATCATTTTAAATTAATAGTGTGGATCTTATTCTTTGGACAGAGTGGTGTTTTCTTACGGTTAACTAGTTGGTTTTGTTCTGGTTGCCGGAAAGCTTCTAATTAGCTGTTCCAGAGATTTATTTATTTATTTATTTATTTTGGTGTTTTTCTTCTCTTCGCTTTTAAAACATCTTTGCAGAGACCTGTACACTTGTCAGGTGGCACAGGGTCACTGCTTTAAGGAATTTTTCAGATAAGCTGATACCCATAACATTCATAATGATTTACCTTTAACTTACCATGTTTTCTTTACTCATTAGTAGTTCAGTAGGGGCACCAAGAGACTTTTCACAGCATTCATTATAATATAATGAAAGAGGTCACACTGCATAAAACTGAATTCTGTTTATAAACAGTGGCAAGCCTATGAAATTGTGTTTCTGATAGCTCTAACACCCAGTAAAGTACTTGAAAGAGCACCACACAGACATGATCCAGGTTTACGTTTACTGGCTGCTAATGTTCAGCGTTCTTAACTACTGACCCATCTGCTTGGGCAAAAAAACGTTTGCTACAAAGGCACCTGAACATGAAAGTCTGTCTAGCCTGGAGTTATTTAGCTGAAACAGACAACATTGTAGAAAGGCAATCTGAGTGTTGACATCATCAATGGCAAGAGGCAGTAACAGATATTCAAAATAATCTTCTAAGGAAGACAAGAATTATTTATTTATTCTAATCTGGCCCCCTTACCATTGAAATATGTCAGAACAAGGATGGTGCATAAGCCCTGATAAATATGATTGAGTTGTGCAAAAACAACAGTAATCCCTATAATACACAATCTATTGCCACACTTATCTCCTATTGTATAATCCCCTGTACACATTAACCTCTAAGCAATATTACATGCAATAGAAAAGCCCTGAGTATCATGAATATCTCTTTTGCAGAATTCATTCTACCTAATACAATTGTTTTGGTGATATGCAGTGCAATACTATTTGTCTCTATCTTCCACGTATGACTCTGCTTCCTCCAGAGCAGATGCCCCAAGAGCAAAGCACTCATTTGTGGTGTGGAATGCCTAGGGACAACCTCCTTATATGGTAACAGATCATTTCCTTCAAGCCTCTGGAAGAGAAACATAGCATTTTGAAAGCCAAATACTTATATCTTAACTTCTTAGAAGTTCTACACAGTACTTTAGCCCCTCAAATAGAAACATTAAGTACTGCCAAAAAGATTCTGGTCCTCTATAATGAAAGAATATCCACTGACTTGTGGTAAAGCATATGCTAGAATACCAGACACTACCAGTGGATCAGGCATCAGCATTACATGCTGCTGGATTTTCTACAAATGCCCTACAGGAAGCTGTTTTTGCATTTTAGAGTTACCAAATGATAGGATGTTGTCAGAGGTTCTATGCTTTGAAGTGGAGAGTGCTTTTTATGCAACAATTTAAAGTTGATATTTAACTTTATTTTTGATGTGCACAGTAATGAATCCACAGATCAATTACCCTTTGGATTATGTTGTTAAGCATATCCATTTTTTATAGTATTTTTCTAGCCAGAAACCTAGCTCCCTTTAAGACCATATTGTTAACACATCTATGCCTGGATGATGTTAGTCTAGCAGAGCACTCATGCTAGAGTAAAGACGTGTTTCATGTTTTTCATGGAAGTGGGAAAAAAAAAAAAAAAAAAAGCACTGTAAGGACAAATAGGCAAAATTAAAGTAACGTATGGTAGTTATAACAGAAGCCTTACTGTCCAGGTGACTTGAACTGTCGTGGGTGTCAGCACAACAGGGTTATGTAGTCGTACAATGACGTCTCCCAGTTCTTTCTGAACTTGCCTGTGATCCACACCTTGTGCTGGTGGGCTGATATCTGCCAGGCCAAGAACACACATGAAAGTGTTATTTTAATGAGAGAACATATATGGCATTTATTAGAATGACTGAATAGCTTCATGACCTGACTTAAACACTCTCATATAGTATGTATCTTTAAAACAATACAATTCTAAGGTTTAAACACAGACTCCAAAATGTATCAAGTAAATGCTACATACCAAGTAGCTGCTTAGGTAATCATGGAATAAAAAGATACTTAAATGAGTATTCGGACTTGATGGCAGTTTTCTCAGATTTGCTAAGTGATGAGAGAGATGCGATATTCACTACTTCTAAAATGTTCAGATAACGGTAATGTTGCACAGATGTCTGCAACCAAACTGGTTAGTGTAATTGAAGAATATTAAGAGTTGTTTTTTTTTTTTTTTTTCCTTAGACCATACATGACATTAAGTCATTATATGTTTCCAAATTTTCACTAAATGTCTCATCCCCATATACTATGCACACAAGAAAGCAAGCACTAAAAATAGTATTTTCTTCTGCAAAATGAAATTTCCTTTCACAAATAATAGATAATGAAATTTAGTGCAAATATGAGTAAAATAATAAATAAAAAGCCAATCTGATTTTGATCTTATAAAAGGCATTAAAAAAAATCTTTTCAAAATTATGCCAAAGACTCTTTCAAAGTGGTAGGAAAATTACTTCTTCTAGTCAAAACAAGAAGGGATTTGATCAATTAGTACAGGTCCATGGAAAACTATGATGAAAACCATCTCCAAGCACCACATTTGGCCCTAGTGCTTAGTTTTTAAAGACTGCATTTAAGTTAGTGCATTGTGATAATATGAAGGAAGCTATACTACCTTTCCTAACTAGGAGCAGCAAATATAAAGTATGTGTCAGAAAGGGGAGTAGGAAATGTGCAATGTGAATTAATACCACATGTATTTTTATTGATAGTTCCTAGAAATCACCATTTTCTGTTGTGTTGCACCAAAAGGAGAATGTTGAGCTACAGCTATCACTTACAATACAATACGGTAACCTGTGCCTTGCCTCTTCCTTAGACAGAAATGAAGGTGCTTTCTAGAAGCCAGTGAAGTTTCAGATACATTTAATGGATCCTTCAAAGACCTTAAAATGATGTTCTTGATGACCTTATTAACTATGTCAATTTTTATTCGTAGATAGACATGCCTGTTAGATATATGTATACTGATTATTTATGCTTCAAATTATCTGTACTTTTCCAGAAAAGGCAAATTTGAAACACGTGCACAGATCATATTCAAAAAGACCTGATCATGGCTAGGCCTGCTTAGCCATCTATGAATTCTGCTTAGTTTTCTCATGAGATTCATTAGCCAAAACCATTTTGCTTCTTTTTGGATCAACCTCACATACACGTGAAGAAAAAACAAACAAAATCATTCAAAAATTTTCTCAGAGTAATTACTGACTTCTCTATACTTATATGATACAAGTAATTTAAGGTAAGCCTTTTGAAAGTGACTGATTATCTACTTGTAGTCCACTAGTAAAAATATCCACAAACTCCTATTACTTGTATTTGCTATGCATAATACCAGGAAATCAAATGCTTATATTAAAGCTACCACAGGAACCTGTTGAAAATTAATATTACATAGAATTGCTATATCTGTTTTTTTTTTTCTTCCTCAATGGCCACAGTGAACACGCTTTCTACTGTGTGTCAGCTTCCTCTGTCAGCCTGAATTGAATTCAGGCATAATTAGAAATCACATCAAAACATTATGTTAATTTTCAATTGATTTTATGATTTAATTCTATTAAACTGGAGGTTACCAAAGAAGCTATAAATCCTGTACATGGTTCAGTGTGCTTGACTGCTAAACAGGTTCTGGAAATGGAAGCTGCAACACATGCTGTAGCTAATTAAAAGACATGTTTTTGCTGAAATCAAATTGCTTGTCAGTATGTCAGATAAAAGTCTACACTTGACACTGAAATGCCAAAGTTGTTTGTGTTTTTTTTTTTTGTTTTGTTTTTTGTTTTTTTTTTTAAACTAGGTGATAAGTTATGCAGACTAAAGACTGGTGCAATGAAAAGTGTGAGTCACCTCATCATAACGGGAGAGTAAGAAAGAAGAAAACTTGTGATACTCCATGGATAGTCATGCCATAGAATCCCTTCCAACTCACTCCTTCAGCTTCTCAGAAAGCAGCTGTCTTTTCCTTTTACAGCAGTTATTATTATTTAAAGGATGTAACTAATAAGGACAGATTTATTCAGGAACAGACTAGATGAGAGAAGCTGGATGTGTGTGAAATACCACCCTACTTGTTTATCTTTTTCCACCTAGGACCAACAAAGGACACAATTCCAATTACACATGCTGAAGGCTGACACAGGGTTCACAGGCTCTCCACACACACTTTTCTAACTTCCATAAACAGGGAAAGATCATCTCATTGTAAATTAACTGTGAGAGGAGCTATTACTTTGGACTTGAAAAAATTACAATTTCAAAAAATGATTAATTCCTGTACTCCAACCTGCTTAATGCAGAACTACACTCTTGAATGAAGTATTCAAGCAATATGTTGTCAAAGCCAAAAAAAAAACATGCTGTGAAGAGAAATTTGTTCATGGCAGTTACACTTGGTTAGAGCTGGCTGTAATGTGAATAGAATTTACAGTCATCAGACCCTCTGCACACATGCAATGGAGGATCACAGCTATCAATTATATCATCATCCAACAAATAAGGGATTTCCCTTCAGCCTTCTCTTTTGGTTTATTATTTATAAACCGAAACTTGGTTTATTCAGTGAATTACGAATTTAAATAATTCAGAAATGTAGATTTATAAACAGAAGATCTATACTTTTCTTTGAATAACTTTAAAGTATTTTTATCATGCAGATCCCTTAATTTACATGAATCAGCTGCACAAATGTTGGACCAGAATAATTGATACACTATGGATATTTTGTGCAATTCTTGTGATTAAAACTAATGTTAAACATGATGTCTGTCTGTCTGTTTAAGCACTTGTTATGATAGTATATCTCTACTTGATGATGGAGAAGAACTAAAGACAGAGGATATAACATAAGAGAACATGTTATTCATAACACATCAGAAAAAGGAGGGATGCTTAGTTCACTTGGCTTTTAATGGAAACAGTGAATCAAGGAGCACACCAGCTGTCTGTGACCTGCAAACTTGTCCTGGTTTCCACTGGGACAGAATTAATTTTCTTCCTAATAACTGGCATGGTGCTGTGTTTTGGTTTTAGGATGAGAATAATGCTGATAACATGCTGGTGGTTTAGTTGTTGCAGAGCAGTGCTTACACCAATTCAAGGACTTTTCAGCTTCTCTTGCTATCCTGATAGCAAGAAGGCTGGGGCTGCACAAAAAGCTGTGAGGGGACAGAACCAGGACAGCTGACCCAAGCTGGCCAAAGGGACATCCCATACCATATGGCACCATGCTGTACAATAAATAGAATTGGCCAGGTGGGTTGGGGAGGTCACTGCTTGGTGACTGGCTGGGCATCAGTCAGTGGGCAGTGAGCAATTGCATTGTGCATCACTTGCTCTGTGTATATTATTATTATTATTATTATTATTATTATTATTATTATTATTATTATTATTATTCCTTCCTTTTCTGTCCTATTATGCACATTTGTCCTATTATGCTATTATGTCTTTATCTCAGCCTGTGTTTTTACTTTTTTTTTTTCTCCCACAAAAAATATTCTCTTCCCTATCCCACTCTGGGGTGAAGAGAGTGAATGAAATTATGTGTAGTGATTAGCTGCCTGCCAGGTTAAACCGCAACAAAACTAAAAATGTACCAAGGCACTGAGGAGTTAACCTATCTCTCCTGAGCTCAAGATTGATACAGAAGTCATTGGACTATATTGGCTAAGCTGGATTCCTGATTCCTTCAGTCAGCATGCTAACACAAAATGTCCAAATCTATTGGTCAACTCTCAGTTCCTTTCTATTTTAACTCAAGCATATAAGCCTTAATAATTGCTATTACCTTGTGTTCGGACAGGATCTGACATTGGGCTGGGATCACTCAGACCTTGTGAATTGATAGCTCTCACCATAAACAGGTAGATTGTATTGGGGCGCAGTCCTCTCACGGTGTAGAGAGTGGTCTTCACATGGTTTGCCACTGTTTGCCAGCTATTGCTCACAGACTGGCTGCAATGAGAAAGCAGTTGAAGATTATAGAGTAATGCAAGAGAAAAAAAAAAAAAAAGGAAGTAAAAAGGACTACTTTTGTAAACCTGTATCAAGTCTACAGAAAAAAGTAGTAAGAGCAAGGTAAAAATAAAAAAGACTTTGTAGTTCCAGTTAACTCATCAAGACAAGTTAAAAAAATAACAGAGCTTTCAAAGGTACTTCTTTCAACAGAAGCAAAAGCAAAAGGTTTTCCTATCTGTCTAACAGATGTCTGCAAAAGGAAAGAGTGGAATGCAGTAAATTAGAATGATAAATATACCACTCGAACATAAACCTTGGAAAAGAAAAACCTATTACAAGAATAAATTTCTATATCGCAAAGTAAAATATGTCAATAGTTGTCATTAGAAGAGAAATATTCTCCTTGAACTAAATTCATATGTAAAGTTAACAAAAATCTTCTAAAAATATCCTTGTAAATGAAGGAAATTATATGAATACTTTTTCTGTCATTATATTTTCAATGGGACAATATTATAATTAGATTTTAATGCACTGTGTGAAGAGATTTCAAACATAATTGTTAAAACTTCTTTTAATAAAAATGCCTGGCTTCTGTTAACGTTATTTATGGGATGCCATTAAAGCTTATCTAGGGTGAAATACCACAAAAGTTAAAAGACAAAATTTGATTTTATTGTGCTTTCTTATATAGCATTGACAAAAAATCTTTAAGCATATTAAAGGAAAAAGAAAACGGGAAGCTGCTAGTTTCATGTTTCTATTGTTTCATTCATTTAATGTAAAAGTTCTGCACAAGTTCTAAAACAAAAATCAGTGATCCGCATGCACTGCAATGATGTTCTTTGCATATTAACATACACAGAAGCATTATCACTGTAACTTTTAAAATAAGCAAGCATATTATTTTGACAAATTCTTGCTTGAATTTTAATTAAAAGATAAACAATACTATTTGTTATTTGCTGAAGATCTTGATTCAGAAAAACATGTAAGAATGTGCCCATTAACATGCAGAAGAGTATATTATTCTTGTTATGCATATGAGAGGTACAGCCAATGCTTAAACAAACTAGCTGAATCGGAGCCTGGAAGTTCTTTCCTACCACACATTAAGTGCTGCTGTGTGGAACAGAGCAGCTGGATCCTCTTCAACCTTAGGCTGCAGGATGAAATCATATATTATCAACACCAGCCTTTTCAGTTAATAGTTTTGTTCCATCTAAAACAGTTAAGCATAGAAATTTAAAGTGCTTTAACTATTTAATATGTGCTGCTTTAACAAGAACAGGAATTCAAGTACACAGAGCGATTTAAAGACTGTCCACTTATTTTCAATTTATTTGCACTCTGAGAGTTGAGGCAATGCTACTGGCCCAAATGGTTTCAACTGCAGCATTCCCATGGTAGACTCTCACTTGAAAGGGAATTAAGGGAACAGTAAAAAAATAAAGAGTGGACATTGTCTCATTATATGTCTGTTGACCTGAGGAAGAAGATAGATGGTTCTCTACTTAATCACTTTAAAAAAATGTGATAACTTAAAACAAACAAACAAACAAACTAAAATGCCTTAAAGAATAAGAATCAATGCCTTCCATAGGAGTTAAGTCTTTTAATAAACTTTTAATAATACATGTAGAGTCCAAAAGAACACCACAGTACCAGCAGAACAGCTGGTACTAGAGTTTAAGCAAAATTATAAAGGAAAGAGACTAAAAGTAGAATAATTCACATACCTAAAAGCCTCAATGATATATGCACTAGCTGGTAGGCTTCCAGGGGTCCCTGGTTGCCAGGACAGGGTGACACTGTTCTTAGTAACATCAGTGACTTGAGGTTTGGATGGTGGCCCAGGGAGGTCGTTTATGTCGTAATTTTTACTGATTGTTGCTCCACCTGACTCTGTAAGGGGCAAATGCAAAACATTTACTTTTTATCCTCTACTGTATAAATCTGACCAAAGTAGAAGGTTAGAAGGAAAAAACATGCCAAATACCTACAAAATCAGCATAAACAATATTCTTAATTTGCAAAGAACTAAGTCAATAATTGCATTATCAGATATACATGTATTTAAGGATGAAGAACTGTCATACTTCTGGTACTCATTAAAAGGACAGAAAAGCCACAAAACTCAGAAGTTTATATATATATATACACACATATATATATATATGTATATATATATATATGTATTTTTTTATTTTTTTATTCTATATATATATATATATAGAATAAAAAAATAATTAAAAAAAAAAAAAAATTTGCTAAAATTTACATAAAATACCAAAACGTCAGCTACAAGAAAGACTGTGAATGTTCCTATGTCCAGATCAATTCTGGTGCTCACAGGGTGCACTCTGGGTAGGCATTAGTTTTCTCGCTCAAGCCAATCACAGGGTGAATCCAGAGTTTACTAATGCACCTGTTTGGAAGAACTGTAAGTGTCACTGGAGACAAATTATTGCAATGTCAATGGGTGTTCAGAGATAATCACAATGAAATCTAAGGCATGTGAAGAAAGCCAGCCTTCCTACTTAAAACCTTCTCTATCTCAAACCCAGAATTTCTGTAACTGAGTATTTGACTCAGATTGCTCTGACATAGTCTATGCTTTCATTTTGTGACATCTGAAAAATGGCCTCTGGACATGTCTTACCTGTCACCTCCAGCACAGCACTCCATGATGTCTCCCCACTTGAACTTGTAGCAACGCAAGTGTAAGTTCCAGTATCAGACAGCTAGACATAAAGAACATTTAAGGGCAGTTTTAGTTTTTCAGAATCAGATGACAGAGTTTACTCAAATTTTATTTTTCTAAGTGTTTCCTGGTAAGAATGACTTAGCCTATATTTTACAACAGGCTAGAGGACATTTTCAAATAATTATTTAATGGTGGCTTAATTTTAGAGAACTAAAATTTGGTAGCAAAAGACTCTGGATTTGTACAAAATTATTGTGATTCCTTTGTCAGTTCATATATTCCAAATTTAATTTGGGAACAGCTTTTAAATTATATTGTCAATATTGTTCTCATTGTTGTTCTGTTGAAAAATTTGCCAAGTATTTTGCTATTCCTTACCAAGATTTAAAATAAAGATTTCTGTGACAGGAATTAGAGAAAACAACAGACATGGATGGAAGACCATAACTTTACAAAGCACAGAATATACAGAAGAGCTGTCCTACCACTATGTATAAAAGCATGGTAATCTCAAGATAACAGCAGAAGAGGGAGAATGCTGACTCTAGTGATAATGGAGAAGAATTATATTCACCACCAGATGACTTGACAGAAGTAGGACGGCATCCAAGAAGCTTTATTGGACTTTAAGGAATTGTAATGGGTGGTCTGCTAAATGCAGATTGGAACTATGACAAATGTGCTTATACACAACCCTTCAAAAAGAATGTTAAGGTAAATAAGAGTGATGCTCTTCAGATTACTTGTTGATATGTAATTTAATTGATCTTTAACTTTTTCATGTTAGAATTCTGTTGGTGATTTCTTCTGACAGACTGGGTTTGCAGTGTACCATTCTTAGGGGCAGGAAGCAACTGTGTAATGCCAATTTAATTATCTAAATGAGCATAACTTGTATTTTACCATGAAAAACAAGGAATAATTTAACCCCTCTGACAATGGCTCATGGACCCCAAATATAGAGGCATTGCTAACAAAATGAGAAAGACTCTTGAAAAGAGAGCTTTTCCAAAGGAGAGAGTCTTACAGCATTCTGAAGTATTGTATTTTATCTTGCTCCTTCCAAGCTTTTATTAAATCTATAATTTTTCATTATGTGATGATGGAGAATATTTCTCAGTGCTGTGGTTCTTAACTTCATTTGTGTACCACTGTGACAGATGGCGTATGGCAAACCCAATGAAGTATGTGGTATACACAACAGAGTAACTTGCAGAAGGCAAACTTGACATATAAAGCAAGCCGGAGATATGCTGCCTCTGCAAGTTATGGTAAATTATCTAACTTCCAGACTGTGGATGGATTAGACACAGACATAGTGTATTGATAATTCAATTATTTATACTTTTTATGTTATGAGGGAGAAAAAAAAAAACAACAACAGGGAAGATCAATGGAAAATCATTGCTATTCTGTATAATAAACAGTTTTCTTATGCAGATGGCTACATCTGGCATGGTACACTTCTACAAAGCAGAAGGAAGATTTCCTCCACTGTTGACCTGTCTAAAAGGGTACTACTGAGTGAGTGACATATTGTGTGTTTTCAGTTGTCTTCCAGGGCAACCTGGAAGACTAGCTCATCAGAAAAAGCTCTATGTTCATATTTATGTCTGTGGCCCATGGGTCATTGTGGTTGCTGCAGACTCGTGATTTACACACAGAAAGAGAGATTAATTACACAGCAGAAGAGGATGGTCTCAAAGGCTTAAATGGTAGTGGTTCAGCCTTTACCCATGTCTTGATATCTTTTATGATTGCAATAATGATTATTAATTGTAAGGGGAGAAGAAGGCTGAGGACTAGGACATGGAGGTGATATTCATTTGTTTTGCATACATATATAAGTATACATGGCCATATTTCGTGGGATTTTTATTTATTTATTTATTTATTATTATTTTGCTTAGGAAGTGTTGTCAGTTCCTGCTGGGAAATGACTCTGAGAGTGAAGTTAAACACAATTAATACATTAAAATTTCAACCTACAAGAGAAAATCTTTTTTTTTTTTTAAAGGTGATGTTTGGTTTTTGCTGGTAAGCCTGACTTGAGCAGTAAACATTACTGCAATTAAGGGGTTTGTAAGAAATGTCCTTCTGAGCCTTTAAGGAAAACCAGTTACTAGTGAATTAGCCACTTAAGGATCAATAAAAGCTTAATGTCTTTCAAAACCACACTCTCTACTAATATTATTTTCCACTCCCCTTGTAAGCATTTTTTTTTGTTTCATTTACAGACCTTGTGCATCTACCAGCAAGATGAATGCGCTGGCACAATTCAGAACCTATTTTGATGTTTGCATAGCTGCATGCAGACAAGTATCCCAGGAGCTTCTGCCTCATGGATGTTCCACAGCAGCCCATCATCGATGCCTCAAATTTTGTTTGAAATCACTAAGCTTCCACCTTTAATTGCTGCTTTCTAATACTACTGGGGAATCTTGAGTATTCAAGTGCACTCCTTAATCCAGTCGTACAGGAAAAATGCATTAACCTTCATGGCCTAAACCTGCCTTCAGCCCAGGGAGGAAGGATAAATTGTTTACTCAAGGAAAGGTAGCATAAATTTTTTAATAAATTCCATTTTGTTCCAAGGAAATTAGCAATCCATCTACAATCACTGATGAGATGGTACCATAAAACAAAACTGCTGTTTATATCTTGCCCCCAATAGCTATGTTTCTTGACATTTTTTTTTTTTTTTGGATGAAAAAGCTTTTTGCAGAAATTACTGCTGATTAAATTAAAGGACTGCTGAAATTGTCTGTAAGTTCTTAACAAATAATTACATTTACACTTTAGTATTTTTCTATACATATTTGTTCAAACACACAAAAACAAATATGCATTTTTATCTAAAGGTAAAAAAAAAAAAAAAAAAAAAGAAAAGCAAAGATTAGTTATAGAGCACTTACCAACAAGGTTGTACCTTTAAGATACCATATTATATCTTATGTGTCAGAATGCAAATATTATGATAGGCATTTCATTTTGAACAGAAATCCCTCTGAATATAACTGCATGTATGTTACAGTATAAGTTGTCTGCTCTTATCCTCAGCTTTACGAAACATCTGCAGCAAGCGTAACATTGGAATAAATCAGCCCAGCTCAAGACTGCCAAGACTCACTGATGGAAAAAAAGCATGGCCAAACCCCTGATGAAATCCAGAATCCCTTGCTAGTACAAAAACTCCTTAGAAAATAATGACCAGGTGTTGAAAATGAACTGCTCTAAGTTTTAACACAGTCAACAGCCCAATGGCTTCATCTTAAAACTGACTGAAAAGATAAACAGGACTCTTACATGTCTATCCACCTGCAACTCATGTTTTATTGCAACTTACATAAGATTTTTAACATCACTTATATTTTTAAGTGATTTTTAATAGTGGTATCAGATGTTAGTTTGGTCCCTCTTTTTTCCCTTCACTACCATAATGTCAAAGAATGAAATAGGATTTGGACCTGATGATAGTTTCACAGTAGATGAGACAACAGCGCTCATTTTGAAGACAGCAGACAGCAAGATAGCAGAGCTGCTTGAGGCTCACACTACCATATTTGCAGTAGTTGCTTTGTTATCGTCACTCACCCGCAGAGTTTTAATCTGAAGTGTCCCCTGATCCTGTATGGACGTTCGAGGGTCTCTGCCCAGGAAGGTAAAGCCTTCTTTTAACCAGCTGATAACGGGAAGTGGGTCGCCAGTAGCCTTGCACTTCAGCAGAGCTGTCCCATCCACTGCCAGCGTCTGATTGACAGGCCCCTGGAGGATGATGGGTGGAGGTCTATCTGTCAAGACTAAACAGCAACGCACGTATTAGCATTCATGGCTTTGACAATAGTGCACTGCAGTCAGTCCATTGCTTGACACTACCAATTTTAACAGATTGGGTTATGTTAGCCTCAAAATGGCTACAAATGTTAGTTTTGCAGATACAGATACACCTTATGATTGACTGGTATATTTCAAAAGCATCTTTGTAAGACTTATTTTGCCACTGTGAGAGAACACCTATATATATAAACTTCTGTAAGCAAAGATAATCACACTCATTTGATGGAGAGGAGATGTAAATTAAGACCTTGATTCAAAAAGGAACAGAGTTATATTTCTTATTTCTTCCAATTTAGGACTTAATGTTAGCACTTCAGCGCTTAAATGTTTTAAAAAAGCATGTGTTTAAATGTCACATCAAAATCTGCTTAATCGTTTACCTGGTTTAAGGCATAAAAGAGAAAATCTGTTAAAGTTCAAAGTGAAGCACCATAGCCATTCTAGCATGGGCACAAACCGTATTCCCCATTTTTGTTCAACTTGTGAGCATTCCTCAGCAAAAATATCAAACAAGATTAGAAAATACTCAGTGCAATCTAAAAACTGCCTTGTGGAGAAAAGTTCAAACAAGCTATTTAACAACTTAGTTATCAAATCATCTCATACATTATAAAGCAATGAACTTTGCTATTTTTTTCCCCAGTAACTTAACATTTGCATGCTTGAAATGCTTCATAAAGGATTCTGTAACCAGTGAGCGAGTGCATGGCTGCATGTAAGCCTCATTCCATGACCAGTGGGATATCTTGAAGATGAGGTATAATGCTCATGCTCATTTTTCTTGAAAGAACAATTTTTCATAAATAATTCTGCTTTTGAACCTATTCTCAGAGCCATCTGTTAGGCAGCAAAATATAACTCTTTGTTCCTAAATAATGTGTTTATATAAAATGAACGTGGAATATTTGAATTAAAAAAGGCTATAACTCCTTCATAAAATCAGTGTAACAGAATCAAGAATTCATTTTTATGTATTTGCCTGCAACACTGCTGTTGTTTTTAATCTTTGAACAACCTAACAATTCTACATATGACATTAAATATTGTAATAGACAGGATTAGCTTCTTAGACAGTGTAAAAATTAGAGTGCTTCCACTGATGTTGACTGAGTTCTAATCTTTTATTCCAGCTGAGAATCTGAGTCATTATATTTCATACACAATACCTGACTCTGACAATGAGATGAAAATAACCTATTCTGAAGCAATAACTTTCTGTTGTATTTGAGCTCTTTAAGATGCAAGCCTCTGGAACCTTCCACAGTTCCAAAGCATGTTCTTTATGCTATTTAATAAACAGAAAATATTAGTGATATGTTGGTGGTTCATTTTATACTTAAATTTAAAAAATAAAAATATACTTTTTTTTTCTTTCTGAAATTGTTGAAAAAAAAAAAAAGCTAACTACCTTAATTTTGTTAACAAAATATACAAAGGATAGAATCATTAGTACTAGTAACACCTTGGAGGGTGAGTTTACCACATTTATTGAAACTGAAACTGAAAATAGAATACCAATACAGATTTTTTTTTATTAATGAAATAACTTGAAATCTATTTTAGAAATTCTAAGATATCACCTGCTAAATTCAGAGATAGGAAGATAGGACAAGAAATACTATATTAGAAACAAACAAAAAGACAAAACAAAACAAAACAAAACAAAAACAAACCAAAAAATCATATTTTCACCTTGATGTAAGATTTTTGATCTCATTAAGGTTCCTTATGACTACATAGTTCAGCCATCTGGTGAAACAAAAATTGATCTCAGCTTATGCTGAGACTCATTTTGCAGCTATGCTAGTAGTATATTTAAATGAAAATTCAGTTGTGTGCGTTTTCATTTAGATTCAATGTAGAACGGCAACTCCCAGTTTTCAAGCTACCAAAAAAAAAATGGAGGGGGGTTGGAGGGGGGAGGGGAACTATTTTGCTAACTATTCCATTGTAGTTATTTCCTGCAGCTAATTACCTGTCATATGTATAGCAATGTAGGTATTTTCAAAACCTACTGCATTACAGATATTGTTCTTTGGCATGTAATTAGATTCTTTTTACAGCCCAAATGAGGAGCTCATAATCCTTTAAATAGCTTTGATCAATAATGTAATTGAAAGTCTCCTGGCCAGAAGGAATCTTCATTTTCAAGGCTGTTATGGGTGAAAGACCACTACAGGTTTCCATGACACTAAGGCTAAAGGTTAAATGAACACTTAGGGTTTCCACTGATCTGTGAACGACTATATTGTCTTCACAACTCTGACTTGTAAATCTTCTCTCAAATGTGTGTATATGTGCTTGTATTCCTACTACATAGGTCTCATCTATAGTAAGGATACAAAACTCAGAGGTTTAAAAATATAGCATAAGCATTCTGAGGAATAATGCAATAACATAAAAATGCCCACAGAAAGATAGAGGTGTTTGTTAGTTTCTTTTATGCCACTTCTTTTTTTTTTTTTTTTTTTTTTTGTTCTCTCCTAGCATTAAATTTCTACATATATTCCACAGAATATTTCATATGACTAAATTATGAAAATACTGATGCAATTTGGATGAACTAAAATCATGTTTAAATTTGGGTGGAATTTTGTCAAATTACGACAGAAAATTAAAAAAAATAGAATGACAAAATCAAGTCTTAACTTTACTTTGGCACTTCCAAAATCAACATTTTGAGAAACTTTCCTGGCAAATTAACAAGGAAAATTAGACACAACTCACAAAATTCTTATGATGAACACTAGTATGATAGGGTAGTGTGCTCTCCTGGAAGGTGGAAAAGCAGAGGTCATTCCTTCCTCTGTCATTTTTGCAGAAGAGCTTCATAGTTGTTCTGAATCTCTCCTGTTTCGAACTGTAACGCTTGCTATAAAATATTTTATATATATTTAGATCTGGGATAAGAATGAAGGTGGCAAGATTTGCAGATAGCTGAACTGTGACTGTTATTAAATCACTCACTCCTGCTTTCTTCCAGGGGGATTTGAGAGACATACTCCAGAATATTCAACACACCTATAGTTAAGAACTTGCATAGGAGGTCAGGAAAAATGACTTAAGTGTCTATTCCAAATCATTGGAGAGGGAGCTGTTGAGATATGCTGCCAATTCCCCTCTTTTTTTCTTTTTCTACATCTGTCCTGAATTCTCCTTATAGCTTCAGCCTCTTGCTTTATTTAAATGCCCATAGACATGATCCTTTTAATTAAGTATCCTAAAACATTTACTTTTCATGTTATCATAGAAATCTATTGTGAGATGTTAAGCTTGCTCCTCAGTGCAATATTCATCCCAAACAGGAACTGCAGGGTAAACTGTAGGCAGATCCTACAGGTGAGCATGCAGTGGTCAATTCTTTTTAGGAATAAATATGAATACTGACTATATTAGGGGAAATTGAGAACTTATCCAAAATATTCTGTGTAGGATGGATAAATCTATGGAGTAAATTTAAAAATGTAAATTACTCTTATCTTGTGTACAGACATAGTTAGATGGAAGCATTTGTTTTATTTGCATGATCTGTCACTTTAAGACTCTGAGCTGTATATTCACTTCTGGAGTTTGAAAAGACTGCTAAGATTGTCTCAATTTTGTAAATGATTTTGCTTTTCCAGATGTGCATTCGACAGTGGATTATATGATAGCCTTTCAAGAAAACACAAGATTTGAATTTCAAATACACCGAGGGCTCTTAGCACCGTCCATAATCAGCAAAATTATCACTCAACTCAGCACATTTCATCACAGCTAGTAATCTCTTCTCATGTGAACACTTGAGTTAAAAATATTTCCAGTAAAGACGTGTAAGTGCAAAACTGTAACAACTGAAACACTGCTATATATGGTATAATTAAGCACTTGTTTTTCTGCACATGACATATGTTTTCATTCTGTATTGGAACTTCAATTGGATCTAAATTACCCTGGATCAAACAAAAATGTGTTGAAAATGAAAAAGATGGTTCGCCACTATTATTAAATCATTAACCAAACAGAAAAATTCAGGGCTGTGAAGTAAAACTGAAATCACCAGCCAAAAACTGGGACACTAATGCTTAAGTATATAGCTAGAATGCACAGCATTTATCTTTTATCATATTTTTAAAACCATGAAATTAGATTTCCCTACTGATAAAAATCATTAGCTTCCATAACTTCTGCTCAGCATCAACTAAAACAGATTAGTTAGACACTGATGGTTAACTTCCTAACTGGAAGCAATTAAAAAATGTCTGTGATCTAATGGGACATTTATTTATACAATTTCAGTTCCACAGCATTGTTTTGGCACTTTTCTCCTGACCTCACCTGCCCTTTGACTTGAGGATGAAATGGCATTTCTATAAAGCAACCTTCTATTATTTCATAATGATCATGCTGACAGTAGGTTCTGGAATGTGTTTGAAGAACACAGGCCTTGCATTCCTTCAGCAGCAGAGCCACCAGCTCATGGTTTTCCTCAGCAATGTGGAATGCACACCACCTTTAATCAAGACTGATTGTCGTTGAGTTTGCATTTTAGCAGGGACACCTTTATGAGCTTTCTGTTGACTTGTTAAATAAACTAGTGAAAATTCCAGTGCAGTCAATCAGGATTGTTCCTCCCCCTAAGAAATAGATAAAGATGGACCATGGGACTTGTCTGTCAAGAGGAAGAATTTCTCATCACTGATATCCTTGAACATGATTTTATCCTCTCAGCCCCTGTTGCAGTAAATCTGTACAGCATCAGCAGGTGCAACCATTAACAGCTCAATGCCCTCTTAGCCAATGTTTGTGTGTTCTATTTATTCCAATCACAGTTGTGGCACTGAATCTGGCAGTGCTACAAACAGATATTAAAAAATACTGCCTTTCCATTAATTGTAAACGACCTTTTAATCTACATTTAAATTTGAACTGAATGAAAATGCATCATTTTGTCATAGACCATGACAGAAAAGACTTAAAGAGATTGCAGAGTGAAGGTTAGCCTTTAGTCTCCAGAAACTGCTTTACCAAAAAGCAATATGCTTGTAAAGATGCAAGGATAAGGCAGAAATTATCTCCCCTTGTCATAAAAATATAGACAGCTTTTGGAAAACAAAGAAAAGGCATCAAATTAATGCTCAAACCTCTGTAACGTGCCTGAACCTCTCTGCCTGTCACTTGTGATGAATATGCTCTTGTGAAAAGCCAGATTATTCAGAATTAGACATCTTTTCAAACTTTCATGGTGCAGGCAGGTCTCTGAGGGGACCGTAAAAGTAGACCTCTGCATATAACAACAGTTTTAATGGCAAAAATTCATCAAAGTCTGTCAGGAGATATTTAATGAGTCAGTTAAGATAAGGAATAATGATGCAGGGGAATGCCACAATCTCCTAGTGTAAGAGGAATTCTCTTGTTGTCTTTACTAACATTAAAGAATGCAAACTGCATTCTACTCACAATAGGATGAAGAGGGGTATTGGTGGGATTCCTGATAGAAGAAAAGGACTGCTATTTGTATAGGGGGTACAGTAAACTTCAAGGCATGATAACATTCAAGCCCAAAATTCTGAAAAAGGAAAGCATCAAGTCAGATCATGTAGTGCTTTTTATTTCCTGCCAACTCTTCTTTGCCTATGTATTTATACAGATCTCTTCACACCTAAACATACTGAGAACACAGCTCTGAAGTAGGGAAATGTCTTGGTGTCTTTTTCACACATGGACTAAAAGGCTACATGCTGTAGCTGTTCTAAACTACCAGTACTACAGCAATTGAAGGCAACTATGTTGATTTAAATTGAGCTATGGATACACTCCCAAACAAGTTGCCTAATGTAATACTGAAGGCTGGGACTGAGATGGGAATCGAGACTTCTTTTTCTGCACCCCAGTCCATTGCTTTAATCACATAACTATTCACTCCTCACAACATTTTTTGCAGTCCTACCTTAGCTCTAGTGAACCGATCAGTTTTGTTTCTCACCAACTGTATTCTAAGCTGTTTTGTCCTTTGTTTGGGCTATTAAGTACTATTAAGAGCATGTAAAAGGCAAACTGGACTTCAGTGCCCTTTTGACACTGCAGAGAATTGTGCAGAGACCCCTTTTCACAGTGTTGTTTTTTTTTTTGTTGTTGCTGTTGTTTTGTGTGTGGTTTTTTTTTTAGAAACTTATCTATTTATTTGTATGAATTATGTGATCTCACATGCCTTTATTTATATTACATTAAAATACAGTCTTACAGAAAAAAAAAAAGGAATTTCTATAGCTCACCATCAGTCACCTCCAGCTGAGCCTTTGCTAAAATGCTTCCAGCAACCGTCAGTGCTTGACAAATGTAGTAGCCCGCATCAGACCGCTGAATGTTGGTAATAGTGAGGTCTCCAGTTGGTGATACTGAATACCTGCTGTTGGGTTGGAGAGGCTGGTTTGGGAAGAGCAGATTCTGCAAAGACAATTTATCTCGCATCAGTTCTAGATATAGAATCATAATAGAGCCACCTTTCTCTCAGCTAAAGATATGATAATTTTTCCTTAAAATTTCTCTCTATAAAAAGTAAGTGTGGTTATGAATTTATGAACATACAGAGACATTTTTTTCCTGCCTTGGGCAACTTGCAGTTTAAATTAGAAACAGCCCTTTCATAGCATTCAAAGGTGTGTTCTGGCTAGGGATTTAGGCACCAAGAAATTTTCCAACAACCACTTTTGACTGATCTGTATTTGTTAAACATTTAACTTCATTCTGAATTAAAAATTTTAATAATATACTTGGTTAGCTGTCAAAGACGGGAATACAACTACAGTAAATATTAGAAAAATAGAAGAATTGAATTCTAGAGATCTGGGGGAACATAGGGCTATTTTTTGGCAGTGAATATGATCTGGGTGAAGGAGAAAGTAAGAGTACAGCACAGAAGTAAAGGTAGGAGGAAGATACAAACAGGTCATAAAGTAGGAGAAGCTGGCATAGCACAAGAGCTTACAGGAGAAGTAAAAGGAAATTATAACTGAAATATACCAAAGCAGAAAAGCTACATGGAGCCTTGAGGGTAAATAGGAAGGGTATAAATCTAACGTGGAAATCATAAGAAAGAAAAAAATAATTTTATAACGGATAAGACATCAGTTAGCACAGGGAGATTTGCTTTTTGCCTTTGGGCTGGACTGGAGAAAAGAGAGATGTCAGTAAGAATAACTAAAATTAATGTAGCAGTCATTGAATATGATGAAGGACTGAATGAATCAATAATACAGATAAAATGACTTAAAAGGTTTTAGTGGTGAGGGCTGTGTTTTCAAGGAAAAAGTTATACTGTCTAAGACAACTCTAGATGTGAATAAAGAACAGGAAAAGAAAGAGAGGCAATATGAACGGAAGGTTTAGCAGGATGGCCCAATGAGACAGAGAGGGGAACAGAGGAGATAAATTAAACAGTAGTAATGAATGGATAAATTCACAGAATCACAGAATTTCTAGGTTGGAAGAGACCTCAAGATCATTGAGTCCAACCTCACAGCTAACAGTCCCCACTAAACCATATCCCTAAGCTCTACATCTAAACATCTTTTAAAGACTTCCAGGGATGGTGACTCCACCACTTCCCTGGGCAGCCTGTTCCAATGTCTAGCAAACATTTTCCAGGCACATCAGGTCTGTCTCTAATATCAACTCAACAAGCCTGTATAAAAGATACACATTTGTGTCTCAGGAATAGCCCCAAACCCTGTTACCATACCCTGATAAGCTTTCAGCCTTTACTGTGGCTCTGTATACCTCTGCTGTGTTTTCTATTAATGACTCACTACTAAATTTGAAGCTAATCTATATGGGCTAAAAATAAACCTAAAAGCATAGAGTAGGGCATTAAATATTTTTTCCAGACAATATTTTACACTTCAATAAGAGCTGATCATGACTCCTTCTTTCAAGGACCAGGTAATGATGGACTATAATTTGTCCTACATTACAATACAGTCCACTATTTTAATGCTTTTACATTTTCACTGGTTTTAATAAGCTGCTGGTTTACTCATCTGGGCACAATGGTTGCATGTCGGGTTGCAAACAGTGGGGCAAAAGTCACCTCCAGTGTAATATTACTTTTTTCTGGATTTATCTCAAGGATGAATTTAATTCAGAGACTTCAACGATTACAGATGTCCTGCCTTGGAGTATTTCATTGGTGGGTGGATGTTAGACTCCTGGTTAAAGGCTACCAAGTACTAAGGACCAGACATTCATGCATAAGTTGGCACAAGAAATTACACAGGAGGAAACAGGTCCCCTCCTTTCCAGCTGGTAGTGCTCAGAAAAAAACAAGGTTGAGAAATAGAGTCAGAATGAAAAATGCCCTACAATTATTGGAGTGGGCTAACATGACTACATAACATTACTTTAAACACTAGCAGTGGTGCTGCAAACGGTTCCTTGAGTAAAAGCAGAAGTAAGACTGTAAATCCAGGTAACAACTTGTAGCAAGTCATGCAAAAGTGCAAATTAAAGCAAGTTCAATGGATAGTGCTTAATTTGGCCAAAACACAGTCCTCTATATTTTAATGAAGAAATGCAGTATGTGGAAGCTCACCTATTCTAGGGCATCTCATTGCAAATTGTAGCAAGTTCTGTGTTGAGATGGTAACACTAACCTGTGTTACTTCACTGATGCTCAATTAAGATTAACATAAGGGTATAATGAATCACATTGAGCTATGTTTCAAGGTTCGATAATAAACCATGTAGGTATCAATTTTTATGTTGCATTTATTTGCCAAAAAAGAACGTTCTAACCCTCAGGGATCTGGTTCTCAATATGGTAATTAATTTTCCAGGTTTGTAATTAAACAGCTTCAACATGGTACAATCAGTAGGTAATAACATTCAATTAAAGACACAAGATGCATTTTCACCTTAAAATGTTTTTACCCTTGAAGTGATACCAATGGAAGAGGATAAAATAGAGTATTAACACTTTTCAATTACGCTAAATGACTTTAATCCTGCAAATGATGTCCTGCTTTAATTAGAAGCTCTTCTCTTTATTACAGCATGATGGATGTCCACTTTATTAGATTCGAGTGTGACACTATAAGCTCACTTTACATAAACATTACCATGTTATTAAAATGCTCTACAAGGCAGGTTTTTGAAATGTTTGCAAGCACATCAGTACTTCCTACTTTAATTTCAAGATGCTATTTTACTTTTCCTTTAGAACAATGTTCACCTTATTGAGACACAAAATACTGTGCTCTTCCAGAAGCTTAATACCACATGATGCGTGGTGACTGGATCTGAAGTTCTCTAATTAATATGCTGAAGGAAGTACATTGAAGACTAAGCTTACACTCATATAAGTGCAACAATAACACTATTATAAAGTAATAGTGTTATACTATGTAAATTGCAACCTCCCACCAAATGCTGTCAGCCTTGGTCTTGTTGTTATAATCAGCTATCTGACCTGGTAAAATGATGAAACAGCAGCGGGTGGGGCAGAGTGGGAGATCTGTGGTTCAGTTCTTTTCTCACACTTTGAGCTGTTACACAGTGCCTCCAGATTAGATTACAGGCACATCTGCATTGCACAGCACATTGTGGATACTTGAGTTAATTCGTATATCACTGTATGGGGAAAAAGTAGCACAGTGCTCTAAAAAAAAAAATAATTTAGCCAAGGGACAAGGACACACAGTGTAGCTACATAGACAGATGCAGGCCAGACAAGTTTCATCACAAAGCTGTAGAAGACACTGTCCTTGGACATCCATTTATCCCTTTTAATCTTTCTTCAGGAACAAAGGAGAATTTGGCATTAGGTTTACAATGTCCAAAGTTAACATGCTCATAGGAACTGCAGCTGAAAGCAAGGATGCTTGACTTCTGTTGTAACATGGTACCAATGTCGCAAAAGCAGCACAAAAAAAAAAAAAAGAAGTTATGGCAAGGCATTCAAACACTGAGTCAGTATTAGCTGATGGCAACGTTATTGTCTACATCGGAAATTTTGCTTTCACAAAATGACAGTAAGGATTCAGGGAAATATTTCCAAAACAGATTCAGAAACTTCCTGAGATAATTCTACTGAAGAAAGCCGCTGAGTGTTCAAAACCTATATCTGTATGCACCGTGAGAATATGCCAATGCAAATAAGCTTGCTAGATACATATCCACTTGATCATGTCTAGACAGGTTATGAATTGCAATTACTGACTCTGATTAGTTAAAAATTGAGCCATAGCTTTTTTATGTACGGTTTGTCTCACCCACCTGTTTGTTGGGTGTTTTAGAATGATGCATTTAAGGTATATACTGTTGCTTTTTACACCTTTATACAGCAGCTAGCATAAGTTTCATCAACTTAAATGGACTTTGAGTTCTTTACAACGTTAATATTAAAAAAAAAAGCAAAAAACAGCAACATGATGTTGATAGAGGATAATGACTTTTTAAAAAACAAATTCTTGCAAAAGACTAGAAGAATTAAAATGTCTTTCTTTGAAAATTAAGATGTATGACTATTTAGAAAGGCTTGAAACACTTATAAGGTGCTTATAACTTACCTGGCTTCCTTCTTTTTGCCAAAAAACAGCTGGTTGGGGATTTCCTTTCGTTTCACAAGGAAAAGTCACTGTCCGACCCTGGGCTACAATCTGATCTCGTGGTCTCACCACAAACTGTGGAGGAGCTACAATGTAAGAAAAAAACATTGTGTAAATTTAGGATATTTTGCAAGGGGAGATGAGGAATATTGAAGGAAAAAGACAAATTAATGGAGATTTGTTTTATGCCATAGGACATAACAGCAGATATACTAATTAGACAGAATTAATATACCCAGTTGCTAAAAAAACAAACAAGCAAACAACAACAACGACAAAAACATTATACACATTAGTGTAAACTCAGATGACAAGAAATGCTAAGGAACAATAGTCCAGTGTTTATGATGCTGGTTTAGATGTATTCTACCTTTCATCTGGACAGGTACCAGCACTCTCATACACTCTACACTACACAAAGCTTATTATTCTGCTGGAGCTATCACGTGTTGCACAGGATGAATCATGGTATACAGACTATTTGTTTCATTCTGACTATCTAGACTTTCAACAATGATTGAGAAAGGAGAAGAAGCTCTAGATGACAGCAGAGAGACAAGTTCAGGAGTTCCCTCAAGTTCTCTTAGCGGCAATGCGCTTAAGAAGGGAGTGGGTGGAAAGACTTGCTGTGAAAACGAGGTTTGCTGAAACATCACAGACTTGGCAGATCCGGATTTTGGCTTATGTAAAGAAAAGAAAGAAGCAAGAGTTGAAGAGTTGAAAAGTTAGTGGGCTGCAGAAAGCAGTAAGAAGGAACAGGTATTCCAGGAGCTCAGGAAGAGGAAATGAAAAGAAGATAAGGAGAAACTGGAGTTAAAACACCAAAAGAGTCAGGACTGGCTTTGTGTTCAAGTAGATAGCATTAACAACATTCAGAACTGAACAATTTCAAAAGGAGAGGTATAGTTTAACTTGTTTAGGAGTGTTGATGTAGAACAGTCAATGTTTGGTGTGAGCTCAAAGGGAGAAAAAAGGTGGTAATGTGCAGAAGGAAAGTGGGGAAGAAGCAGTGGTGGAAAATGAGACAAAAAAAAAACTTCAGTAACTACGCTCAGCATGACGTGATAAATTAAGTTTTCTATGTTTGATATGCAAATCCTTCAGTCTTGGTTCAACATTGGAATTCAGTGGAATTGTAACTATACTGTTTGGCATATTTAAAAAAGATAATCAGCATCCCCACTTGTTCTTAGCAAAAGACTAGCTGACTTTTGGAACAGGCTGAAGAAGGTGGTAAAATTAAAAAAAAAAAAAAAAAGTTATTTTTTCTCTTCATTCCACTATTGCTCTGGTGGTTGTGGAGAGCAATGGTTTAGGAACTACTAAGCTTTTAGGTAAACAGAATTTAAGTGTTTTAGAAAACCATATTTTCACCATTATAATTACAAACTATTTAATTAGGCACGAAGAGCAATCAAGACTCAGCTTCCGATTACACCTGCTGACAGCACAGATGCAGATATGCTAACAGCATAGAAATGTATGCAGATCTGATCTTTTTGAAATACGTTTTGTACTTCTCATGGATTCTGAAGATCACAAGTCAAATAGCACTAGCATAATGTACTCTTAAAACAAGAACTGTAAAGCACTTAATAAACATGCATCACTCTTGATTTAGAAGGCAGAGGGTGAGCACTGAAGGAGGAATATTCTTTCTGTCTCGTATTCCTGAGCACAAGTTTTGGCTTTTCTTGAGAGACAAGCCTCTTTCCAGGGCCTCAGCAGACATCAGTCTTCTGAAAGCACAGGGATGAAAGGCTAGGTGCTCTGCTGCTGCCCATTTAGACCCATATCTTTTGAGGCATCTATAAGTGCATACGTATTGCTACACATACTCTAGGATCTGAACTCAGCCTGTCCTATTCCTAAAGCACTGGACTGTAGCATGTTCCTTGGTTTTCTCTTACCTTGCTTTACCTACCAGATCTGTAATACAATCCCTACAGGTGTTGGAAAGCACTAATGTGGTAAACAGTATGTGCATTTGTTCATTCAATCATATGAGAAGGGAGAGAAAGATCTTTTAGTCGTGAATTAGAAACTTCCATTCCTGTAGGCATACGGTGCACTAAGGTGTCTCTACAGTTCTGACCACCCACTTAATAAAGGTCACTGAATTTGTTCGGTGCTTGCTGCTCAGCCAGAGAAGTTCACTGCTCAGGATATTAATATGGAATCAATAGCAACCTCAGGCAGAGCGGAAAGCAGAAAACCTCTAACTTCTTCAGGTGTTACATTTGCATTCAACAGGATCTATGCACGAGTCTGCGCTAAATTATAGGTAGCCTCCAGACCATAATGTTTCTATCATGAGGCTAAAAACATGTTGTCAGGAGTCCTTCCCACAGATCATACCTAAGCATGATCAATACCTAGCATCGCTTTTTAGGCATGCTTAGTCCACTGGAGGCATGTTATAAGGATGGTGCTACCAGCTCAACAGACAAAAGAAAGGCATGGCATTTCTGTGAGCTTATCTTTCAAAACACATAACCAAATAAATACAGGTATATAAATTTAAGGGTTCACCTGAAACATTCTCACACACAAGGCTGTACTGCAAGTCAGTAATTCAAAGGTCTGAGTAGATATAATAGGAAAGTACTTGTTGCTGTAGCAAAGACCAAATTCAGGTATGAAATATAAACCTCCTAATTTCTACCTATAATCTGACCTAAGCCTAACTTTGAACATTCCTCACTTTTCTATGAGCAGAAAAAAAAACCTTTATTTTGCAAAAATATATGGAAAAGAAGAAGGAATTTAGGCGGTGACTCAGTCCAGATAATCCAATTGGTGTAGATTTACCTTGTTGCTCTATTCTCCTCCTGCCGCACACCAAATCCTCCCCAGCATTCACCATTCTAGATGAACAGGAGATCTGTGGCATCACAGCTACAAGTTTACACTTTCTGCAGGCACCAGTAAACCACAGTATATGGTTATACACAGATCTGTTTTCTAGTATTATTCTGCATCCATAATTAATAGAAATTCATTACAAAAATAAATAAATGAACCAGAGCTTTAATCTAAATATAGCGCCAGAATCTCAAGGGGAGCTAGCTTTTACTGGTCACTGCATTAATTAGAACATAAAACCAATCCCACCAGCCAAACTATTCAACAGTATACTCTTAAAGAACATGAAAACCCTCATTTTTTAAAAAAATAAAACCTTGCATACATTTTTTATGTATTCAAATAAGTTGTTCTATAATGAAATAAACTCATGTTTTTCTCCAGTTTGTTGTCATAATCAGCTATAATTCCGTTTACAGACAGATAAAAATGACATGGTTTATATCACTGAAACAATGTTTTCACCATACCAATTTTATCTATCAAATTTCACTTGACTACTGAGAATTGACAACTGAAAGTAACACCTAATACTTGCGGGAGAAATGTTGGTCAAGTATAACTACCAAAGCAGTAGGACTGCCATTATCCCCAGAGAATGCAATGTGACCCTGTTCAGAGACAACAAGGCTTTTTTTTGACTTGAATAAGCAGTTCAATTTTCCTAAAAAAAGAACTCATTATCTGCATGTATAAATGCTGTTTGTAAGGTAAATATTACTACTCCTATTTTGCAGAAAGGTTGGCTAAGAACATGACTTGCTCAAAGTTCAGCATTAGTAGAACATTGGACAAAACCTTATTCAAGTCATTATTGCTTTTCTCAAAGTATGTTTTTTTTGTTTGTTTTTTTTTTTTGTTTTTTTTTTTTGTGTGTGTGTGTTTGTTCTTTAATTTTAAAAACAGTTTGAAAAGGTACAGTTAGAGAAATAACAGCAGGCTTGATATGCTTCAGCTGTTAAAGAGCTATGAGCTATGTTAATGCTTATTTCAGTCTAAACATTAAGATGATTAGAAGAATCTGCTGAAAAAACTGTTATGCAGCTGCAAACTGAGTGTTGCGCCTATCAAACTATTACCCTTTATTGTTTCAGATGTAACATTATCTGCATTGGAATAAACAGGGTAGAGAAACTCTTGCTTAGGTGACATTTGAAAATCAAAGACTAAAAGGAAATGTATTGCTTGAATTCCAGGATAACAGACAAAAATATGAGGAAAAAAACAAAAAAACAATTAAGATTATAGACCTAGTGCACTTCTATTTTTTGTTGTTGTTTTTGTTTTGTTTTGTTTTGTTTTTTGAGAAATTTAAATAGTATACAGTAAATTAGATTTGATTTCTGGCAAATTATGCTTTGATATGGCATTCAGCAAGCGCTTGCTTCAATCAATGTCACACTAGAGCTCTGTTATGCTAATAGAGGCTGGTGAGGGTGAGTGGGATGATATGGAAATCAGATGGTTGAACATGAATAGAAACCATAGGCCATGTATGAGGTGGGCTTTGAGATGAGGGGATGGGGAGACCCTAAGGTTAATCACCTCATGTTCAGAACTGTTTTTACAGCACAGAACAGTATTCTACTGTAAGAATGAAAATGGAGATAGAAAAGCATGAGCAGTAGTTAAGCATTAGTTGTTCAAAATGGTAACAGTGCATTCTGTTGCACTCTTTCTAGATGTCACGATCCATCACTAGATGGTTCTCTTTTTCTAGTAATAAATGCATATGAAGGTATCCTCTGTTTAATTGTTAAACATTTGTTAAATAAATAAATCAATAAATAAAATGATACAAATATTGCAAAATATTCAAAGGGATTTCTCAATTCTTTTCCGATCCTAATAGTTAGCAGGATCTCTAATATTTTGTGATGGATTACATTAATTTCTTTCCCGGGAGCATCTCTGAGTACTAAAGGTTATGCTGAGTCACCAGGAGCTGACAAAGACACTGATGTAGAAAATCTTGACCAACACGGTGAGTTTATTCCTCCTACCTGAACTCCAGTCACCTGATAAGAAATGTTACTCAGAAGATGAGAGGAAAATTACCACAGAAAAATGTGATTTTACAGTAAAAAGCACTGTGATCCCATATGAAATCCAAGCAACATTTTCTTTCAGCGACAGTTTTCTAAACTGGTCTTGTGATTTGTGGTTCACGTTGAACACAATGATCCTATGGGAATTCTGTTATCATAACTTGCTCAGAGCA